CTGGGGTTCGTCTTATTACTAAGCAGAGTGGTCTGTGTGTTTTTGTTTTGAGTGTGAGACGTGTCCTAACTATCTGCTCTTATAGCTCATAGCTCCACAGCGCGCACGCTGCACGTCTTAAAACTTGCTGTAATTAGTTTCTTGTAAGGGATTTGTATATATTTAACAAAAATTACACCTATTCTAGAAAACTTGACGTTGGTGTATGAGCGCAACCGGATTGTTTCCCCAATGCCTTTAATCTATCGTGATCCTCAGCAGCTTGAGAGAACCCCGACTCATCCTCGGCTGCCGGAATAGTCGGCTCATCTGCCACGTCAGCCGCCGCACCTGCAGACGATTCTCAAAAAAAAAACTAATCAAGGAGCGGACTTGTTGACCTACCGGGACTAGGCGACTCGGGAATCTCAGAGTCGTATGCCCCAGCAAGCTCTAGAAGCATTTCTTCATCGTCGCCAAGTCTATTTTGGCCTGGGAATGCATCATGTCGCGAGTTGCTCCGTTTTGGGAACTTGGACTGCTTTGTAGTGCTCGTCTCTGGCGCCTCTTCATCCTCGTCATCCCCGTCGTTTCCCTCATCCTCGTCATCCTCCGCACCGCCGTTCTCAGCATCATGAGCCATCTGGAGTACTCTGCTGGGCGGGCCGAATGCTCGCTCGGCCCGCCCGCTTGCCCGTATGGCTTTAGCCTCGGGAGACTGGTCACCGCGCCATCTTACCATGCCTGGCACCTTACCCTTATCGTATAGGGGTTTGAACGTCGTGTATTCATACCGCACACTTTCCACAGTCCGGCCGGTAGAAAGATTGCCGAAATCAAACCCCGTCTCACCGGTAAAATCTTTGTTCATGAAGCGGTCGTTGTGTCGCTCCGTCAGGTCCCAAATCGACGCGTCGGGGTCCTCTTGAAGGAGAGATGCCAGGTACTCGCGCTCGATGCGGGTCCAGGGTGCGTCCATGGTAGTGCGGTCGATGGCTTGGTAGCGGCGGTCATTAAGAGCCTTGAGTGTCTGCATATTGTTCCAATCTCGAGGCACTTTACCATAACAGTAGATCATTGGCATCCGTTTTGGTGTTGGATCTTTCCTGCTCTTGGGTCGCATGTCAATCATCTTGACGATGAGCAGGTCTTCTTGGTCAAGGTTTTCCTCCAGCTCGTCCACATTGTCTGGTGCAATCGGACCAAAATACTTGACGTAACGAGACCCACGCTTGTAACGGTAACCGCGATCTTCCCATAGAGGTGGGTTGGTTTGACCGTTGCTCTCACGAGCAGATGGTTGGACGGGGTCAGGACGAGGACTACCAGGCAAGGGCTTGATTCCCCAGAATGGGTTCACTGGCGGTATATCAATGTCTCGGCGAAAGTCATCAAATCCGTCACCAACAGGTGGCTGCTGCTTCTTTTTTATTTTCTTGCTTGTGGAAGCCCCAACGCTATGTTCGATATCGGAATATTCGTCTTTGGTGTCTTGGGAATCTAAAGTCGCGGCGGGAATGTCTTCTTCATTTTCTGTTGTTGTAGTAGCTCGCGAAGCGTCCTCGGGAACATTCTTAAGCGACGAAGCGGGATCGGTATCAAGATTTGCGTCTCGTATCTTCTGCTTCTTGGGAGATATGGACTGGGGAAGCGGAGAGTCGGTAGCTCGTTTGGACATGGTAGAGGTAAGAGGGTGCGCAATGTGAAAGTGTGAAGATAGGGACGCGAATGTGTACCAGAAAGTCCAGATAGGAGTTACCAACCTTTTTGAGGCCTCTGTGGCAAGTTTGCAAGCGTTTGAGTCTCTTACAGTACCTGTGGTGTCTTGGTTGTATGCGAAGAATGTGTGGAAACTTACTGGGAGGAAGTAGAAAAACGAGCGTGGTGGAGTGTGGCTTTCGCTTACAAAGCGGATAGTGAAAGGTATCGCAGCGTGCGGAGGCGATGCTTTCACATTGCCGTCATGGTGAAAAGCTTCCACTGTTCGTTTGACATCCTTTGATAGTGAAATGGGCCTGCAGGCATCAACAAAGCCAAGAAACAAACCAGTGTACTGACAATTTCACAATGAGACAAAGAAAGTGAAAACAGTGTCTATTTCTCGTTGAGCGCACATTTAATAGCTCTTACCAAGCCGCCATCTTGATATAAATGACCGGTCAACCTACGAAGGATACTGGATATCAAGATGTGGGCGTGAGTGATAGAGATAAATCAATACTTTCATACCATCCGCTTCGAGTTGAGCAAACTTTGCATGAGGTTATTGACTAAAGATGACCACGACTGACAAGACTATCATGGTATTTGTTTCATGAGCAATTTTGGCGTGTTGACGCAGTGGGTTTCACAACGCAGTAGAAGACTGGCACTGTATAAATCCCAGCAACGGGTAGGCTCACTGAGCTGGCCATCTGCTGATGTCGATGGATAGCAATTTGGAAGAGGATACTTTTTCACGGCTTCTTACTGCAGTTTGAAATGGGTATGTCTGACCAAGAATACATCGACAGGTATGATAAACTTCTACTAGCTGTCAATTCACAGATGTCAGAAAAGCATACTTGTCTCACAGTCGATATTCTGAACAGAATCAGATTGTTGTGGAAGTATCCGTCTTGTAATCATCGTAGCATAAAACAGGAGAGAGAAAGGGAGCAATGCTTTGAGGATAGCCGTACGAGTTCCTCGGTGGTTAAACAGAGTTTCAAACTTTTTTTTTCACGCGAATGGAACTTCAGGTGTCACTTATCATGATAACACATGGATAAACATTGACAAGCTCCTATCACCTATCGGTTTCACAGATAGAAGATAGAGTTTTGAGTTGACAGTCGCATTAACACCCTGCTTTTGTATTACGAATCCAGCTACTGCGTCTCTGTCGTCACAAATCAAGCCATTTCCAACAAGGCAATACCCAAAAACTTGCAACCAATTAAATGAAGCTACTTCAACAGTGTAGACTCCTCCTGCTCCTCCTCCTTCAGAAGGGAACTAGAAACGAGCAAATAAATCACTATATCAAGAGTCCAACTCAATAAGAAAGCAGATGCATGGCAGTGACCTAGTTGGAATCCGACCGCATGAAGAAGAAAGAAAGAAAGAAAGAAAGAAAGAAAAAGGAAATTACCAGACATGCAGCGCAAAAGACATGCAGTCTGGCAAACATGTGGGCCGTGCCGCACGTGCGGAAGCACATCTTCTTGGCACAATTTCTCGCTTTATCCACACCCCACAATGGCGCGGCACGTGCTGAACGGGTCGGTGCCGGGGCTGTGTGTTGAGCCAATATATCTTTTTGGAGTGTTGCTTTATTGATTCTGGGGGTCTTTGATACGGGGGTTTTCCTTGGGGGATGATGGATGCGACGAAAACGCGTCTGGGTATGCGCTGTGGTAGGTACAGCGACATGGTCGGCATGGGGGTGTTTGTCGGATACCTGTATACTTATTCCAAGTCACATACGCGATGTCATGAATAAGCTACGCATGACTTGAACGAGGAGGAGTGTTGGGTATACAGATTATATATTATCGCTACTGGTATTACATTGTTGTACAAGTCGTTGTATTGGACCATTTGGCACACCGTCGCCTTGGAGAGCCCTTGGTCCTTCTGCAGGAAAGCCACTCTGGCAGCAGCTCAGTGGGCCCTAAACTCGTGTACGCGTACAGATATATGTACAATAGACGGCGAGAGGCCGATGCATGGCTAGGCAGACAGACCCACATGGCGATATCATGCTGAAACAATGATAGCCCGGTTCCTGCGATCAATGGCTGATGACATGGTGTGGAGAACCAAGGCCCGGCGCATAAGCTGTCACTGGGGCGCGGCGGTGTGACGTCGAAGGGTCACGCGGTGGCTATGGGAGCGATCACGATCGATGACGAGATCAAGATGGTAGGGGGTGAGGGATCGAATAGCGCGGGCGGACGGCCCAGGGTGCTGGGACGGACATGGCGACTAGTGCCATGAGCTGCAAACCAGCGCTGGTACCTGCATGACGAGATGTTGCTATTCTGTCTCTCCTTTTCAGGGGCTCGACATGTTGCTGGTTCGACTTCGCCGTGAGGATAGTCGCCGGTACCATGTTCGCATTCTCCCGAGGAGGGTGTCGCTGGGTGGTTGGTCGTCGTCGTCAGGGAATGGGCATGGGCATGGGGATGCGATTTCGACGGCGGCTTGGGTGCGGTGCTGGAGGTGCTCTTCGTCCATGCGAAGAAGATCTGCATGGAACTGCTGCATCATGGATAGTGCTGGCGAGTACTCTGCGCTGAGATGGTTGGGGAGAGGCGGCGGAAAGGCCTCCTGGTGGGTGCCATAAGGTTGCAAGTCGGCGTTCATGTTTGTGTCCTGGGTCTGCTGCTGTCAACGGGTCTGGCCTGTCTTTCCTGGGGACTGCGTCGCGTTTATATCAAAAGTATCCAGGTCTGTCATGGCGTCATGCCGTGTTGCTTCTTTTCCACGCGCTATACGGCGCGTGCCAGGCTAAGGCATCATGCCCGTCCACCACGAGCCGCGCCACTGTTTCAATATACCAGCAATACGCCTTGTTCGATCGCACACCCTTCCGCGATGTGCCTATCACAGCTATCGTCATTGCCAGGGTCGGTGGCAGCATGCGCAGGCTTCCATGCCTTTGGCCGGGGCAGATGTCACCCAGCGCCGGCGCCAAAACATAGCGTGCAGCGTCCCCGCGCGCTGTTCTCCAGACATGTCACTAGGCTAGCGCTTCGCATATCCAGGTACCCGTGTGATCAGAGGCGACGTCTTGCGAGAGGCGATGGTGACGCTGGCGATAGACGTACAGTCAGCATCCGTGGTGTTGCAGTTGCAGGCAGCAGACTCAGTCTCTCGCTCGCGCCGGCTTGGCCCGTTGGCCCACCTCGGCTGCCGGGCGATTACGGCCAGTGACGTTGCACATGAAGACGTCTGGCACCATCTGAGCACCGTATCGTCATTCCCACGACTAATAGAAATAATGCCGCCTCGTCCACACCTGCGTCGGCAGCTTTCTGCCCGCTTTCGAGCTCCACCTCTGCATTCTAGATAGCACCCACAGTCGGGCAAACGAGAGGCGTCTGGATATAAAACTAGCGACGCAGGCTGCCCGCGATGCCTACCCCTCCCTTCTCCCAAGACCGCCGAGACTGGTTGAGCGAGATTTCCGGCCTGTTTTCGCTGCAGAAGACCAAGAACACTGCCAGACCGGCCAAGTCGACGTCGCCGCCCGCTGTCAATATCCTCTTTGGCGTGCCAAAAGCCGGCGACTCTGCGTCGACGTTGAGCTTCAGAGATGACGCCTCCGCAAAAGATCAAGCAGTGGCTCACGGGCCAAGACGGTCTGGATAAGCTGCGCATGGCGGAAGCAGACTGCCCAGCACCGGGTGAGGATGAGGTGCTGGTCGAGATTCACTCGGTGAGCTTGAACTACAGGGATACTGAAGGTATGCATCCGTGCAGTCAGCCCACAGACGATGCTAATCACGTGCATAGTCGCCATGGGCCTCTACAACCACCACTCGTCGGTTGAGCATCCGCCGGCCATTGTGCCATGCAGCGACATGTGCGGCGTTGTCGTTGCCGTTGGCCCAACCTCAAGCAACACGACGGATGCGTTCAAGAACCCAGCCTTCCGCCTCCAAGAAGGCGACCGCGTCATCAGCACCTTTGCCCCAACCCATCTCAGCGGCCAAGTCAAGGCCTCGGACGTTGCCAACGGACTGGGTGGCCCTGCCCCCGGCGTCCTTACCCAGTACCGCGTGTTTCCCAGCTACGGCGTGGTCAAGATCCCCGACTACCTATCCTCGGATGAAGCCGCGTGCCTGCCCATCGCCGCCATGACGGCGTGGATGAGTCTAAACTGCATGCGTCCCAAGGGCGAGATCATCGGCCAGGGCGAAACAGTCGTGTGCCAGGGCACCGGCGGCGTCAGCATCTCGGCGTGTCAGATCGCCACGGCCGCCGGCGCTGATGCTATCGTGACGTCCTCGTCTGACCAAAAGCTGCAGCGCGCATCCCACCTCGGCGCCAAGACGGGAATCAACTACCGCCAGACGCCAGACTGGGAGCAGGCCGTGCTCGCTGCTACGGGCGACGAGGGCGCAGACATCATCATTGAAGTCGGTGGCGCACAGACTCTGCGCAAATCCTTTGACTGCGTGCGTTTCGGCGGCCTGATTTCTTGCATTGGCTATCTGTCTGGCAAGCAGGACGACGCCGGCGACCGGACAAACACAAACCTGCTGTGTTTGAAGAGAAACGTCACGCTCAAGGGCATTTTGAATGGGCCGCGCGAAGAGCTGGAGAGGATGCTGAGGTTTTACGACGAGAAGAAGATCAAGCCGGTCGTGGATCGAGTGTGGAAGTTTGAAGAGGCGGATCAGGCGCTCCAGTACTTGTTTAGCGGCGGTCATTTTGGAAAGGTTGTTGTTAGGGTCAAGTAGACGTGTAATGTGTAGATTATTCATGTGTTACTAAATCTTTCGTTGTATAGTTGCTGAAGGTCAATATCTCCAAATCACTTGAGATTTGTCAATGTCGTATTACTAATAACGGATACCCAAAATCTACTCGCGTTAAAAATAGAATCATGTTTCCAAAATAGACTGCATCGCGGTATGTGTACTGGCAAAAATGACCATTCACTATTGACAATCTTCAACTACTGTGCAGCGCTGAATCGCTCCCATTACAATTTAGCTACCGCTCCATCTTCATATTCGCTCAACTCCTTCCTCTCAAGCTTGCGCCGACTGCTACCAAACTCCTTGCCCTTGCCCTTGCACTTGTCGAGCCACTCTTGACTCTTCCATTGCCACGCCCTATCTTTTTCTTCTCCATTGCTCTTCCCAAATAGAACATTGCACATGTACGCGCCGGCTACGGGCAAGAATCTACAACAGTCAGTACACTGTATCGGGGTTGACAACATTACCTACTTGTAGGAGTGGAAGCTGCCACCAACGGAGAGATAGAGGTTGGCAAGCTGTGAATGAGGATGCTGGCACATGAGCCAATCCTCGGACGGGGTAACGGCATCGTAGCACATGCGCCATCGACTGGGTGTTTTGCTTCGTGTCCATTCTGGCATGGCTTGGTGCATAACCTGTGCGCTCTCACGTTTGAGCCTCTCGGGAACGTCATTCTGGTTTCTGGGTGAAGGAGCTGTGATGCGATGACCGGAAGGCGTCGTGACTGTGTTCACAATCTCGCTTCTCAGGTCGTTGATCTTCAGCGTCCGGTTCGGCTGGGATGGTGGAATAATGTCGACTTCTCCGCCAATGACGACTACCGGCAGGTTTCCGTCAATCATTCCTTGGGTATCTTGTTCATTCAAGGTGTAGTACGCAGAAACTCGGCCCACAGCAGTAACCTGGCGCTCGATGCGGTCTTGCTCTGGGATTCCAAGCGCATCCTCCAGTGGTGACATGAGCGTGCTTGTCCAAGCCCCGGCCGCCAGCACAACCTTGTCTGCTGTCAAAATTCCACCATCTCTCAACTTGACCCCAGCTAGACCGGATTGGTCGGATTTAAGTAGGAGCTCCTGCACTTCACCAGTCACTCGCTTTACGCCTAATTCGAGCGCGACTTTTGTAAAACTCTGCGTCGCCTTCTCTGCATCACACCATCCAGCCTCGGGGTTGAAGTAGCCCTTGCCCAGGCGCTCGGTCCGAACCCCTCTGGTTACCGCGTACTGCTCCAGCTCTTCTGGCGCAACATCACGCGTATAGTCGCCTCCTCGCTCCAGAAAAGTCTTTCGCACTGCATCGCCAAAGCCGAATTCTTTACTGTCCAACACACCCAGCCCGTCTTGTGAAAATGGCCTTGGACGGCAATGCTCCAGAACCAAAAATGGATTGCTTCGTTGGCTAGATTGCAATACAGATGGGAGTCATAGTCGGTGCGGATAATGCGATTGGTATCAATGGCAGCTGCGTGCTTTTCCTCCAAGGGCGAAGTGGTGTCCCAGCGGTCGACAAGAGTGATGCGCGAAGGATCCTTGTATAGTTTGCTGAGGTGGTAGGCAGTTGATGAACCAAAGGTACCGGCGCCGATGATAAGCACAGTGGGCTCTTTATTCGCCATGATGTCGTCAGGATTGAGCTTGGGGAATGTTAATGGTACTCTTGGTTTTGAATGATGCTGACATTTGGGAGAGATGGATAAGCCTGTTCCGCTAGCGCTGCGGGGTCCCTGCGGATCCGATGTGACAGCTTGGCAGAAAGGACAGTATTCTCCGGCACTGCACAATTTGAGTACATTGCTCAGAATTCAGATGGCGGCCTTGCAAGGCTGGAGATGCTGAGGCTGAGTGTGCCTTGCATTCTGTGTGAGGCGGAGATGGGCGCAGGACCTAGACATGGCAACATGAGCTGGCACCAGGAGTAATGGAAATATTGGAAAATTGCGGTTGAATTGTTGGTAAGATAATACTCGCTCGTTCAGAATAGTGAGTTGGCCAGAGTGGCATCACATGAGAATGTTCAGGCGTGAAGGGGCGTGCAAAGGATGAGGTTGTGGAGGAGTTGAGGCTCGCGGAAGGCGCTAACGAACTGTTCGACATCACGTGCACGCGCCAGGCTTCTACAAACGCGGCATAGCTACCCCATTCACACATTCACATCTAGCTGGGTTGATTGGCTTACCATGCGCTGTTAAGAATCTAAAATCCGCGTTTGAACCACGCTTTGATGGGGTCCAACGTGTCATGTGCGACGGCAACGGTCATTGCCAATGTATGGTTGTCCAGAAACGGACTAGCGCCCAATCCCTCGGCAAACCTTCCTCAGACAACGCAGGTTGGTTTGACAGGTGAATCTGTGGGCAATCATCAAGGTATAAAGACATGATAAGAGAGTGAAATGGAAAAGATAGAGGACCCAGATAAAATCTTGGGCAGAGAACGTCACAGGTGGTCACTTGCCGAACCGGTCATTGAGCGATAGCACCCGCGTGAGTGAGTCAATCGGCAGCCCCACCGCCACCGAGTCTACTGTGCAGAATCAGCAACTGAACACCAACACCACCATGCCTCCAAAGATTCATCTCGTGCGCCATGCGCAGGGAGAACACAACGCCACTGTATGTCGCTGGATGTGAGGATACATGGGACAAGGACGCTAACCGATGGCAGCGCGACTACAGCATTCGCGATGCAGTACTGACGGCCAAAGGCAAGGAGCAATGCCGCGCCCTCAGCTCGACGTTTCAGCACCACCAAAAGATAGAGGCGGTATTTGCGTCGCCGCTGCGCCGGACGATTCAGACGGCTGCGCTCAGCTTTGGGCCTGTACTGTCGCGCAAAGAGGTGCCGTTTGTGCTGCTGCCGGCGCTGCAGGAAGTCAGCGACATTGGGTGTGATGTAGGGCTGGCCGACACTGCAGAGGATTTGCAGCGGCTCCTGCCCGATGTGTTTGCGGCGGGCGAGATTGATTTCGACCTGAGCAAAATCGAGGCGTCAGCGGTAACGGCGGGATGGAATTCCAAGGTTGGCTGATGTCCCGGAGTGACGTCAAGACGGGTGCTGACTAAGCGGGGTTGCAGCAGGGCTACTGGGCGTATGAGAAGGCGGCCATTTCTCTGCGCGCAGCAGAGCTGAGGAAATGGCTGTACCAGCGGCCAGAGACAGAGGTAGGGCAGGCGTGGGTATCTGTGTTTTTGAGCGGGGACTGACGGGGCAGATACTCGTGGTAACGCATGGCGCCTTCGCTCATTTCTTGACCGAGGACTGGGATGTCGAAGACCCGATGCTGGGCACTGCGTACAAAAATTGTAAGTGCATGACGCGGGATGGCTTGGCAGTCTTGGACGCTCACGGGGGGGCAGGTGAGCATCGGGTGTTTGTCTTCACGCCGGAGTCTACGGCCGAGAAGGCGCATGTTGAGGAGACATGGGAAAGCAGGAGAAGCCGAGCGCCGCAGCAGGTCGAGACGGACCCGCACGTTGTGGAAGAGTTTTTGGAAACGGCTGCGTGAATAAGCGCTGCATGGGTGACGGCGGTACTTAGGCAGGCAGGCAGGCAGGCCGACGATGGATGGGCTCAAGACAGGTTGGCGAGGGGTGGTGGGCGAGGCGGTATGTGCATGGGCGGTATCAGTACAGTATTGCGCGAGGGTCTGGAGAAGGAGAGCACGCGACAGGCGGGTGGCATGTCACAGGGCGTCGTCGGGTCGAGGAATCGTGGGGTAGGGCATAGCTGCAGGCACAGGCAAAATTAGCATGGGGCGGCGCGTGATTGGCGGGCGCCCATGTCGGCGATGCACTCCACAGGGCCCTCATTCGCAGCGTGTGTGCGTGAGTAAGTAAGTGAGGAGTGAGCGCATGCATGTTTGTGTGCATGTACTGTAAGTATGTGTGTGGTTGCAGGGCGAGGGCCGAAAAGGGCCGTGTCGAGCCGAGTCGCGTGTCGTGCATTACGCCGTTCGGCCTAGGCCGCCGGCAGGGATCGGAGGGGGCGAGGCAGCTGCAGGCACACTCGCAGGCGCCGACACAGGCTGCACGCCTCGCGGACAAGCCCCGCCGAGGCCCGGGTGGGTGCGGATCGCAAGGCTTATCGCGCGCCTCCAGGTCAGCCACACGCCCGCTCGGCCAGCCCTACGCAGCGCCTCTCGTCTTACAAGTACACGCCACTCACCACACCCGCAACGCTACACCCACCCAGCCGCCCGCGTCATACGCCCTCTCTCGTCGCCTTTTTCCCTCACTGCATGCAGCCTCGCGCACTGACCCGCCTCGACGGGCGCAGTGCCGCCGCTACCCTTGGGCACGTCCCAGCCCTGCTCCTCCGCGACACGTAAAAGGATGAAAATTTTACGTCAACTGCGGCGCGCCATGTGGAACCTCGTCGCCCTCAACACCACTAACACTCGCTACAATGCCCGCTGCCCATGGCACGTACCATGGACTGGTACCCGACCTTGCCCAGCCCCAACGCCTGCGACCCTCGTCGATAGCATCCAGTCGGTCAATGTCGGTCGCCCGCCCTCTTGGGAGCGCGCGGGGGAAGACACCGCTTGGAACATTCTATTACACATGCACGCCTTGCGCAGAGATAAGCCATGGCGATATAAAGATGCAAACCGCGGCGCCGTGCTAGCATCCACCACTCGTCTGCTCCCAGTGTGCCCGGTGCTCTGCAAGTCACCGTTCCACGCTACGTCATCGCGACCACGACCACGACTCCCCACCTCACCAGCCCAGCCGTTTTTGCCGCCGGCCTGCCCTTGTATCCGACGACCGGTCCCGAGACCTACACTGCACCTACTGCTTCGGGGAGAGATGATAGCCTAGCCCTTGGGCACGCCCACACGACCAAAACCTCAAACCACCCCAGCCCCGCCTCTCTTCCTCCTCCTCCTCCACCTCCTCCCACACACTGCCCTGCTCCAGAGCGAGTATATAGCATTCCTCTCCACTCGCAACCCCCCCCCGAGCCCACGCCCACCATGCAGGAGGTACCGCACCACGCCTACTCGACCGGCGCCCAAGACGCCCCGCCCTCCAAGTACCGCCTTGACGACCTCTCCTCCGACGGCCGCAAGAGCGACCCCGAGCTCATGATGCCCGTCGACAAGACGGCCACGGTCCAGGAGGGCTCGGAAAAGTTCCACCGTCTGGGCTGGAAGCAGCTGACCGTCTGCCTGATTGTCGAGGCCATTGCCCTGGGCTCCCTCAGTATCCCCAGCGCCTTTGCTACCCTCGGCATGGTTCCCGGTGTCCTCCTCAGTGTTGGCCTTGGTCTCGTGGCCATTTACACGTCGTACGTGGTCGGCCAGGTCAAGATGCGCTACCCCCACGTCAACCACTACTCGGATGCCGTGGCCCTCATCTGGGGCCCCTTTGGACGCGAATTGACTGGTGTCATGTTTGCCCTCTTCCTGATTCTGCTCGTTGGATCCCACGCCCTCACGGGAACCATTGCCTTTATCAACATCACGGGCGATCTCAAGACGTGCGCGCTTGTCTGGAGCATCGTTTCCCTCGTCATCCTCCTGGTCCTTGCGCTGCCCCCCACGTTCCACGACTTTGCCTTTTTGGGATACATCGACTTTGTCAGCATCATTGCCGCCATCATGATCACCATTATTGCGACTGGCGTCCAAGCGCACGACCAGCCCGGTGGCCTCAGCGCCGTCAACTGGTCCGCCTGGCCCCAGCCCGGAACCACCTTCTACGAGGCCTTCCTTGCTACCACCAACATCATCTTTGCCTACTCGTTTGCCGTGTGCCAGTTCTCCTTCATGTCGGAGATGCACACCCCCAAGGACTACGTCAAGTCCATCTGGGCCCTTGGTCTGATTGAAATCTTCATCTACACCGTCACGGGTGCTCTCATCTACGCCTTTGTTGGCCAGAGCGTCAAGTCGCCTGCCCTGCTTTCGGCTGGCCACACCGTCTCGCGCATTGCCTTTGGTATTGCTCTTCCAGTCATCTTCATCTCGGGTTCCATCAACGGCACCGTCGTCTGTCGCTACATCATGGACCGTGTGTTCCCCAACTCGCCCATCCGTTTCGTCAAGGATGCACGCGGCTGGACCGTCTGGGTCGGCCTCATCTCGGCCTGCACCGTCCTTGGATGGATCATTGCTGAGGCCATCCCCTTCTTCAACGCCCTGCTTGGTCTCATCTCGTCGCTCTTCATCTCTGGCTTCACCTTCTACTGGCCTGCCCTCTTCTGGTTCCAGCTCGTCAAGGAGGGCAGCTGGAACTCTTCTGCCAAGAACATTGCTCTCAGCGCCTTGAACCTGCTTGTCCTCATCATCGGCATGGTTGTCTTGGGCGCCGGAACATACTCGTCTGTCGAAGACATTACCCACCAGTACAAGTCTGGCCACGTCAGGAGCCCCTTTACCTGCAAGGCCGATGCCTACACGTAAACGAATCATTATGCTCATCATCATGTATATATATATCCCAAAAAGCCTTTCTTTGCATAGGGCATTGCTTTTTTTGCTTTACGACATCATGGTTCTTTGCTACTAGTCTAGCGCATACCGTATGGTTTATAGAATTCATGTCTTTTTTTTTCCTGATACTCTGACTCCAATTCCAAGTCTACTTGGCTATCTTGCTTTACAATGGTGTGTCTTGTCGCGTGACTCTTGATGAATTACTGTGACGAGAACTCATCCATGGCGCGCTTACCCTTACGCTAAGCTTCGGCCCTACCCTGATGCTAGTGTAGCGGTAGTAGCTGAATATAGGTTAGTGCAACCCGATGACGTAGTACTACATTATGCCAAGTATGCAGGTGTATGCACTGAGAACCTTGGACACGTACATGATTTCGTCATGGCGGCAGTCCAACATAAGAGTCTTACAAGTACATGCTTCTTGGCGATTTAGCTTATCAACAGGTGGGTGGTATTCAAGCAAGTAGGAACAAGTAAGTAGATGTAGTAGTAAGTAAGCAAGAAGGTTACATGTGCATGGACACACGGCATTACACTAGCGGATAGACATGCCAAGATATTTACTACTCTCCCTCTCTTCCCCCCCAATCCTCCAAGACTACTTATTATCACGAAAATCAAGATATTGGAAAAAGAAGTAAATTAGTTACATCAAACTCTACATGTAATGTTCTGTCTAACAGATTCCCCCCACTCACCTAATAGCCCAGATGACTGCAGTCAGCATACAGCATGTACTATACCATCTTCTACTCTGACTGCAAATTGGTGTCATGATGAGGTGAGCGAGTGTCGAGCCAAGTATACAGGTGACACCGTGTGCATGAGACGAGTGTATTAAGATTTCGAGGAAGAATATTCACCCCCAATCGTGCGAGAATGATTGATTCAAATCGAGTCGAATCAAGTCAAGCCAAGTCATGGTGTTTTACAAGCGCATGACAGAGAGATGAATTCAGTCCATCAAGACACAGTAACACCGCATCACACCTTGATTGTGCGTAGGAAACCAAAAAAAACAACAACATGCAACCCTACAATGCAAGGATTGGGATCGACACCGTGTCTCGCGCCACATGCAACCCTAGACCACCCTACCCCAGCCATCAGACCCTAGCTATCCGACATAGGTACGTACGTACGTACACACCCATCCAAACCTAGCACTAGTGTAGGTGTAAGCCAGGCCCATGTCTTCCAGAAGCCCTACAGAAGGAAGAAGGAAAAGAAGAAAAAAAGACGCAAACACCCTTCTAGAAAACACGTAGAAGAAATGCTTGCCGGCTCCTGCAATCACACCACCAACTACTGTATAGTTCTACTTTACTAGCCTCACTTAACTCACCCCCCCCCAACCCTGCCCTGCTCCCCTCGCAAACCCCCCCACGCCAGGAACGAAGAAAAAAAAACACCCCTATCAAGCCCTTCCCGTGGAAAATGCCGCACTGCGCGCCGGGTCCAAAACACGCTGTAGACGTGGGAACGAGACGAGGGCAAAAATACCCCCCCCCCTCCAAAAAAAAAGCGACAAGGAAAAAAATCCTACTGTCATGCCACAAGTAAGGTATAAACACATCTATACCCTTGACAGCAATCCACCTTGCGTCTTTTTATTTTAACCGCATGCAGTATTTGCCGCTCCCCCACGTTTCCCTCTCGGCGCAACTAAATTTTTTTTCTCTTTCTTTCTTTGCCTTCTAGAATGTTGCATCCTGGGTGTAGCCCGCGCAATACGGCACGGCCATGTATACTTACTATAGTATGCAGCAAGGATGTAGTATTAGTCCGGCAGCATCGACCCTACATATACATATGATAAGGATTGGCTCCACTTTGGGGGCCCTCTTGCGCTACGTGGTGGTGCTTGCTTTGCTCTTTTGTTGGGCGCATGCATCCGTGTGTTCGGACAAATGCGCGGGCAGTTTGCTGGGGGAAGGGCCCGCTGCGAATAGAGAGCGGCGTGGGTGAGTTTTTTTTTTTCCTCTGCTAACGGTAGGGTAGTATACCTATCAGGTGCTCAATGGGGTATAGTGCGCGATAAGGGTGGAGAAGCGATGATCGTGAGGTCTTTCGGGAGAAGAAGTCATGCATGGTTTGAGGAATGGATACGCGGATTGAAAACTATAATGTCGGGCGGTCTTGGGTAGTGCGTCCGAGTACAAATGGTTAAGAATCCCCTTTGCAGCACTTCGTCCACCAACTCTCTTGAAACATTCGTTTTTTTGTTAGCTTGTTTTGCGCCATGTGTCGTACGCATGGGCTGCAAGTCTTCATGGCCTGCTTAACACTGCGCGGCTAGGCTAGAGATGCCCATCTTCCTACCTGCGTACTCTGTGACATTGCGACTATCGAGGGGACTTGTTTCGCATTCGGAGAAGCTTGTTTGCTGCTACGCCTGTTGTATTGTTGATGAAGCAGTCTCAAGCGCCTTTACGCAGTGGTACAAGGGCCAAACACACAATCAATACCACATTCATTTATCCATACAGCTCCGAGGTATGAGCACTTGGAAATACCCGGCGTGCTAATAGAGACGACACCACTTAGTCTGAGGCAACTTGCGCAAGTGCTACAGTCGATGTGTCAAGGTAAAATCTCACATCATACTGCGCATTCCGAGATTGGCCCGACCCAAATGTATACGTGGTCTCGACGGCAGCTTTGGCGAACAGCACGAGCCAAGCAACCGCGAAAAGGTCGAATACGGGAGTCAGCCACGTACGTTTGTGTTGTTACGTCTTTGGGGGCAGTGGGCAGCATGGTTTGAGGAGGGGAGGGGCTGCTGGGTTAGGGTTGCGAGTGCTATACTATGGCTGCGGATAAGTCATGCATGGCGTAGTATAGTTGGCCTCGGCATGTCGCCTTGGCTGGCGTGATTGCCTGGGATTGAAATAAGTCGAGACAGACACACGACTAGCCCGGTACAAATCCCAACGTGGCTCACCAACGTGAAGTATCAGGCTTGTGCGCCACAATGCGCCATGCGGGCATGTCCCTGCAATGTCAAACAGTGGTGTGCGAAGAATATTTGCGCTGCTGATACACGGTCAAATTGAAGACGCAGAATGATGCTTGGAGAGTGTATCCGATACGGATTGGGTGATGCCGGTGGTGAGTGAGGGACAGGCGGTGCCAGAGACTGGAACCATGGCTTGATTGCATGGTTTGGCGGTGTTGCCGTGTCAAGGTCGAGGCGTTGCAGCAGAAGCCACGTGCAGCCGGTTAGACTTTCCGTGTCTTTGAACCTTGCAGACTGTCAGGCCAGATGCGAATCACTAACTCGCCAACTCTTGTGCGGGAGATGGGCAAGCGCGGCTTTGGACCTTGAGACAATCATGCGCAAAGAGCAGCGATTCGTCGGGAGGGGCGATCGAGTCCCACGGTGGGGGATCGTTTTGGAGGCCCGTGTGCACGTGGAGCGGAGCCATGTGAAGCATGTTTGAACCATGTGCGCGGTGCATAGGCGGGCGTCGAGGGCGAGGGGCCGAGGATTCGTCCAGTGTTTGAAAGGCGTTGAGCTGAGACATGACAACGGAAGAGAGTGTCATGCGTCATGCAGCGGTGGCAGACAGGCATGACGTGAGATGGATGAGACGTGGTGGTGGTGGACTAGAGGGCATTCCAAACCTGAGCAGAGCCGCGCGCGTGGTGGGGGAACGGGCGCTAGCCCCGGATCGCACCTGCCTACAGTGCTAGGTGTGCGTGTAGTGCGAGGCGGACATGGTGTAAGTAGGCGTAGGGAGAATGCAATTAGACGTGGAGCTGCTGTATGCACGCGTCAGTAGCTGCTGCAGCGGGCGAGGCGGCAGTTGGCATGGCGGGCAGCAATGGTGTTGCACTCACACTTGCACCTTGGTCGGGACGGAGTCGAGTCGAGTCGAGGTGAGTCGAGTCGAGCAGCGAGTTGGGTTGAGTGGTGGGGTTGTGGAGTGGGCGCTACAGAGTGGCGAAGAGGCGGTCAAGTATAATGTAGTGCGGGCTGTGGACGCTGCCGCCATGTTGAGGTGCTACTTGATTGTTCCGTCCCGACAACCCCGCACAAGCGGAGCCTGGGCGAGGGGCGAGGGGCGAGGCGGCGACTGGAGCGGTCACAGGAGTCATGCAATCTCGACACATGCGGCCTAGGGCGGCTAGCCGAGGCTGCGAACGCTGGTTGGCGGCGCCGGCCTTGGTGTTTGCTCCCACGACGCGTCGGCGCAAGAAAAAAACGCGACGCGTCGGGGCTAGCGCGTCGACGGGGCACGCGTCCTCACATGAGCAGGTGCGTGCAGCCGCCGCCGCCGCCGCCAGTGCAAACCGCTTGCAGCACGTCCGCCTCCACTGCACATGCGTCCGTCTGGAGGGCGGGGACCAGATGCACATGTGCTGGTGACATCAGACATGGGCGAGTATACATGTGCGGGATGCATGAATGGCGGCATGCATAATAGGCGTAGCGGCGTGTGGTCGGTGTAGCAGGCGGCAGCGGGTGGACCCCGGACCCCTGTCGCGAGAGGCGGCTAATGCAGGTCGACGCCCTCGACCTCCTGATGCTCCCTCTCCCTCTTGCCATGGCCAGCCCAGGCCGGCTGCTCTTTTGCACGTCGCCCTCTTTGCCCAGTGTGTCCCCCCCAAGCGCCCCCCCCCCAAGCGCCCTCTCCCCCCCAGCATTGCCCTTGCCCTCGCCCATTGCCTGCCCTGACCGACTGACGGACGCTCCGCTGCCCACGTCAACGTCTCACGCCCGTCCAAACACTGCCCTAGCCGCAGCCCTCATCCCCGGGCCCAGCCCTCGATTCCCACCACCTTGAAACACCCTCTACACCACTGCCGTTTGTTATTCGCCTGTGCCACCCGCCCTTCAAGCTTTGCCTCGTGCCGCGCCCACCGAGGGGCACCATATGTACGCCGAGCAATTGCAGCCCACCCGCGCCCACCCTCCCTCTGCCTGCCTCTCCCACCACCACCACCACCACCACCACCGCGACTACTACGACGACGACCAGCACCACACCCCCCCATGCTGGCCGTCTGACACATCATGACCGACTCCGCCAGCACCACCGCCACGCCCCCCATGGAGCCCTTGGAGCCCATGCAGCCCGCCGACCATCCTTCGCAGCGCTCGCCAAGAACCCATGTCGACAGCGCTCCGCTGCCCACCGACTCCATGGTCACAGTCCCCCTCTCCGAGACCGACGGACCAAGTCCAGATGACGACGACACCGACACCTCACCCGCCGCCGCTGCTGCCGCCGCCGCCGCACTGCCCCGCCCAGACATCGTCGTCGAGGAGCGCCGGACCTCGTCGCGCGCAGACTCGATCGAGATCCGCAAGGCTTTTGGACGTCGCAGCAGCCAGGCCAGCGTCGACGCACCCACCCCAACAAGCCCGACAATCTCAGTCCGCGACACGGACGCGCCCGTGTCCCCCAAGAAAGATGCGAGGGAGAGGCGAACAAGCAATGGTTCAGGCAAGAGCGAGGAAGTTGATTGGGCCGAGCTCGAGAAAAAGGAGGAGCAGGAGCCAGAGGGCGAAGAAGAGGTGCGCGCCCACCACGAATATCTAATGCCAACATTCTGCTAACTTGCTCTTCTCTTTCTCCCCAGGCCATGGCTCTGCTACTTGCACGCCTCGAGCAGGAAAACGACGCCATCCTATCAGACTCCAAATCAAACATGAAGATCGCCCGTGCACGCAGCCAGTCGCGGCCCCCCTCCTTCAACCAGCTCAAGCGCCTGGTTGCCGATGAGTCCTCGCAGGTCCGCCTGTCGCAGCTGCCCTCGCCCCCGCCCATGACGGAGCTCGAGTTCTGGGCTGCCCTCGTGCGCGACTACCCACAGACGATCCAGCGCCTGCCCACGCTCTGCTTGAACAAGATCCGCGGAGGCATCCCCGCTCCCCTGAGGGGCGTTGTCTGGCAGAGCGCAGCAGGCTCGCGCCAGAAGCTGATTGAGGACCAGTATGACACGCTGTGCGGCGAGTCGACCCCATATGAGAACATCATCAACAAGGACCTCGGCCGAAGCTTTCCCGGCGTTGACATGTTCAAGGATGCCGACGGCGAGGGCCAGAAGATGCTTGGCCGCGTGCTCAAGTGCTTCAGCTTGTACGACCATAAGATTGGCTACTGCCAGGGCCTCGGCTTCCTCGTGGGCCCGCTGCTCATGCAAATGGGCGACAAGGAGGCTTTTTGTGTACTCGTCAGGTGCGTCACCATGGCTCGTACCCCCCATTGACATGCTAACCGCACCAGACTCATGGAAGACTACGATCTCCGTTCATGCTTCCTGCCTGATCTTTCAGGCCTGCATCTTCGTATTTTCCAGTTCCAGAAGCTGCTCCACCAGCACATGCCACAGTTGGCCCAGCACCTCGATGACCAGGGCGTAGAATCTGCCTATCTTTCCCAGTGGTTCCTTTCCTTTTTTGCCGTCACCTGTCCCCTGCCCATGCTGTTCCGCATATATGATGTTCTGTTTGCAGAGGGCGCTTCCGAGACAATCATGCGTGTCGCGCTGGCGCTCATGAAGCGCAACGAGCAAAAGCTCCTGTCCCTAACTGAATTCGAAGATGTAATGCAGCTGCTGCTTGGTCGCCAACTCTGGGATCCATATGGCCGGAATGCGGGGTCGGCTGATGAGTTGGTTGCCGATTTTGTTGGCTTCACAAACGATGTGACGCGGGAAAGGTTACAGGGATTGGAGCAGCAATACAAGGAAGCCCAGGAAAAGGAGTCATCCAAGCAGCAGGTCCAGAAATCCGCTTCGTCCTTTCTGGGGCGTCTGTGGGGCCCCTCCAGCTCTTCGACCAAGTCGGTTTCACTCAGCCCCGGTCTCTCTGCGCCTTCACGGCCTGTTAGCTTCCTTAGGCGCTCCGCCTCCAAGCAGAGTCTTGCTTCGACACTCAACTCAACCGCCGACTCCGACGCCTCCAACACGACCCAAAGCACAGCCATGACAGAACTCTCACGGGCATCCAACGGCGACGCCTTGTCGATGAAGTCGGGCCATGGCTCCATGGCCATGGGCGCCTCGTCACGGGATCGGGACCTGCACTACCAGATTGAACAGCTGCTCATGTCGGTCAGCCAGCTGCAACGACAGAACAGCGAGCTCGAAGCAGCGCTTCAGAAGCAGCGCGAAGACCGCAAGGAGGACCATCGCATCGTGCGCACCGTAGTCGACAAAGTCCGGAAGAAGACATCAACACTCTCGGTCCCGTCAACACGAGCATCGCGAAGGCGGACAACCATTACCGCAGCGTCGGTCGCGGCTGCGCTGGAGGAGGGCGCGGCTGGAAACGAGTTGACGGCCGAAGCCTCGGAAATTGTCCAGGTCCTGGAATCTCGCTTTCCCGAATCGCAAACACACCACCGCGCTTCATCTATTTTCGAGACCAAGGAGGTTCTGCGGGATAACCTGACGCGGACAAAGGAGCAACTCGCAAATGAAACACTGCGCGCCAATGCGCTGGCGCGGGATCTGAACGATCGCGATGCCGAATTGCAAATTGCGCGGGACGCACTCAAAGACACCAGACAGCGGCTGCAAGACAGTTATAACCAAAACCAACGGCAGGAAAAGACGATTCAGGAACTCAGGCAACATGCAAGAAAACAGTCGGCTGCTGCATCCTGGTCAGCGGGCGACAGCCACGGATCTGACACACCACCCTCGCTGTCCCGCTCAACCACCTCAGACAGCGTATCCGGGGGCCTCCGAGAACTCCGCCTCGGGCGAACACCGTCCCAGAAATCGGACCGGGCATATACTCCCACACCCGCACCCTTTACTTTTAACAAACGCTCTTCCTCACTCCTTACGCAATCGGTTCTCGCAACGGACAACAACGCGCCGGCCGATAGCGAGGCCCTGCTTCTCGAACTCGTCAACGCCAAAACGGCCGAGGCAGTGGCCCGCCAGGAACTCGAGGAATTCAAGACCAAATTCGAAAATATGAAGCGCGTTATTAGTGGGCACGGTCCTATTCCGGGTAACACTACACCGCCGGCGGTAACGACATCGCCGGCTTCTACACCGAGTCCTGCACCCAAGGAACCAGCGGGGAATGCGGGTGGAGGTGGAGGAGGGTGGGGATGGGCGGGATGGAAGAGATCGGTTAGTACGAATATAGTGAGTGGCTCTTAGGCTGGGCTGTTCAAACCTTGTTCCTTTTTTTTCTCTCTCTCTGTTTTTGGTCATCTTTTTCTTCTTCAACTTTCTCTCTCTCTCTCTTCATTGAGATTGCTGACTTTTTTTTTCCTCTTCTTCTTTTCTTCTTTCTTTGAATGGAAGCAAAGAGGGAAAAAGAATCAAGTTTCTTGTTTTCTTCTTCTTCTTCTTTTTTCCTCTGCGTCTTGGGGGCACGTTTGTATATATTTTGTTTTTTCCCATGTCTGTGGAAGTGCTGGCAAGGAAAGACGTATAGAAGAAGGGAAAGAGAGTCAGTGAAAGAGGAGAAAGGAGAAGGAGGAAGAGGAAGAGGAGGAAGATGCGTATCTAACAGCGGGAGTACATCTCCATGATTGCCACCGCTACTGCGCCAGAGCATGAAAAACTCGGGATTATAGGGACGGGGGACGGGACAAGGATCAGAGAGGCATAGGCATGGCATATACCTTTTTTTTCGTTCCTCTCTCTATCTCTCTCTCTTCTTTTCCCGGTCATGACCACTAGTGTTTGTTCGTTGTTTGTTTACTGCCGTGTGTTTTGTCATCAGCGCGTATATACCGAAGTCCCCTTTTTAATGCATGAGTTTGATACTTTTTTTTCTTCTTTTCTGAAAAAAAAAGAGCGCTAATATTCGTATGTGTCGAGGGGGGGGGGTTCTGTTCGTTGGGCGATTCTCCGTTATCCATAGACGGGTGGAGAAATGGTCTACTGTACCGTCGTCTAGTTACCCATGTATAGAATACACTTTTCTCACGCCTGCTTCTTGCCCATGTCTTTCATTCTCTTCAGTCCCGCCCTCGCATTCGCTACACCCTCGGTGAATCCCAGCTTCTTCGCCAACGACGACGCTTCTTCGTACTGTCTTCTTGCCTCTTCTACTTTTCCCTGCATTTCAAAAAACTCCCCAAGATTGTGCGTTGCTACGGCACATCCCATGTCGCATTCTTCGGTGCGGTCAGAGCCTTTTATTTGTGCCGCTCGCGCGAGGGCTCGCGACGCCCATTGTTGGGCTTGCTCAATCAAAAGTGTGCGGGGGGCGCTGTTCGAGACGGGAAAGTCCGAGGGCGCCGAGGACATTGTGATGGCTGAAGTGGAGTCGGGGGGAGTTTGCTGTGCGAGACAGGTCGAGATGTTGTTCACTAAGTAGGAGTTAGTGGTTGTATGAGGGAGCATGCGATTCGAGACGCACTGAGAACGACGCTGTGGCATGAGCTTGGTGGACATGATTGTAGAGCCTTGAGGAAGAGTGGGGTAGCAAGGTAGTGCGAGTCAAACTGCTCATAATGTGTCCCAAGGGCTGTCTCATGTTAGTATATCCCGTCGCTTTAGACTAGCGACTACGCATACCTTCGAGTGCTCCGCCCATCTCCTCGTCTGTGAGCCATGGCCCCTCGCCATCCTTGACGCCGTCTCTCTCGCGCCGTTGCTGCTCCTTGAGCGCGCTCTCCACTGCCTCGACCAGTCTCTTCTCGCCATTTTCAGGCTCGTTGACATATCTCACGTCATAGAGCTGACCCAGCTTCAGATTAATCTGCACCATGTTCTTCTTGACGCGGCTCCGGTTGCCCGTCGTCCAGTGCTTGTCTGAGAACTCGTCCACCCAGCGCTGGCAGTCGTTGCGCATGATCTCCAGCACATCAATGGCCAGACTGTAGTATCCCGCCTCCTCAAACAGCTGCGCAATCGTGTATTTGACGCCCATGATTTCGTCGCTAAATGGGTCCATCCCCAGCTCGTCAGCCAGCGCGAGAGCTTGTCGGAAGTGCTTGTTGGCTTCGCGAATGTCGAGCCATTTGCCGCGGCTGTAGAAGAGGGCCTTGCGAAGCTTCTTTGCGACGGGTTCGGGGAAGTTGTGATACGGTCTGATGATGATGTTCTTGTAGTACCACGGAATGTAGAAGACACAGATGCCTGAAACGAGGGCGATACTGGCGGGGTTAGCACGTGCATGAGGGGCGGATTGACTCGGCGTACACTCCAATGGCAAAGGGAAACAGTATAGGGCTTCTCTGATACTGCTCACGGAACTGCTCTCGCATCGTGGAGCGATAGCGCCGCCCCAGCGGTTGCTGTGCCTGCCGCCACGGCTTTGCGGGCAGTTTTGTGCATCGCTGGAGGGGCGCTTGCGCCTCGCACCGGGCGAATGCGCTCACGCGGGGGGCGGCCCGTGGAACCGTCCGGCTCAGCATGTTGCGCCAAACAGAGGCAAAAAGGTGTTGTGGAGGGCGAGGAAGTTTGGTGGTGCGAGTGCATGCGGAACGAACTTTTAGTGCCTGCCGCGTGCAGTTCGGCGTAGGGCTGAGGCTAGCCGCATGACGTATTCTACCATGGACGCGCCGCCGTCGCGCCTCCCTCCTCCGCTCTCACTGCCGCAAACAATGTCCTGAGGCACTCCAACATGTGCGGCCGTTATGCTCTCGCTCTGGTGGGTATGCATCATCACGCTTGGCGCCATACGATAACTAACAACCCGTCCAGCGGCCATCGCAGGTCCGTCAGCAGCTCGAGCAGTCGCAGATGCCAGTGGCAGAGGCGCCCGATGACGACGGCAACGTGCGACAAAGCTACAACTTTGCCCCGGGATATCACGGGCTTGTATACCGAGCAGACAGTTCCGAAGACACCCGCGACCACGAGAATACCCGAATAGAAGATGCGGCCGGAGACACCAAGTACAAGTTGCAGTCAATGCAATGGGGTACACTCGCCCATGCTTTTGGCTTGCCGTTTCACTGACGGTATGCGGCAGGTCTTGTGCCTTTCTGGACCAAGCGCAATCCCGACTACGGGTCCAAGATGAAGACGATCAACTGCCGAGACGACTCCCTGGTCGAGGACCGTGGCATGTGGACCACTATGAAGAAGAAGAAGCGCTGCATCGTCGTGGCACAGGGCTTCTACGAGTGGCTGAAGAAAAATGGGAGCAAAGAGAAGATACCCCACTTTACCAAGCGCAAGGATGGTCAGCTCATGTGCTTTGCTGGACTCTGGGACTGTGTTCAGTTTGAAGGTCTGTCCTATTGTCTGATCATATGGGATTTGTGTCGCAATCTGGACATACTGATGGTCGCTAGACTCCAACGAGAAACTCTTTACTTACACAATCATCACCACCGAGTCAACGAAGCAGCTCAACTTTCTGCACGATCGAATGCCTGTCATTCTCGAGAATGGATCAGATGAAATCCGGAAGTGGCTTGACCCAACCCGTACCGAGTGGAACAGCGAGTTGCAGTCGCTCCTTAAACCATACCAAGGCGAAATCGAGTGCTACCCCGTCAGCAAAGACGTTGGCAAGGTCGGCAACAACTCACCCTCGTTCCTTGTACCAATCAACAGCGCAGCGAACAAGAACAATATTGCCAACTTCTTTGGTAACCAACGAGCGGCGGCGACCAAAATAGAGCATGACATGAAGGAGTTTGCAGACGATAAGGGTGGCATCAAGGTCGAACACGACGTTGATGAGACTCGTGCAACAACATACCGAGTGGAAGGTACCGAAGATAACGCCCCATTGCCTGTACCAGTCATGCCTGGCCCGCAGCCCGGGGACGAGTCCAAAAACATCAAACGAGAGCGCAACGATGATATCAGCGGTGGTACAGCCGAGACGGAGCGCCCGAACAAACGCAGTAAGCCTACATTATCGGCCTCTCCGGCCAAGAGCCCTGCAAAGACGACATCGACACGTGCAAAGAAGCAAGGTACGAGAAGCGCCACAAGTAACGGCAGTGCTGCAAAGACAGCCAAGTCGGATGGCTCGCGAAAGATTACCGCCTTTTTCAGCAACAAGTAAGCGCCGTCTTCCAAAAATCCTGCAATGCCTCTGCGCTCGAATTCAGGTCCGTTTTGCAGACAGGATATCTGGCGGTGAAGGTCCCGGAAGACCTCCTGCTGGGTCGGCTATATCGTACCGAGTATAGCCTAGGGCGGGATTGGCGGCGCAGGTACATGACTGCGCGGAGAAGGGCTTTTAGAGATTGGCATAGTAAGCAGGGAAAAGAAAGACAGGAAACAGGGGATCATCCTCCATGGACACACAGATAAACGCAGGCGACGTGTGTAGATCATCCACGTTGGATAGGCAGCAGCACCGTGTGTTGCCCCGCACTAACAGCGGGGAGAGCGAGCGGCCCTCCATCTAACCTAGCGCCCGCCGGTTGATGAAAACACCACCGGTCCCGGCCGTTTCTGAGGCCTCCAACATTTTGCGCGGCCCACTCTGCAGCGCACCTCTGATGTAGCCACCCCTGCATGGCTCCGGCGAATGCGAAACTGGCCCAATTGGAATAATCTGCGCCTTCTGGACTTGGCCATCTCAGATCCCGCCATACACGCGGTACCGCCTTTACATACCGTGCCATGTCATCTGCTCTTCTCTGCTCACTACCCTTCGCTATCCGTCAAAATTCTGGGCGTATCGAGCCCTGACAATCTGCCCCGCTGCCATCATGGCCTCCAAGATGGCTGATCTCATGGACCTGGTGGCCCAAAACCAGCCCAAGTTCCAGACGCATCAAGCGCTTCTTGTCATTGGTCTACAGAATGACTTTGTGCTGCCAGACGGACGGCTTCCCGTCGCCACCAGAACTGGCTTTCTTGACCGTATCCATACGCTGGTTCCGAAGTTCCGCGACCTTACCGGCAATGTTATATGGGTCCAGACGCTCTACGAGGCAGATCGCATAGCCACTGGAGCGGATACGGGTGAAGGGGACGCGCTTGTTGTTGGTGGCTTGATCGACGGCGACGAGAGCGGCGCAGAGGCTGGCGACGACGATCTGGGAAAAGAGGCGGCTTCATTACCCGCGCAATCAAAATCGTCAAAACACAAGCAACGCGCCCTTGACCTGTTGAAACGCGTGTCGGCGCGGAGAAAGACTCTACCAAAAGAGGTGGCTAAAGCTTCGGTCGAAGAGGACGACGAACTGTTTCTGCTGAAGACCGAAAGGCGTGCGCCAGCATGCGTACCTAAGACCCACGGCGCCGAGTTCATTGATGTCGTTGCTCGGCAGATGGAATTGCCCGCAGATGTCATAACGCGAACCACCAACTACTCGGCATTTCAAGGCACAAACCTGCTCATGACATTACGTGCACGGCTTGTTACTGAACTCTTCATTTGCGGATGCATTACAAACGTCTCTGTACTGGCCACTGTCATCGATGCCGCTCGACACGGAATCAGAATATACGTTGTAGAAGACTGTCTCGGTTACCGCAAGGAAAACCGGCATGAGTTGGCGTTGAAGCGTATGGAGGACTTTTTTGATGCATACCTAGTGAACAGCGAGGAGATTCTCGAAAGAGAACCACCGGAAATATTGCAGAAGCCACCGACAGCCGCGAACAGTGCCAAGAGCGACGCCAAACAGAGCGAAAAGACCATTGAGGCTTTGATGGGCAAAATGTCGTTGGGCGAAGACGGCAATGCAAAGAATACATCGCGCCCAGACGAGAAGCCGAGCGCTGAGCGTAATGCAGAGCCCACTGACAAAGAATTCGCCGATATGCTGGTCAAGGGTGCAACGGTGCCGGGTGCAGAAGAAGAGAAGCCCAAGCTCGTCAAAACCAAGATCAGAATGAGATCTGGAAAGACTAAGAAGAAGAAAAAGAAAGATAAGGAAGGGGGGCAGTTAAACAGTGACACTCCAGATGCCACTGATGAGGCTAGCACAGCGGCAAACCAAGACGCAGACGACTTGGCCCCGCCAAATATAGAGCGCCCCACGCCTACCAAAATCCCTCTGGAGTCTCAGCAGACTGCGCAGATTGCTAAAGCGGGGAGTGTTGCAGACTTGCGTGAAAAGGAAACTAAACAGCGTGCGTTGAAGAATGTAGCATCTGCGCCGACCATGTCAGCAAAAGGCGGAGAAGAGAAGGAGAAGAACAGATTGTCAGGGTTTTCAGACCGAGTGCGTCTTTCGTTATCTAGAGCGCCAAAATCCGAGCTTGGGTCTGATTCAAAAAGGCGGTCAACAAGTTCCTTGAAGGCATCTTCGACCATCTCAAAACAAGAAGAAAAGGAAACTGAACAGCAAGTAGAAAATCGACAGCCAGCCCCCGAGGCACTGTCTGAACAGCTACAAGAAGAAAAGAAGACGCCACCTGACGAAGATGCACATCCTCCTGCCCCGAGTAAGCCTTCCAAGTTACAATCGCTCGCCAACCTGCCTGTCCTTGGACCTTGTGATCACATTGGAGAAGGTGACTCGCGCATCATATATGATTTCTTCCCAGGCGATCTCCGTCACCCGTCTGACCGGTCTCAGCCACTCAAGGACCTCATTTTTGCACAACTATACAACGAAGTAAGATGGCAGAAGATGTTACATCAGCAAGGCGAAGTGCCGCGTCTTGTGTGCTGTCAAGGTACATTTGGAGACGACGGATCCATGCCGATATATCGCCATCCAGCAGATCAAACGCTGCCGCTTCTACACTTCTCACCCAAACTGCAGGTCATACGGAAACAGGCCGAAAAGCTCGTGGGACATCCGTTGAACCATGTCTTGATTCAACTCTACCGGTCGGGAAACGATTTTATATCTGAGCATTCAGACAAGACTCTTGATATTGTAAAAGGCTCTTCGATCGTCAATGTGAGCTTCGGAGCACAGCGGACTATGCGTCTTCGTAGGAAGAAACCGCAGCACAAGCAAGAAAACACTCTAGTGGAAGATGGAAGCACCACTGTGCGTGAGACTCAGCGCGTGGCTTTGCTACACAACTCCATGTTCGTTCTTGGACTCAAATCAAACGAAAAGTGGCTCCACTCTATCCAGCCAGACAAGCGTATCGCCGCCGAACGCAGCGAAGCTGAAAGAAGCCACAGTGGCATCCGCATCAGCCTGACATTCCGCTATATTGGCACATTTCTCGACGCAAAGGGCAACACGATATGGGGTCAAGGCGCAACGTCACAAGAGCAGCGCGACGCAGCAGACGTCATCAATGGAGACGAGGAAGAAGCAAAACGCATGATTACAGCATTTAGTCGCGAGAACCACAACCCAGATTTCAACTGGGATGAATGGTACGGCAATGGCTTTGATGTCCTCCACCTACAGGCACCACCTCCTGACCTTCCTCTTCTCTTTGCCTCCAACAACGCCATTGAAACCCGCCAAGTCCAGATTGCACTCGCAGAATGCAAGATTCCATATTCACTCATAGAAGCACCGAGTATAGATCCAGCATTCGAACGAAATCGTCACGCCACCTTTCGAGATGCAGACACAAATCATACAGAGATACACACATCGACTTCTATCCTACTGTACCTAGACCGCTACCACCACCTCGACACCTCACCCTTCTCACATCCTGTGACGGCCTCGGCATACCCAATCATGCTTCTCGGAGCGGACGTACTGGCATCATGGCTCGCTCGCTTAACAACACCTGGCTCCGAAGAGGACTTGCAGTGTCGTGTTCAGCGCCTAGAAGAGGATCTTGAGATGCATGGTGGTCCATTTATAGCTGGTAACAGATTCAGCATCGCGGATTGCTTTGCCTGGCCGATCATCGATGTCCTGGTGCGGGAGTGGGATGTGTGGAGTGAGGAGGCGTTTCCGCAATTGGACAAGTGGTACAGGGGGTGTTGGAAAAAGAAGGCGTCTGTTAAGAAGGCGAGAGAGAAGCTTGGGGAGGTAGTTGGGAAAACTGAGAGTGAAAGCAAGGCGTAGCTGTGATGGTCTTTTTTGTCCTTTTCGGTATACTCTAGCATCATCTCAAGTGGTTAGGGGCAGATACATGCATGGATGTACATGTCATGGTGCTTTCGAGTTTTTGCCGAGTTTTCGTCTACCGTACACACAAAATGCGCAATCTTTTCTCTATTCCCTCGTTTTCGTAGTCGTATCGTTGATGCCCTTTGTGTCGTACATTCAGGGAATTTACTTTCCCCATCTTAGCCATATCGTTGAGCGAAGAGGACATTGCCAACCATAGTTTTCTCAGTCATCCAAAAGGAAATCAGATCCAATGATTTGATCCAAAAATTAACGCCCGGATGCCAATCAACGTGTGTTTTCTTCCCATGTAGCTCATAGTCTCCTGTCGCAAAGGACAAGTCAACCCATGGACGAACATGACTCGAATCAAAGCCATTACTTAACCCTTTTTTCCATGCAGCTGAACAAGGCACGCGCAGAATAGACGCAAATCTCTCAACATCCAATCTCCAGCCCATCTACTTTGGTTGGGCTCAAGCCCAGGCCGCGCGGTATTAGAGGGAAAAGCCCATACGTACAATGCGCCCAGCGCGCGCGACGTCAAATCTCCGATAATTTCTCACGACCTTGTTTCTTTTCTTCTTCCTGCGCTCCAATCTGCTAGCAAAATCTGGTACTTCAATGCATCAGGAGGCTGGTGGTGTTGTCTTTTTTTTTTGATTCGGATCGTCGGCGAGGGTTTGCTTTTTGTGGTAGGGCGAATGCAAGGTTTTTCGTGTGCTAAGTACTGGCGGAGAGAAGGCGGTGCATGTGGATATTGCTTGAGGAATCGGGCCTGAATGTGGTTAAGAGGTCGTTGGCGTAAGAATATACACGGAGAGATGCTTTGGTGAGCCTTTTGATCATGCAAATACTGGAGACCGTAGTCGTTTTGTCGTCTTTCTTGCGCTCTCGTGACCTTTAGTACTGAAAAAAAAGCATTCGTGTGCCATGCGATAATCGGTAAGCGGCAAGTCAACTAAGTTATCGACTGGTTTACCTGTGTTATTTTTTTCATAAAAGGAGAAGCTTTCATCGTCGTCGATGCGCTTTAAGGAGGGGGATCTGCAAAACGCCTAGATTACAGGGACATGATAAGCAAAGAACTACTGACTTCTTCTTCGTCTGTGCATATCCGGCCGTTCCATGTTTTAATGTGTAAATAGTTGCGAAATTGGCTGTTGAAGTGGAGAACCGCTGATGGATACTTGTATGGGTATTGCACGATGCTGCCGCTAACCATATGGAAAGTTGAGTTTAGTGATGCTTGTGTAGACTGAAATGCTTTTCTCTCGAATTTTTGAAGTTTTTGGATATTCGTACTGTTAAATAGGGTTTGCTATGTATTGGTGGTGTCGTGCAACAGCGACTTTGGCCATATGAAACCTAACCAATCGAGGTTGCAGCCAGGAATTTCATGGCGAATATCATACTTGTATGGCAAGCAATTTAAGCCTTCCATTACCTGGGAAAGAAATGACATTGAGATTCGAGTCATAATCTAATCATAATTGAGCACAGGATTCCTAAAGGCGCCAAATTTGATATTAAAAACGTCAGCTCCAAAACGGAGCAAAGTCTTCCATCTGGCTGAGCACGCGCTGCCGGGCTTCAGCGTCGGGACCGGTGCGAGGAACACTATTTTGCACGTCAGCCACTGGATTACGAAATGTCACTTGGCTGTCATCGACACATGAAGCCTAACCCACCCCTGTCTTCAATTCTGAGGCGAATTATCCGTCGAGTGCCATAACAATGGATACACTGGATTTTGGAAGATGACAGACTGAAAAGTGGGGCGTGGAGAAAATGGCTGAGAATGGGTTGGAACGTACTTTATCTCACGCGATTGGCCCGTGGCAAGATCGAGGAGGTAGCCAATGATTGGTATGTCCTTCTGGATGATTGGAGAGGCTTTGAGGGACTGGATATCGCATCTGATGTTGCTTTCTACTTCTCCCGGTGACCACGCGCAACCTGATTCGTTAGATTAGAAACCCATGAGCATTATGTATGCACATACCCGTATGCTGAACAACGACAATCATTTCAATTTTGGTCGACTGCCCAGTTTCCTGTATGCTGGAAATAGCTCCTTCGGTCCGGCCGCCGGCAGTCTTGATCACGCGAGTCGTGTTGCTGGTGAGATTGAAATGGCAGGCCGGGTCCACCCGAGGGTCAGGCTCGCTGCACGCGACTAAGAATTGTTATCACAGCGTTTCAGCTGTTGTGCTTGCTTGAAGACAGCGAGATGACTCACTGACGACAAGCGTTCCAGAGTTTGACATGGCTTGCTGGTAGATCCGGGGTATATCTTTTGGTTGAGATGTGAATGCTGATGACTTTGAATATCTTGATGACGGGGCGATTATATCAAGACAAAAACCTGCATAATCTTCAGCACGACCGAACCCAACTTCAGCATCGTTTTCACCCACCGAGAGAAGATTGTTGGATAAAATGATTCTTCGTGGGATGAGGCGCCTTTTTCTTGAGTTTCTGGCCTGCAGTAATTCCTTTATCCGTTCAGCATTTGCTAGGCTTGATCACACGTGCCTAGACGATTCAAACCCCACCCAAAGACGGGGAATGTCTAGCAAGCCTCGTTGCATGATAGGATGCAGAGAGAAAAAATCTGCATGAGGATAGAAAAAGGTAGGTTTTATCACAAGAGAGTATTTCTGCGTTGGGTCAGTAGCAAATTAGTAGACTAGACCATACCCCATTGTAGCAAAGGTGGGTACTGGCGATCGGCCGATGCATTAGTGCCAGAGCTGATATGCCCTAATAATAGCCGTCGTACTTGGCGCAGCTGGACAACGAACCTGAGAATGTTGCACGAGCAATGTTTGACTTTCGTCAGATGCGATGGCTTATCCAATGGCGCGCAATGACCAAATTGATTGGTCGAATCTCCTATGACGCACAGTATAATGACAGGCTCGGGGCCGAGCAGTTCGGTCCAGCGTGAAGGAAGCACTATGGAAGACATTGGCGATGCAGCCACCAACGCCATAGCAGCTTTTCAGATCGGTATACCAGAAAACCAAGACGATTTACAGATGGGCGTATAGCTTATTCTGCCTAGTCAGGCACAGCTCGTGTACGGTAGCCAACTGAGCCTAATTGCACACATTTCGCATGGCGACCACAATGGGTGTACAAAAAAGCCGAGTTGTTTCCACAAGCTATGCAGGCAAGTGTAGCGACCCAGAGTTTGGCCCGGAAGTCATGCTGGACAAGCTGTTGCATAGCGAAGCCTGTCAGAATCGAAATGGATACATCCAGTGGCGTATGGCACGACTACGTCACCCTCCCACGACGCAGTATTGTGATAGGAATTGGCTGAAGTGGGGGGTGCATGACGAGAGCTCGGCCAAGGGTTTGGTGTATACGTGTGCTTCCTCCGTCGTGTGCAAAGGTCGTGCGATAGAATACAAAGGCCCGAGAGCGGATGGATTACTGATCATTCGGTAAGACGGGTGCCACAGGTTGACTTGCGGAGACTGCGTGTCGTCTGCATGCCGTCCTGCCGGTCTCTGCACGAAGGCGGCCCGCTGGCTGCAAGAGGAAAGGCACGAACCGGGTAGGCCGAACTGTAGCTACGTAAGCTGAAATGTCGCTTAATAACTCGCTGCGATTCGATCTGCCCAAGAAGATGGACGTTGGCGTTTGTGGGCCACGATACTTATTCGCCGCGGCAGTGCGGGGTGTTTTGTGCTTGTGATTAGAAAACGGGCACGGCTCGTCGGCATCGTTGCCAATCAGCGTTGTGCAATATCCAAGCACATGAAAACAACATCGGCAACTCGACACTTGCAACGGCACGAGTGATGGGACTGCTTGTTTTTCGGCAACATGGTGACATAGAGCGTGCTAGCAACCTCAGCTCCATGTCGGCATGTAGAGGACAAGTCAGATGCAAGCCACGGCACACCTGGCCAGGTGACTTGCAGGAAGCACCTTGCATAACTTGCATCGGCTTAGGCGCGTGTAAATGACCATAAAAGTAGAGAGGCTTGGAATATTAAACATTAAATTATAGTAAACACTTTCTATATTTACATGGTCGTTACTAAGGCTCCGGTCCTCAAATACGCTCTTTGCAGAACAAAGACAAAACATCGAGACTCATGCCTTGCCACCATGATCCTTCCCAGAGCGCTCCACACCCTGCCTCTCGCTAGCCGTGGTGTCTCCGATGCACACGTGATATTGGGGCGGCTGTGAGCGTCGGCCCCTGGTCCTCGATAGGGTTGGAAGCGGAATCGTTATGTATAAAGCGGGGGCTTCTTCTAGCTTGGCTCGATATGGTGGCGGGGCCTCGCCGTTGCGATCCAGGCCTTCTTCCTGGAGTACAAAAGGCATATGGCTGGCAGCATATCTCCCATGCATGAAAATTCGAGGGTGGGACCATGCTTGCATATCCCTTGCCAGTGCTTCCTCTTCCGCCTGACGCCGCAGCTCTCTTTTCCTCGCCGTTCGACGGTAGAAAGACCACGCAGCATAGCCAGCTAGTATGAAGAGCGCGGCCATGAGTACGAAGTAATATTTGAGAATTCTGATGGCTTCTGGCGTGTTGCCCTCGAACTGCTCGTTATCTTCCATGGCCACAACAAAGGGGAATCAAGCTCTCCGCTGGTGAATGATGGAGTCTTCGCAGACCAGAGTATCAGAAATCACACGAGGATGCGAACTTTCGTGTAAGTGTATGTGACTATGAGGACACGCCAACGGCTTTGGATACGCGGATACGGTTGCCTATGGCGGTTCAGAAGGTAGACAAAGGAAGGGATGTCGATTAAAGAAATAAATATTTTGACGAGTCACATGGGTGTGGGGACATTGCGCTCAAGTTGATGCCAGACCGGAGACAGGAGAAAGTCTTTATTACTGTTCATGCATTACCATATCCTTCTGCGATAGCTGGATGCCGAATAAGCAAGTACCGGGCGATAGATGGTGCTGGTTAGAAGGGGGAGGCATGAGCACTCAATAGCGCCCCGAGTACCTTGAAGCATGACGATAGACAGTACCAGTGGTCGGTGCCTCTGAGAGTGACGAGGAAAGGCCGGCGCTGGGGTCGTGATGCCTGGCCTCTGCGGAGCCTTGGCGCACTTGCGTGGTAGGGCGCCAAGCCATCGCGCCTAGCCGCTCCGGCCCTTGGACTGCAGCTGGCACCGTGTTGTCCAGTCTACCTACTCACCTGCCCTCGCCCCTGTAGACGTCCTCAACATCACCCTTACAATGGTCAAGGCCATCAGAGGTATCGCCTGTGCCTATTGTTTGTTTTCGCCGCGCTAAATCCCCCAGGAACGCTCGTCAAGTGCGACGCATCCATCAAAGCCATGCTGGTCGACATTGACAGCAAAAACAACAACGAATACATTATCGAGGAACTCGACGAGGAGCACATACTGGTCAAGGAAACCAAGATCAACGAGCTCAAGTCGCGTCTGAACCAGGTGCGCATCACGCTGCAAGACGGCAGGCCTTTGGCTGACACTCACAGATGATGAGAGAACGCTTAAAGGAACCAGAGAGCTCCGACTCTGAATAGAGCTGCTGCACCAGATGCTGCCCGAAATGCGTCTTCCCCACACCGCGACCGTCGACCCAACGTCTACCGTTTACCATCTGTCTCCATCGGTGAGCGTCATAACGCTCAGGCCATCGTCTAGTTCTGAGGCGCACCCTCTTGAGCGCCAATCCACTTGGGCCTGTTCTGGGTGAACAACTCGGCATCGGTCTTGAAGTTATCTAGGATGCTCGTGTCGTCGAGCGTTCCCGCCTGTTTAGAAATCAGCAAGGCCAGGCCAATGGTACCTTGGGACATGCCTTGATGATGCGCTGGCCAGCAAAGCTTGGACTTTGTCGCCACATGGTCGAGCCGCAATCACCACTGCCCAACGTTAGAAACTGCTCCGAACATCGTCGGGGCCCCATACCAAAAGAACGAGGTTATTTCTTTTCCACTGTCCGCTGTCTTTTTGTATTGCTTTGGGGTTCCCTGGGTGATCTTGAACTTGTCCTCGCTGTACATGGCGTTGCTGGAATAGGTTGACCCAGAGATTTTGCGGCAGTCGAAACAGTGGCAGAGAACCTGCACTTACTGTCAGCCTTGACTAGCCTTGTCTGGTCTGCCTCTTACGCTGGCCTCGGCTTTCCCCTGCACTTCATAGCGGATATTTCCGCACAGGCATCCTCCGGCAGGCATTGTGGTGGACTGTGGTGCTTGTTGTGGATGTTTTGGGTTGGATCACAAGAAGGAGTCTGCAGGTTTAGGTTTTGGGATCGTCGCCGTCACGTAACCCAGGGCTTTATACTTGTGCCTCTACCCCGCCGTCCGGACTGCCGAATCGACTGAAAGCGCGCCTTATGCCAGTTTCCCCACCACTAGTCCTAGCGTCAAACACGCCTTCCAGACTCTCTCTTTCCACCTGTTCGGGTCGATGGATGTACAAGCATCGGATCAGCGGGATCCAGGTGTGACTGCTGACAAAAATGGGGTTCCACCCACTGTGCGGAGCACCGTTCCCTCTCGCTTGTTGAGTCCTGCATAGGGCGCGGTTGACGCGCTGGCTGCTTGCTAAGAAGGGACGCATTATGTATTGGCCAGTGAGCAGTGCACATATTGCTTGAATCGAATGAACATCGCTATGACGTACAAGACAAGGCCAGAGCGGGGCTTCCCAATGCGGTTACTGTGAAAATGGAACACGTGAAGTCGAGACAATTTGGCGTTGGCGCGTGTCTACCCCTTCACCACCGACTCCGCGCTCCGCCATTATGTGATGGGTCTTGGACACTTGTACAAGCGCTGGTCATACACGACACAGCCTTGAGTATTCCTTGTCCAATCTGTGTCAAGAACATACTCTTGTCTACAATTTAACCGACATGGCGGCGAGCACATCTAATGTCTGGACGCAGATGAACTATATCCCTCCGCGCGGACAATGCAACCACAAACCTTCGCTGCTCGCTGCTAGATGCCCTTGCCTGCGTTTCATGTTGCACCCGCTCAAGGTAAGCATTGCCGCTGACCTCAGGCTTAGGCTTAGGCGACGGTGGATTCTGCATTTACTGACGCAGATGCAGTCATCGTCCTCGTATGAATGCGACGGATGTGGCCACCACGCCTCGTTTCACAGCATGGAGAACAAAGCAGAGGACGAGATTCGCAAACGCTGGGAAACAGAGGAAAAGGAACGGGCCGAGCGGAGCGACGAGGCACGGCAACGACCGAAGAAGCGCATGCGCGCCATCGAATACAACCGGGACGACGACGACACGGAGCTTAACCGGGCAATCAGTGAGCTGATGCAGGGAGCAAAACCAAAGCCCAAGGCCAGTGTTACCACTAGAAAGAAGCCTGCCAAGGTCGCCGGAGCGAGAGCTAAACAAAAGGCTAGCGAAATTACAGACGATGATACGGTCGTGGAGCTGGATTGAGTATCGTACGGGGTGATGGCACGGCGTTCTGGCTATGATTCTGACATTGCGATTTGATACCCACATAAAAAGTTGCGCTTGTTGTAAGAATCGTGTAGAGTATGCAGGAGCAGGAGCATAATCTGTAGCACTCTCACTCTTCCTTTGATACTCAATAATGCTGGGGTAGCGTGGGGGTCGCCTTCCACGTCCGTCATGATGCCAAGGCCCAGCTCCTACGCGCATCTCATCTTGCGCCGCGTCCTTGTCCCTCCTTCGCCCCACCTCGACTTCTCGCAGCCTCCCACACAGCATGTTGACCCGGGATTCACTTCTTGCATAGCCATGAAATTCTGGCTTTACACATGTTGAGCAACTCCCATTCGCGCATGACCGATACCATTGTCCAACGCACCCAAGCAGCCTCTTAGCTGTACAGCACAACTGCCATTTGCGCTTTAACCATTGCACCTTAACATAACTAGCTGTCAGCAGCTCCAGTTCGCCTGCCAACATGGCGACGCCCACACCCTCCAAAGACAAGGAGACGCCATCCAAACACCTCAACGCGTTCTCTCCTGCACCGCGCAGCGTACCACCTACCGGACATATTAATATGATGTCGTACGATTCACCCGCGGTTCTCAACATGCTCAATGACGTGGCGAACTCGGGAATGGGAGGCGTTGGCATGGGCATCAGCATGAGTGGACTAGGCATGTCCAACCTGGGTATGACGGCTAGTGCAACGGGACGCGCAGACGAGGCCGAGAGGAGTCGGAGGCTCCGAGAGATCATAGACATTGTAGGGAAGAAGCCAGGACGCGTCAGTGAAGAGGGCCTGCTTGCGCTGTGCGACCGAATGGGCATACCATACGAGAAGCACATGGACGAGGCAGGCACCTGGAGTCTTTTAATTGGCGATGAGGCGCTGTGCGATGTCACATTCAAGAACGATGAGATTGCAAGTGTGAACCTGCAGACTGGGCTCGACGACTCGAGGCCCGACTTGAACTTTGGCGCGACAGGCTCGGAAATCCTTGTGCGGAGTCTGAAACCTCTTCCAGGGCAAAGCAAGCTGAACGTGACGCTGGAGCGCTTTTCCGAGAGTTTGGAGAAGCTTTTGACGCTTGACAAACTGGGATCCTCGCAAAACGGTGGAGTTAGTTGCTACAACGCAATTGCGGGAATCTACACGAGCCTTCGGAAGCTGTTCGAGCACGAGAAGAAGATTGAGCTTGCAAAACGGGCACCAGACGAGCGATACAGGACGCACAAAGCGGAGCGAGAGGTCATGTGCAAGAAGAGCGGACGGCCGAGGTTCAATGGCGGATCGTGTCTCGGGCTCAGTCTGGAATACTGGATGGACGCGCGGTGGGTAATTCCGAAAACGACACCTGAAGCACTGGATAAGGGCAAGGACAAGATGGACGCCAACTCGCCGGATGCTGCCTCATATCCCGAGGACGATTATTGGACCAACAACAAAATGTACTCGCTAACCATCGAGTGTGAGGCTTCGCCGTCGGCGCTCTATACGCCCATCCGCATATCCAACGAGTGGATCAGCGATCAGATTGAGAAGACGGCGGACAACCACGATGCGGACCACTTGAATAATATGCTCATGAACACGTCATCGATAGACTGGCTTGAACCAAAGCCAACGTACCTCGAAGCGCCCGAGCAGACTGACGATGCAATGAACCTTGACTCTGCTGCGGGTAGGTTGCCTAACGCCCGATTTGTTGCCAAGTTCAACCCACCGCTCGTCGTACCCTACGCTGTGCATATGCAACTGCACCAGACGGTTGGTCTCGAGCCGCGCAACGATGACTTGCGGCCTACTACGTTTGTGGGACTGGCACTTAGGCCTGGAGAGGTTGACCCAGGCATGTCTGGCACGACTGGCGAAAACACACATGAGATTCGGAGTTCGCATGTGGTACTGTCCAAAGACCTGGAGGGAAACCACACGGAAAAGCATCACAGCATGAGCCTGTACGTGCCGAAGCTCGAATACAGCCGTACACTCGAGAGTCTTCCCTTCAGCCACCCGAAACAACTAGTCGAGATACTGCCGGTGCTGCGCCAGTACGCGCACGCGACAACGCTCCTCCGCAACAGTTTCTACGAAGCGCCGCAAAAGCCGATTCCCACTCACAAACTCGGGCAGCCACTGGCGGCCAAAGCAAAAGCCCCGGATGCGGCGCACGCAGCGCTGCAAATCGATGTCACGCTCAACTACACGCCGCCCATCCCACGCATCACAATGCACGTGCCCCACCCCTCTGCGGCTACGTCTTCGCTTCAAGACGCGCGCACCAAGTCGTCAAGCACAGACGACGTATCGCATCTGCTGGCCCAGCTCCTGTCTGACGAGACGGCACATGGCTACCACGGAGCGCTCAGCGTGGTGGTTGATTTTCACGCCAACGGCGATGTGGTGGTGACGGAGCAGAATGTGATAGGAGGAGGAGGAGGAGGGGGTGGCGAAGAAGAGGCGAAGCGGATGGGGCAAGGGTTGGATGTCAGCGATGATTTGGGGGTGTGGGCGGAGTGGCTGCGTCGAGAGGCTTTGCGTGGAGGTAGGTAGGTAGGTAGGTAGGTAGGCTGGGGGTGTGGAGGAACAAGGGGCGTGGGGTGTGGTTGGACTAGTGGTTAGCTAGGAGGAGTGGGATGTATTGATTGAAACATGTCACTTGTGAATGACCGAGGCAAAGAAGAAGAAGAAGAAGAAGAAGAAGAAGAAGAAAAAGAAAAAGAGTGCTGCCAGCTGCTGGAACATGTGCTTGGAAGAAAAGGTCTAGACTTGTTATATTGAATACACTAAGCACCATGTTTGTGCAAAGGGATACATGTCAGCAGACAGTCTCACAAGACTATGAATGATAGCACAGTGACATTCGATAGATGACTAAGGATGAAATCAGTCACATTCAATAGATAACCAAGGATGAAACGATGGTTTGAGAGGGAAAATGGTCATCTCACATGCGAATCCATGCACACACACACACACTCATGGCAAGCAAACACAGACAGTATCATGACACCAAACCCGTAAAGGTTGTAATTGGCTAGTCCGAATCCTAAACCCATAACCATGCCATGATTCATCCAATTCACAACCCAAAGACAAGAGGCAGCGGGCAACATATCTTCCATCTCCCTTTCTCTCATAACAAATAGTCTAAAGTGCGCAAAAATGGGGTATGGATCAACAAAGTAAAAAGCGAAACATTTTATGGCTTGTGCACATCAATCACCATTTCCGTCTCGACCGTGTCGGCCTTCTTGGCGAACCTGGCAATGTCGGCACCCTCAACCTTGCCGTACATGGTCTCGGCAATTATACCGGTGATCTGGTATGGGTCACCGTTGGAGGCGGGACGGCGGTCCTCAAAGTACCCCTTGCCCTCGGCGGCGACGGCGCGGGGAATGCGGACGGAAGAGCCGCGGTTGGCAACACCCCAGGTGAACTTGTCGTACGAGGCAGTCTCGTGCTTGCCAGTCATGCGGAGCTGGTTGTCGGAACCGTAGACGGCCATGTGCTCGGCCTGGCGGGTCGAGAGCTTCTCCATGGCGGCCTCAATGGCCTTCATGCCGTTCTCGCCACGGGTCTCGACAGTCGAGACGTTGGTGTGGAGACCGGCACCGTTCCAGTCACCGGGGATGGGCTTGGGGGCAAAGGTGACCTTGGCGCCAAACTCCTCAGCCACGCGGTGTAGGAGGAAACGAGACATCCAGAGCTGGTCGCCAAGGTCGATGCCGGGGCAGGGACCGACTTGGTACTCCCACTGGGCGGGCATGACCTCGGCGTTGGTACCCGAGATGGCAATCTCGGCGTACATGCAGGCCTTGTAGTGGGCCTCGACAATGTCACGGCAGAAGACCTTGCCAGTACCAACACCGCAGTAGTAGGGGCCCTGGGGGGCGGGGAAGCCGTTCTTGGGCCAGCCGTATGGCCAGCCAAACTCGTCGAGCAGAGTGTACTCCTGCTCGAGACCGAACCAGAAGTCGGCGTCCTTGTGCTTCTCGAAGATTATGGCGGCGTCATGGCGGAAGTTGTATGCGTTGGGGGCGCCGTCGGACATGTACGTCTCGCACATGACGAGGACGTTGTCGCCCAGACGGAAGGGGTCGGGGTAGTATGCGACCGGGCGGAGGTAGACATCCGAGTTCTCGCCGGGCGCCTGGCCGGTCGAGGAGCCGTCAAAGTTCCATTCTGGGAGGTCGGCAAGGCTTTCGACCTTCTTCTTCAGCGTCTGCGAGTGATGTCAGCCTACATGCGGTTTGGACGGATGTCGGGTGAAGCAGGGCGGGTGGTGGGGAGCGTGTGGGGAGCGAAGACGTCAGAAGCCGAGCAGCCCTTCGGCCGGCCGTGTGTGGCTAGTGGCGGGCTTATCGTGTGGTCGCGATAAGAAACGCCACCTCGGCACAGGGCAGTTGCGATTGGCGCTCGCTACGTCACACAAGCATGCAACTGCACATTCACAACGCCAACGCCAGCTCCTGTGGGCTGTGATACAGCAACGTTGGCTGCAACAAATGTCGCAACGAGCCTTGGGTAGGCGTGTGCCAAGGTGGGACGGAAGGGGAAAATAAAAAAAGAAAAAACGAACCTTTGACTTTGAGCGGATACCGTTGGAACCGTCAATCCAGACGTACTCGGCCATGACGGCGCCCTTTTGGGGCAAGTCAAGGTACTTCTTGAGCTGTCGTGTGTTAGATGGCATGTCGGTACAGGCACGCGAGCACGCGGCTACATACGTTGGCAGCATTGGAAACGATTGTTGAGTTGGCCTGTGACGCGCGTGAGCATTTGTGCCGTCGAGAGAAGGCGTGTGTATGTGGAGAAGCATACCATGACTGCGGTTGTGTGGTGGTATTACGAGGGTGGAGTGCAGGAGGGAGGGAGGAAGAGAGCGAGTCTGGTGGAGGTTGGAGGGGTTATATGGTCGAGGTGGGGGGTTGTGACTGGAGAAGAGGTGGAGAGCGAGAGATAAGGATGGCGGGCTGGGGCATGCATTATATGGTAAGAGTAAGAGTGGTGGATGGGTGGATGGACGTGTCGAGTGCCGGCGAGTGGCGGGGCTAGGCCGTGGTCAGATAGCCATTGCACCTAGGCTGGCCGTGGCCAAGAGCCGTCGCCGAACTGTATCCGTGGGATGGGAGAGACAAGGCCAAGCAGCAAAGCCAGCCAGCACTTGCTTGGTTGTGTCGATGCAGGCCAGCGCTGCCCACACCCACACCCACACCCACGCAGGCAGCATACCCCGGGCGCCCGCTAATGCTGCCGTGCCCGCGCTGCTGGGACAAGGGCGCAAACCGACCGCGGGCCTATAGCATGTGCGTTGTTTTGCCGTGTACATAGTACTATACGCGGTGCTCACGCCCACACCCACGCCCACGCTCACGCCCTGACGCTGACGGCGGCTTCTTTGGGGTATGCGTTGCGTTGCGTTGCGTTGCGTTGCGCTGCTTTGTTGATGTTTGCTGACGGCGGAGCGCTTTCGGGTTGGCGCGGCTGGTCGCAACGCACAGCCCTCGCTGGTCGCTTGCGGCTTCCGAGTTTGACCGCCGCGACGCTGGAAACCGTCGCTCCTGCCTTTGTCTGCCGTCGCGGTAGTGGCAGTGGCTAAATTTACCCACTGCACACTAGTCGTCGCTTCCACCGCTCCACTGTTGCTGTTGCTATTCTTTCCCTCGTGCTCGCACTCGCACTCGCGCGCCCTGGCCACTGCCGCCATCGTATCGGCCGCACCGCCTCTGTTGCTAATGCCATTGCTATCGTCGTCGTCGTCGTCGCGCTGCCCGCCACCCAAGCAGGAAAAAAAAAGGTAAAAAAAAAGAGGGACGCGGGGCCACGACGACGTCTCGCGACACGTGCAGGGGCGTTTTTTGTTTTGGGCGCGCAATCCCAGCACCCGCGACTGAGGTTGGGGGGGGGCGATAAGGCCGGTGAGAGCCAATGGCGGGCGTGGCAGTAAGGGCGACTCGTCATGGGCTCATCAGCGCCAGACGGCGGTCGAGTGCCGCGACGTTTCTTGTAGTCAAGGTAATGGCTGGCCGCGCCCTAAGGCGTCGGGGCCCTGTTCCAGAAGGCTGCTGCGACAATTTGCATGCTGCTTTTGCACACTGCCTGTCCGCCCATTGGGCCCGCCGCCGCTTCAGGCACGGACTGAGAGATTTCCACGCCCACCCCACACAATGCTGCTGCTGCTGCTGCCGCTGACACTGATGCTGGTCCTGACCATGATGCTGGTGCTGATGCTGGTACCAGTACTGATGCTGGCGCTGGTGCTGATGCTGGCGACGACTTGTTGCTCCCACCGCCCTCGCCATCGCCGCCATCGCCGCCATCGCCGCCATCGCCGCACATTATGTCCAAATGCCGCCCGCTATCGCCCAAGCTACCCCACGGCCCTCACCACCCAGCCCGCTCCCACTCCGTCTCTCCCAATTATCCCGACGTGGGCATAAAAAGCCGCATCGCGACGTCGGAACCGCTCTCTTGCGCCCTGGACGTTGCCGTCTAGCGGGGTTGCGGGCGTGCCGTCGATCTGCCAAGCCCCAGCCCACCCTGGCTCCAGAGATAAGGGGGAAAAACGCGCTTCCATTGTTACGTGAGCCTATCGAGTAACGCCCGCCGCCCACGCTGAGCCCGAGCCCGCCTGTCTCGCTGTCCCGGCCTGCGACTGCGACACCACGTTTGCTCTCGTCTTATAAACAATACACGTCGCCCCAGCCACACGCTCACAAACGCCTGTGCTCATCGTCGGCCATCTGCCACCAAATATGCGCAGCCGTGCCTGTGGCCGTGTCATGTCTGCTTTGGGCAAGGCTGGGGGGGGGGCCGCTCCGTGTGCTGCAGCGGGCTCCAAAAAGGCTTGTCTTTTCCCCAGATCACATCTCACTGCTGATCCGCCAGGTCCAACGTCCCTATGGTTCGCAGCAGGCTTATCGCCTGCGCGCCGATGGTGCGGGCGGATAGTCGTGGGCAAGCGCTGGCTCGTGTGGCCTGCGCCCGATAGGAAACTCAACACCATCCCGGGGTCGACATGGAGCCAAACCTGGGCAGCCTGTCTGTCCACAGTCCGTCTCTCTCTCCCTCATGCACACCTTTGTCTCGGCGTCGTCTCCATGCCAATCAGATAGCCATGACGCGCTGAAAAGCGCTCCACTGCCCTGCTGTTCGGTACACTGCCACGCCCATCATGCACTCCCACACACCAACTTGGCACGGCCCCTCTGCCCTCGACGGCTTCACTCAATGACCTGCAGCCCTGCGTGCTTCTAGTGCTGTGGAGAGCCCGTGTACCTGCAGCAGCACTCAACCCGCAGCACTGCGCTGAGGCGGCAACGGGCGGCGGACGGGCGGCGAGGGGGGGCGGACAACGGGAACAATCCAGGATACGACGGATGTCCGGGGGACTAGGCTTTAGAGACGGCCGCCAGCGGCATGGCGCACACAAATCTGGGGTAGACTGGTGGGCTTGGTGGTGTTGCTGGCGAATGCTTGGGGCATATTCCCCAGTTCTCCATACCCCTGGATTTGAGCCAATCACAGCGTCCAGCTAGCCCTAGACGGAGATACCGAAACCGGTCTGTGTCCATGTGTGAGCAATGTGCAAGATAAGCCGGACGGGTTCGACACGGCCGTTCTGTAGCTATGTGCGAGGTACTGGCAGACGTCGTGCTCAGCCCATTGCTCGTGCTCGCGCCTTTTCTGAACGTCCGGCTGACGTCAACGACAATCTGACAGTGACAGCGTTAGTTGCCACCCACCTGCAACCAACGACGCCATAGCGACCTTGCCTCAGCTGGTGCTTGGCTGCGAAGCCAGTGGTCCAACGGGCGGCCGGGGAAGCGGAACACGGTTCGCACAATATGATTGTGGCCGTTGGAGCAAGCAGCGTCGCGCGTCTCTCTTGGGCGCAAGACATTCTCACAATGGCCCTGTTTGTATGCTTGTCCCATTGTGAGCGAGTACATATATGGCTGCAAGAGGTTAGCCATGGCCCCCAAGAGCATCAACAGAGGCACCAAACCCCATCGCCGCTGCCAGAATCGCCACCCGGATAGCGATACATGTGCTACGTCGAGCACGTCTATCACCGGCCCTGCCGTCACTGGGGTCGTGATCGCTTTGTTGGTGACCCGTGTTGCCGTTCGCGGTTTGCCAACGGCTATCACGTGCCCTGCACCTACGCCGACAACATGGGGTCGGTCAACAGCAACGAGCTGTGTGGCGATTGCAGGTACCGGCTAGCAAGCGGAGGGGCATGGCGGCCGTTGGCTGGTGTCGTTGCTATTCTGCAGGCCAGAGTGGAGATGAAGGTGTACGACAAGCTGGCCAGGCCGTGACGCCGCCGCCGCCTTGGATGGTTCCTGGGATGGATGCGATAGCCTCGGTCTGGATCTGGATATTTGCATCATGGTGTTCGGTTGCGGAAACCCCAGTTGGACAGAGTCTCTTTTTCATCAAACAACCTTTGTTTGCCACGAGGGGTCATGCTCATCGTGGTTCCGGAAGACGTAAACAAGCAAGGTCTCGGCATGCTCGACGGCCTTGCGGGATTTGGAATGGAGATTGGGGGGGGGAGGCGCAGGACAGATGGGAAAAGGCGACGCAGGGACAGCAGACGGGGACAAGCAAAGGATATGGACGGGCAGAGGTTCAATTGTGATGTTATGAAGTGGTAGCAAGGTGAGGGGAGGGGGCTTGGCACAGTGGGTGCAGCCAATCAGCGGCTCGCATGAGGTAACAGCAACCGGGTTGGGGATGCCCATGGGGAATGGTGCGTTGGCTGGTCATGAGGAATGAGGCCGCGGGCCTTTTTGGTAGCTCGAATGCAGTATAGACATGAGAGGGGAACGCGTAGCTGCGGGGTCTGGCATGGTGTTGTTGGAGTCTCGTGGTCGTGGTGGAAGCACGCCCGTCACACGTGGCCCAAGACGTGGACGTGAAGGCGTCGGATGGCGGAGTGTTATTGCTACATAGACATGCGCAGACTACCTCGACTCAGGCGTGTGCAGCGTATGGCGTCGGCGCCTCGAATAGGAAGGGCATACGAAGCGCCCGTACGTTTGCATGCAGTGCGAGCACGAGCACTTGACGAGTGAGTGGCGCATGTGGCGCGCAGCCAACCCGTCAAAAGACGGGCGTGTGGCTGTCTGGGTGGCGCATTGGGGCCTAGCGGCATCTTTTGGGCGGCCCAGGGACAATGGCAGCCCCTGAGATTAGCGAGGGCTTTTCCGCATCTGGCCAATGACTCGCCCGCCCGCCCGCCTCAGCCAAGCCACCCGAGTAGAGGCCCCAAAAGAAAGACTACCATAGTCACCATGCTAGTCATGCCAGTCGCACATGGCATTGCTCCCCCGCCCCCCAAAGGGCTGCGCCATGATTGACAGTTGACAGAGCCGAACCATGGGACAGCAACGCGGCAGAGCAGCCTGGTGTGCGCAGCCAGCAGCGGAGATTTTTCTGGGCGCATGCATGGTGCGACGACTCCACACTCGTGGATGAATTATTATGTACACATACGTACACGCATCCGCCGCGGCTGTATTGCGGGCCTTGTCTCTGCAGAATGCATAGAGGAATCGCCGATGGTACGGCCAGTCTTGGGTGCGAGTGCTGCGCTATCCAGCAGCCCTCCCTGATCTAGTAGCAGCCCCGTGTAGAATAGTGTGACCGAGAGGCCCAGCAACGTCGAGATACTAGTAATAGTACCCCTAGTGCTATAGACTATAGACGCGGTCGGTGCCAAGCGCTGCTCACGTGAGCGCCGGCACAGCATAGCCTCGCCCCGTCATCATAGCCATGTACGCATCTCTCTATGTATGCATGCAATTACATAGCCATGGCCCAGACTGCACAACTCCCACGCACCCCCAGCACAACTCTGCCACCCGCGTCTTCCCCCCCCTCCTCTGTCCCGCGCCCCGTCCAAGACAAGTCTCAAGACAAGACAAGGCAAGGCAAGACAAGGCAAGGCAAGACAAGACCAGACCCGACCAGACCAGACGGCTGCTCGCCCGCCCGCCCGCCCGCCCGCCCGCTCGATACGTGTCGCTGGCCGAGTCGGAGGCCATGATTCAGGCCATGGGGGGCTAGAGCGAATGGCACATGCAAAGGGCAACTCGGGCTCCAGCCTAGCGAACATGCACGATCGCCGCCCGGGATCCCTATTGCACGCCGTAACGACCCCCCGACTAGAAGCTCTATCTGATACTCTCCCAATCTCACCTCCCACCCAGTTCCCTCCTCCCCCCCCCTCGCCTCGCCTCTCCTCTGCCCGTCCTGCCTCGCGCCCCCAAAAAGCATTGCCCGGGACGCTGCACCGCGCCATGAACCACTGACGCCGCCGCCCTCTCTGCGCATCCTCTCCCGCTGGCTGGCGATACCCCCCCCCTGTCGCTTTTCCTCCGACCCACGCCACCCTGCACCCTCGCAGTGCGACAAAGACGGTCCAATTGCCCGCCCTCGCCGCACCCGCGCTCTTTTCTTTTGTGTTTCGCAACCTATATGTTGTAGACGCTCTCCTGCGCCATGCATAGGCATACCATGTCCGAGACGGCCGCCATGCCCTCGTCTCGCTCGAGCAGGACTCCCAGCTTCACCAGCGAGCGCTCGCCCTCACTCGCCGGCTCCGTCACCTTCCCCATGCCCACCACCACAGTGCGCCCCGCCCCCGCCTACATTGCTGCCTCAGTCGCGTCGCAGACCGTCACCGACCACCACAATGCCCAGCTGAGCGACAGCGACCACGACCACGACGAGCTGGCCAACGCCGTCTTCTCCGACCAGGCATTGTCGCTGCTCAATGGCTTCCTCGACCACCTGCTCCTGGCCTTTCTCTCTTCCGCCAAATCCCCCTCCTTGACCGCCATCCGCCCCGCCATATCCGACGTACTCAAGCCGCACCTTGCCCGCGAGGCCATGGAAGCCGCCGACGAGGAGCTGCAGGGCTTGCTGGCCGGCGAGGACGACGACGAGTTTCCCGCACAGGACGGCAAGACGATTGAGACGTGGGACGTGGAAAAGGTCTGGAAGCGCACCCGTCTGCGCATCATGGTCTACACGCGCCTGGGCGAGTTGGAGGACGAAGACGAGGAGAGATATGTCCAGCAGGAGCGCGGCCTCAGCATGGATGACGACGACGACGAAGCTGGTCTGGTGTCGTGGGCCTCGGCCATCTTTTTGACCTCCGTCATAGAGTACGTTGCTGAGCAGCTGCTGCTCGTCTCTGGCTCCGCTGCCTTTGGACGCCTCGAGTCGAGAAACAAGAAGACGGCTGAGAAAGCCGACACGCCCGAAGATCCCGCCGCCATCGAGCGCCTGACGGTTGAGGAGCCCGACGTGGAGAAGATTGCACTCAACGCTGTACTCGGCTGCCTCTGGAGGACGTGGAGGAAGCGCATGCGATCTCCCCTCTCGCCCCTCTCGCCCAAGCAGCGCATGCGCTCCGCCTCCAGCTACTCGAGCCTGCCCATGCGCAAGTCCAGCCGCGAGACAATCAACACGGTGCACAGCGAGCACGAACTCCTGCCCGAGCACCAGCCCACCGAGACCGACATTGCAGCCAATATACCCCTTCCCATGGGCGGCAATGATGTTGACGAGATCGAAGTGCCTGGCTTGGCGCCGACGTACGAGGATGAGGACGAGGGTCTGCAGACACCCGTCGCGCACCCGCAGCGATCTGCAAGCGTCCTTAGGCCGACCTCGGTAGATTTGCTCCGGAATCGCAGAAAGGCGCGTCCCCTGTCTCTGCCCATGCGCCCAACACCAGTGCTCGCCGTGCCCAGGCGCGGTGAGGCTGATGAGGACGAAGAATCCGCCCAGACTTCAGACGAAAGTGACAAGAACGACAAGCAGCTTCCATCTGAGCAGGACTCAAACGACGATTTGAACGACATGAAGGCGGACGACTCCATGATGGCCTTCACAGCGACTACTGGCATGGGCTTGAGGATGGGCACTCCTGAACCCCGCGACGACAAGCAGACGGATAAACCTGGCGGGCTCAATGGGGTTGGCGATACCAGCCCAAAGGTCATGAGCTCAAGGCGAATATCCATCGATCGATCTGGGCCCCCTGGCCTGGTACGCACCTTTTCAACCCGCAGCTCAACCCGCAGCGGAAGTCTCAAGTCGCCCCTGCACACGCCTCTGCACACGCCTGCAATGACGCCAAAAGCAGCAACCTACTCGGATGGGAAATCTTCCCCGGACGACAATCTGTCAGAAGACGAGTCCGAACAGTCAAAGGCAATTGGTATTGCGCGGAGGGCTGACAACGCCATCCGAACCCCTTCTACCACGCCAGACGAGCCGCCTCGGCGACAGGGCAAGCGGTCCTTTGGTGGAGGCTATGTGGAAGTCCAGCCTCAGAGCTCTACGCCCATATCCTTGTCGCACCGCGAAACCCCTTCGCCTGATTACAAGAGTACGGTATCGGAGCGTCTGTTGATCCGCAACGAGATCGCAAGAAAGCCAATCCCTAGCGGAGATGTTACTTCCAGCCCATCTCAGTACGAAAGTCCTACTGGTGCCCCGTGGAGACAGGAGGGGTCTCGTTCCGTGTCCCTGGGCTCGTCGCTGCCTGCCCTGCAAGAGGTAGAGACCAGCACAGCGCAGCCTCCGATTAAGAAGTCTGCCTCTGTACGCACGGCCAAATCCAACTCACCTGCTTCTGACCGCCCAACTCGCCATTCCGTCTCCGCCGGCCAGGACGGCTCCATGCAAGTACCTGACCGACGACTACACCGCATCTCAACTGGGGAGTCAATCCGCTCTCAGCCCTCTGAAAAATCGCCTTCCGACAGCACGTCGTTGAAGCGCGGTGCTTCGACATCGTCTTCTCTCCGAAAGCAGAGCGTATACCCAATCTCTAGCGGGCGAGAATCAGTATCTAGCTATCGCTCACGAGGCCTGAGTGGTCGCATGTCAGAGGAAGACCGTGCTCGCGAGTTCGACTCTTTGGTCAAGGGACAGGACACTGTCAAGTTTACGTTGACACCGCAGAATATGCGGGACCTTGACGTAAGTCGGAGTTGCTTTTTTTTTCTCGCTTCAAATGCTAATAGTGCGCAGGACACCCCGCCTCAGACGAGTGTGCAGACTCGCTCCTCGTCCACTTCTTCCGGAACTGCCTATCCCCGCGTCAGTGCTGAAGACAAATCTCCCAGCACGGCAAACCTACCCAGCACAACAGCACCAAAGCCCAAGCCATCTACTGCCCAGCACAGACCTTCGGCCAGCCGCAAGGTAGTCACCAGACCGCTCGCAAGAGACCCAAAGGTCGAGACGGAATCCATGCGCGATTTTGCCGACTTCATCCGGTCTACGGGCCCTTCGCCTGGCCAGGAGAAGCCTGTGCAGCCTTTTGTCAATATCAATGCACATAATCCAAAGTCTAATGTCTCAACCTCTTCGCTGGCACGAAAACTATCCACCAGGCGATCGTCTACTAGTAATGGAGCTGCTGCAAAGACACGCCTCAACATGGAGCCACGCAGCCCGGCTGGTCTCAGCACTGGCAATGGCGACCTGATTGATTTCATCCGGCAGGGACCGCCTGATGCGAATAACGGGCAGCCTAGAATTCCTCGGAGCGTAGCGCCGTTCCGCACCACTGTTGATTCTGATCAGTTCGAAACCATGCTGGGAGGTCATGCCAACGTTGAAACAGCATACGGCTCCGCGTCATCCACACTCGACTCCAAAGACAGCAGCCACACAATCAATTCACGCACTGGTCTCATCTCATCCCCTGGTATCGTGCAGCCAGCCTATTCCAACATGCCCCAGCAGCTCAGCGGTAACATGTCGGCATCCAACGAGCCGCAGATCACGCGAACCCGCCACCGCGTCAAGGATCCTTACGCCATTGACTTTTCCGATGAGGACGACGACGAAGACTCGGATCAGCTCACTGCCCTCCCATCGAGTGGATCCCAAGCACCCTCATCACGCTCCGCAGCCCCCAAGCAGGAAAGCTTCATGGACTTTCTCAACGCCATGGAACCCCCATCGACACATGAACCCCAGCCATTCATGCTCAGCGAAGAAACCATTGCTGCAGCAAGAGCGCGCGCACACTCCAACGCCGCATCTACATCTCGCAATCTCAACGCCACCGCTTTATCCTCGACAACCGTCTCTTCCGATGCCCCCCGCGCGTATAAGCCACGGATACAAGCTAGAGCACCAGCATATGGTGATGCCCGTGGTGGTCCCGTGGGAGGGGCCGGACGAACAGGTACGAGTGATTTGGCTGATTTCCTCAAGAATTCCGGTCCCCCTGAGCCACCGGTGCGGACGCCTGCACCGCCGGTCAAGGAGGAGAAGAAGAGCCGGAAATTCTGGAGGAGATGAAAAAACAAAGACGTATGGGAGCGGGATACATGCCGTGAGGTATCGATACTGAATGCATGATTAAAGGGATGAATTATGGTGTGTTTGGACTGATGGAAAGTCATGATGTGTAACGCTCGTTTTCCTTTTCTTTCTTTCTTTTTCTTTTTTTTCTTATACTTTTACAGAAACGATTTTATAGACCTTTTTTTGAAGGACGGAGGAGAGTTGGAAGACACACACAGAGAGAGAGACTGGAAGAGATGGAAATGGAGAAACACCGAGAGGGGAAAGAGAGCAGTGGAGATGACTAGTGGTGAGACACTGCCCAATGGCTTATTGTGTTGTGTGAATGGACATGGCAATGGAAATGGAAACGACCTTTTCTTTCCATTTCCAATTTGTTTGTTTGTTTGTTTCCTTTTTATTTTCCTGTTTTTTTCTCTTCTCTTTTTGTCGTTATTATTGCTTGTCCGATACCCACACCAGATGTTATGTTGTTGCTGTTATATCTTGTTTCTCGTTTCTTCGTTTCTCCGCTTCTCATATTTTTCTTCTTCTTCTTAGTATGTGTGGATATGACGAACCATACATGCGTGGAGAGGGAGGGACTATTATTAGAATGTATACCATGTATGGTCGATTGGTTGGAAGATTAGTAGTGGTAGTGGTAATAGTCAAGCTTCTGGAGAGCTGGTATGAAATGAGGAGAACGAAAGAAAGAAATAAGAATCTCACTCATTGGAGATATGCAGCAATGTTGTGGCGTGAAGAGTGCATATACTTTGGCTGATGATCTTGACTACTAATTACACACGGGATATGTGATGCATACATGCCGATGTGTGACTACGCTAGTATCAACGAGGTAAAATATATCTGCATATCCATCTTTCTGGTTCCGCGTTGCTTGCGGTCAGTAGCCAACTCAGCAACACAGATAGATACTTTAGGCATGGGTTGTAGACGGGGAGAAAGCCGAGTGGTCATGCGTGAGCCATTGGTAACTGACAGTGGCATGATTTCTCTTCCATACCAGCTCACACAAATCCTACAAACCCCTTTTCATCGCTGCTAGTCATCTCGTGCGTGTCGTGCTATCTAGACCCTTGCGCTGACAAAAAAAAGTTCTTAGCCTAGAATAGGATGTCAAAACAAATGTTGAGGCTGCTGAGTAAACATACAGCTGTGCCGTAATAGGAAAACGCAGTAGTCTGTACACTCATAGCATGGATCAAATCTTATTCCATTTTCACCATGATTTCCCCTTCAATTGCTTTTCTTTTCCACGCCAAGTATTAGTCATACCATGTGCATTCTGAAGTGTCATAGTTTGGATCAAAGGCAACGGTCTGACGAGACAGCATCTGTGGTAGCGAGCCACGTCGTGCCAGCCAAGTCCTGGAGCATTCTCTTCTACCTACCACAGCCATGCATCCGCTTTTTTCAGTCCCAGAAGCATTGGTCGCACACGTCTATATCCATTACATAACGACTTGCGCACGCGATTGGTGTCGGTGTACGCCTACGTCCGTAGCCAAACACTCAGCTGGGCAACCGACAAGGAAAAAGAAAACAAGTACTCACTCAGCCAGCCCTCAACATTGGCCTGGGCGCAAAGAAAAATAGCTGCGAAGCGAGCGCACGCAATGACTAACCATGTCGTGTGTGCAGCAGCCGCCCGTCCTGCAGGGGAACCCTTTACCCTTATTTACCCATGATTCGGCGAGCATGCAGCCGCAACCTAGCTCCGAGGATACGCTATATTAATCCCAGACTTTGCGGAATGACCTGGATCGATCTCGTGCCGCATTACATGGGGGGAGGGGATATACGGGCCGCCTTAAAAAGAAATATAGAACAACATACCCAACAACACACGTTGATTACCCCGGCAAGGAAACCTTTTACTGGCGTATTCCGACGTTCATTCACACTCAAGCGTGCGTTGTTGAGACATGTCCACCCACAACCGCTGAGCTTGGCCCAAGAGTCAGTACAGTAACAAGGCGCCGCCACCCAATCCAACGAGCCATTTCTCGCTCGTCACTTTGCTTTGTCGTGTGTAGCTCTACTTACTTACTCTGCAAACGGCTATGTTTGCTGGCCCAAAAGCATCTATGTTACTTACACCGTACAAGTCCTGCATGTGCATACCTGCATCGCGGTCCCTCGAGACCCCCGGTTTTTGTACATGAATAAAAACACACATACTTACTTGCTGATAGTAACAGCAAATGCAAATGCAAAAATCCATCGTCGGCTGCGGACTCGGCCCCCCCCCCCTCCTCCCATGGTGTGCTGAGGAAGCGGATCCGGTGCCGCACAATCACACGTGGTAGAGAGAGAGGGGGGGAGAGTGCAGATGTCGGCTGACCGGGTTGTAACTATGTAGTAGGCCCGTACGTAGATTTGTGTGAGCATGTATGTAGGATTAGCCGAGCATTCGTTTTGAATTACAGAGAACGACGCCTGGAAGCACAGCATACTCAACTGGTTTGTATACAGACAAGCCAGTTGGATTAATACTCTCTTTACAGTGTCGGAGAAATGGCCCTGTTGGATTTTACGTGCTGGAATAGAGAGACGATTAGAGGGTTAAATGTCCGTTGAAGGAAACAGTAGTTCGGTCCGCGGCTCACGAACAGAGCACTGTAGAGCAGGGCAATTGAACTTAGTTGAGTACGTAGTGCTTACCCAATCTATCTGAGATACAGATCGTATCTGCAGTCAGCATTTGCGAAATTACATCGTCATAGAAGCCAAAAATGAAATGACGGATTTGATTGACTTTGTTGGTGGGTAGTTTCTATCGACATGGAAAATAAAATGCTGGGTTTCGGCTCGTGTTGTTGGTCGTGTCTTGGGACTATTGTACGTGCCACAATGGTCAAGCTGGAATACTTCATATCGACTCTTGGATTGGCAGCCTGCGCTACTGTAGCAGCAGCAGTCGCTGTGCCCAATACTACTACTACTACTACTACTACTACTCCATGCAAGAATCCCATCAAGCGAATGGAATGGCGAGTTTTTCCCCTTTTACATATACTGCAAACTATGATACTAACGCCAACTTTGCTCGCAGGAGACAACTCTCGCTCGCCCAGCGACGAGAATACATCGACGCGGTCCTGTGCCTGCAGCACGTCAAGTCGATATCCGGCATCGCGGGGACCAAAAACCGCTATGATGACTTCCACGCCGTGCACACGACCAGACGCCCAGCATCCATCGTGTCGCGCACTTTATGCCGTGGCACCGCCTCTTCGTCGCGCACTACGAGCGCACACTGCGCGAGGAATGCGGCTACACGGGCGCCCAGCCCTACTGGGACTACACGCTCGACGCGGAACCCGACAATCCGACGTCGATGCGCATTTTCGAGAGTGAGGTTTTCGATCCCGTCACGGGCTTTGGCGGCAACGGCGCAAAGGTCGCGCATACCGCTGCGCAGGAGCTGTTGGGATACAACGGCACGGGCGGCGGCTGCGTGGAGGATGGGCCGTTTGTGCCCAAGAACTTTGTGGACAACTTCCCGGGTCCCGGGTCGTCGTGTTTACGCCGTGATTTTGTGCCCGAGCTGATGAACAAGTGGGCGGATCCCGCGGTTGTCGACCGGCTGATGCAGACGCCCGACTACGTTTCGTTTGATCGCATGATGCAGGGCCCCGCGTCGTTTGCGGTCCCCGTTATACATAGGAGCGGGCACTTTGGGGTTGGGGGAGCGCTGGGCCAGGCGGGAGACGCGGCCAACTCGCCGGCTGAGCCGCTGTTCTATATGCACCATTGCAATGTCGATTGGATCTTTTGGAAGTGGCAGCATAAAGACTGGCCAAAGAGGCAGCACGAGGTTGCAGGGAATGCTGTGGCCAATGATTATACGGGGAGAAACGTTACGCTGGATTTTACTGTTAACCTGGGGAACCTGGCGGGTAATGTCACGTTGGGTGATTTGTTGGATACACAAGGGAATACCTTGTGCTATACGTATTGATACTAGGGTAGTAGTGTGTATAGAATGCCATCTATTGTTTGTGAGTAGTGCTAAGTTATAGTACAAATCTATTTATATCTTGGTCTCACTCCCCTTCAATGCCTCGATATCTACAATTTCCTTGACCGCCTCCGTCGTAAGCACATACGGACTCTCGTCATCCACGCAGACACTGTCCTCGATGCGCATACCAATACCCCTTGCCCACTTGGGCCATCTCTCATCATCCGGGACGTAGATCCCAGGCTCGACCGTTACACACATGCCCTTTTCGAATTTCCGAGTTCGGCCGAGACCCGGGCAGTCGTGCACATCGAGACCGACGTAGTGGCCAACGTGGTGGGGAAAAAGAATTTGGATGGCGTCGCGGCTCATGTCGAAGCCGAGATCTTTGAGGCCCGCAGCGAGGGAGTTGGCGGCCGTATGGTGCAATTGGTCGAGGGTAAAATTTGACGAAGTGCGACAGAGTGACACGCATGTTCTCTGTACTGACAAAAGCAGATTGTATAGGTCTTTTTGGGCGGGACTAAATTTCCCAGAGACGGGCCATGTGCGCGTAATGTCAGTTACGTAGCCGCCGTACTGCGCGCCAGCATCTACCAAGACCAGATCTTTCGGGTCGAGGGGCATGTCGTTGGCTACGTAATGAATTGTGTTGGCATTGATACCGCCTGCAACGACAGGGACATATGCCGGGCCATCGCAATTGTCCTGCTTGAACCAGTAGTCGAGAAAAGAGTCGAGGTCCTTTTCAGAGGCGAATGATTGCCGCATTGCGTCGGTGATTGCGCGCCCTGAATGTTGACCTGCGTGGCGCATATTTGTAATTTCTGCCTCGCTCTTTATGACGCGGAGTTCATTAAGCAGAGGGCGCAAGGGCTTGATATTTGCGGATGCGTCGCGAAAAACACTGTATATGCCGCCTGTCCGCGAGGGCTCTGCGCCAGCGAGGTAGCGGGAGAGCAGGTTTTTGGAGATGCGGGATTGGGGGAGGTCGGTGTAGATTGTTTGTGCGTTCTTCACAATCTCGGGGAGCAGACGAGGAAGGTCGTCGATACTGCCGCTCACGTCGGCGTTGAAGACATCTTCTGCGGCATCAACACCCGACCGCGGGCCCTCCCAGGCCTCGACGCTGGGATCCTTGGGCCTGACATAGAGGTGAAAGGTATGCTCGCCGTTGTCGTGCTTCTCTATTATGGCCACGGCATCTTGCTCCCTGAAGCCCGTAAGGTACAAAAAGTCTGGGTCCTGGTGGAACTTGTAAAAGACGGCGCCCGAAGCGAATTTCAGGTCGTTTGCTGCTAGTACGGCGACGGAATTGGGAGCGAGGTCTCTGGCGAGGGCGGCGCGGCGGTGGTGGTACTCGAGCGCTGTGATGCCCGGAGTCACTGCAGGGCGTGTTAGTGTTGGTACGGCAGACCAAAGGGCGGCCATCACCTTCCCCAGCCTTGAGTAGGTGTGGATGCGTCTCGTGCAGCGGCTGGCCGAATCTCAGTTCGGCGGCGGGCACTTCACGCGCAGCAGCGTATGACCTGGCTGTGTTGGCAATGCGGACGGCGGGTATGGGGCGCCATGCCCGGGGGTTGCACAGCCAGCGCACGTGGGTGGTGGGCCGCAAGCATCGGGCGGCGATTGGCATGGTGTTTGTTGCAAAGCTCGGCATGTGCGTCGTGGTGTTGGCGTCGTCGGTGGTAGCGGAATGTGCGCCAAGCCGCGCTAGTGCTAGCGGGACAGGCGGAGGCGGGGTGGCGGAGGCTAGGAAAGCTTGGCGGGCGTCTGACGTACCTGCATTGCCCGCCGTCTGCCCGTCTGCCCCGCAAACACGCCCCGCGCTGCTTGCTGCCTGGCGCGACCGCGTCGACGCACAAGACTACATACATGACCCGCCGACACCGTCTGCGCCTCCTGTGTCTTCGCCCGGTTGCTCTGCGAAGACCCCCCTCACCACAGCCATCGTGTTCGTCCCCCGCATCGTCCGAAGAATGGCCTTCTCGGCCGCCAGGCCAAGCGTGGTCCCGCAGGAGCAGCTCGAGAGCTTCCAGCAGCACCTGAACAAGTCGACACGCATCCTCGCCCTGCTGGGTGCAGGCCTCTCAGCTTCGTCCGGTCTGCCGACGTTTCGAGGGGCCGGCGGCCTGTGGAGGACTCACGATGCGACGTCATTGGCGACCCCAGAGGCCTTTGAGCGCGACCCGGCACTCGTGTGGCAGTTCTACAGCTACCGGCGGCACATGGCACTCCAGGCCAAGCCCAATGCCGCCCACTATGCGCTTGCCGAGCTGGCGCGGAAGAGGGACGGCTTCGTCACGCTGAGCCAGAACGTCGATGGCCTGTCTCCCCGCGCCCAGCATCCCCCCGACCAGCTCAAGCTCCTGCACGGCTCCCTCTTCGACGTCAAGTGCTCCGACTTCTTCTGCACCTACTTTGAACGGAACAACTTCACCGACCCCATTGTGCCCGCCCTCGCCATCCCCAACGACGACTCTGACCCCACTGAGGATTCTGCCCGAGCTGCCCGCGAGCTCGACATCTCAGACATCAACGTCGACCTCCCGGAGCTCGACTACGCACATCTCCCACGCTGTCCCGAATGCAAGCGCGGCTTGCTGCGTCCTGGCGTCGTCTGGTTCGGCGAGGCATTGCCCGGATCCGTCATTGACGACGTGGATGCCTTCATCTCGGACAAACGAGGCATCGACCTCATCATGGTCATTGGCACATCGGCAAAGGTCTATCCCGCTGCTGGATACGTCGACCATGCCCGCATCAAGGGCGCAAGGGTTGCCATCATCAACATGGATCCAAACGATGTACCCGCTAGTGGTCTGAAACAAGGCGATTGGTTTTTCCAAGGTGATGCAGCCCAGATTGTGCCGGAGCTGTTGAGGAGCGTCATCGGCGATATTGACCCGGAAACCATGATTGATGCTGCCGACGAGTCGTGAATGCAGTCGTGCGAAGAAAAAAGCTTGCTACAAGGTAAACCGAGTAGCGTGTCTTTTCTTGGAGTTTGCTGGATGCTGCATGGGTGCTTGATGAGCGGCGTTTATCTTTTGACTGGATACATCGGCGTTGACATGATCATTTTTTATATGACTAGAAATGAATCAAACGGAATGCATATCCCACTGCAGCAGGTTAGAGTCATGCGCAAATTGCTTCTTGTTTCCCATCCCCTTACAATTTCATTTCTCGTCATCTCCATTATATCTCAGCAATGACATCTGAAACTGCCCCCTCGTAATAGCCAGAGTACCTGATAAACCGCCTGCTCGCCATGATATGCCCACGCTCAGCTCTTTCAATATTACTCGCCATCGTCCTAGTTGTAAGAGGACGAAACCAAACAAGACCTCCTAAAAATACTAATTTCCTCAAGAGACTAAGACACCTTTTCCCATTTAATCATTTTAGAATCTATGATCAAACAAGCGACACGTCTTCCCTCCAGTATCGTAACTCATTACCATATTAAGCTCGACGTAACTTTTCGCAACGGCGTCCAGCACCGTTCATCTGTTTCTGCTTTTCTCCCCACTTTGCGCAGAACAGAAATTAAGAATCTCAGATAATAGGATAGTGAAATCCAAAAAAGGTATCAAGGTCGTAATCAAACCACGCATCTACGGCCTGTTCGTTGGCAGGCCAGGGCACATACTTTGCATCCACTTGTGTCGGCACCAGAACAGGCGGATACAGTATAGTGGTAAAGTCGTCTGGAAAAGCGTCTGCGACACCTGCCCAAACATAGGGCTTAGAAGTCTTGACAATCGAGTAGACAACTTGATGGGCGCGCGCTGCCATGATGTTGTTGTCGCGCATGGCGCGCAGCCAGCCAACAAGTTGATGGACGCCATATGTAGAGAGGGAAAGGGATGAGGAAAAATGCTCTGGGCATGCAATGGCGTTCATGAGGACAGCAAGAGCTTGCATTACTGTGAGTGTACTGTTAGTGCTGGAATACATGGTAACAACTGCGAGACGTACCATTGTGCACGATTGTCCACCAGGGCCCTTTTTCGTATAATGTCTTGATGTCGGGCACGGTGCCCAACACTGAGACAACATCACTCGCTGCCTGGATGCAAGCTTCGGCCATGGATTGGTCCAAACCGGTAAAGTCGACGGATCCCAGCTCGGAGCAGCGTTCGATGCGGCGAAGTGAGGGGCGTGTGGTGAGAATCTTTACGCGGTAATACTGCAACTTGAGGAGAGAGTTCTCGCGCTGCTGATTGTAGCTCATGGCCCAAATATCCGAATGGAATTGAGGGACGCAGTCTACAGCCCATTTGTCCAGGTCCCCGACGAGCCCCACCATGATTTGTTGGACTTGAGGCCACGAGGGAGTAAACTTCCTTTGTGTATACAGGCTGGACATGACTTGCTGCGTTAGCAAGTGTAGATTCGAGTCGGCGTTCAGAAACATGTTGTTTGTCGCTACGGAGGCGCCTTGGCCATGAGTGCCGGATAGGATGTCGGAAAAAGCTTTGGGGGTAGGCGTCGTGATCTCTTCGCCTGGGAAAGTACCAGGGCGACCTGTGATGGAGCTCAAAAGGCTCTCCAGTGCGTGCAGACTCCACCACGTGTCGACTTTGTTTTGCTGTCTGGCTACAGACATGGACTGATCTTCTTGCTGAACATGGAGGCCAAGAGAAAAGGCTGATCGCATAGCCCCCCCGGCCATGACCCAGGCCCTATGAAGGAGTCAGCAGGTGAATATACGGATGCACTGTCAATTAAATGGAAGAATCATAGTAATATGCATGGCGCGATTCCACCTACCTGTTGAATTGACCAGCAGTCATGTAGTATATGGCAAAGAGACCAGCAGCCTGCAAACGTTTAATACTACTCACACCATGCTCAGAGGAGATATTTACCTGAGTAGAAGACAAATCTGGAGTCGAGAGCACAAACCTAGTGTCATTAATCGTAAGCAGCTGATATGCGCGCGATATGTACGTGACGTGGTCCAGGGCATCTGCCCTCCAGTCGGCTTGAATCAAGTGGGAGAATTTTGCCCCAATGGCAAATACGAGGTTTATCAGGGCAAACCATTTTTCTGGGCAGTGTACGTCTTGACGTGTGCGGATCAGATTGTAATATTGGCGCAACTGTGCCTCGAGCTTCACGGGTATCATGGGAAAGGAGGTTTGGACTGTCCTGTTGAAGCACTGAAACAAAAGGTTGGCAGTTTGCTCTGGAGGAAGCTCAAACGGGTTGCCCCCGAGTAAAAACTTGACCCCTTCGTCGTCAAGGTGGTAGGTAGTCGGAGGGGCGGGTTGGATTCGGTCCATGGACATGAAAGCCAGTGACTGAGCCAGGCTTGGAGATACGGGGTATGCCATGGGCGCGGAGGCGATTGCCGGTTTCAGAAAGGCAGTGTCGACGGCATGCACCCTGCTCTGGAGGCTTTGTAACCATTGGATTTCCGAGACCTGGCCCAGATAGCCGGCTTCGACTACACCCCGCGAGTTTGATGCTTCGTCGTCGTCGTCGTTGTCGTCGGATGATTCTTCCGGGAAAATGCCATCCAGCCGGGGCATGGATGGCTGGTGGCCGGCAGAAGAAGCGGTAAAGGCGGGCGAGGCGGGCTCCTCGTCAGACTTGAGCGGGTTAGATTGACTGCGTAGACGAAGCTTTGACACTCACGTCATGGAGAGCGTCTGCAATTCTCTGGCGGTCGCTGTCGTTCACCCGTAGGCTGAGCTCTTTGAGGACCGAGACGAGTGTCTGGTTGCGGTCGTTGGCGCTAGGGGCTAGTCAGAAGTGTAAATCCTGGTGCAACGGGCGTGGGACACTGACAGGGCCAGGCGGTCTTTCCGGGGCCGCTCATAGACGCACGGCTTGTCGGTCTTGTCGCAGTAGTTGCAGCGGGGAAGGCTACCGCTGCACTTGATTTCTGGGTTGGTGAGGTCAGACGGAGAGAGGTTGAGTGGGAGAGTGAGAGGCCCACTTCTCTTGTGGCAGTTGCGACAGGCTCGTTGCACGCGGTCTCTCTGCCGTGATTTGGCCGTCGGCGGCGGCGGGACGCGTCGCGATGTCAGTCGTGGAATGGCAATCTTGTTCGACTGCGTCCCATACGGCCCAGCCGTAGGCGCGCTCATGGAGCGGCGGTCGTCTTGCATCAGGCCGCTTGGGGGGGGGGGTTGCAATGGGGGAGGTATGTAGGAGACAGAGGCAGAAGCCATGTCGCCCCAGTCCACATGTTGGCCATTTCAGCTGCTGGCTGCGTCATAGCAAAAGTACAAAGGGAAATAAGAATATATGGCTTGGCGCCGCCTGTGATTGGCTACGGTGCGCTTGTCCGCGAAGCCAATTCATGTCTTCCTCCTGTCCGCGCGTTGAATCCTTCACCTTCTCGCTCTTGATCCACAGCAACCACCACCACTACGTCACCACTTGACACCGCCTGTACCTTGATCGCACATCGACTTTGCTGCACGACACCGGTACCCTAGTCCTAGTCCTGGTCCCCTATCCGCCCGCCCCATGTACCAGCCCCACCAGTTCTGCTCCCCGGCTTAGCAATCGACATTCTATACCGCCTCAGATAAACAACAGAGTCAGCTCTCCACTCGCCGTACCCTATAAGCCATTGCTGCCTTGATCACTCTATCCACAGTCCGCCTACTCCGTCGTCTCCCTGACCCACGTCCAGTCTTTTTTTTGTCTTGTCCGCGTTGCCCGTCTCCGCCTTTTTGCAAAGGACCACATTTCCATACCAGAAGCCTTGTTCTGCAACACACTGCTTTTCCTCTTCATCTTCGGGCAGTCGCAACAAAACCTCTGCGCCCCTCTCCAGCTCCTCAACTTCCTGCACGCGAGCAAGCGGGAATCTCACGCCATCCGTCCCTTGCTTTCCCACCTGGCCAAGTATAGCTTCGTAAATCTTTTTCGTCTCGTCCATCAATGCCTGATCTTTGACAATCACCGTCAACTCCTTGACTCCTACCGCGCCACACGCATGCTTGGTCTTCTCTCCATCTAACGGCACCCTTACGACTCTCTCTGTCCCGTCATGACAGAAGAATGGGATCCTGCCCCTAATATTCTGTCCTCCTTTATCTCCCTTGGGGAATGTGACACTCCATCTCACTTCTACGCCGTCTGCCCTCTTTCTTCCTCCCTTGATAGGCTCTCCATGACTTTCCTTGACTTGTTCATAGTTCTTGGACGGATCCAGAGAATTGGTCAGGCACCAGTCTTTCCAGCCAGTGAAAGTCGAAGAAGGGCCCCACCAGTGATTGGATACGAGCGATTCGGGAGCAGCGGGCAGGAATGAGATGAGCTCGATATAGCACCCGTCGGCGAGAAGGATGAGCACATTGGATGTGGCGCCGTCGGCGTGAAATCCTCCGGGCGTTAGCGTGAAGTTGTCGGAGAAATACGCAGGCACGCGAGGGAGCTGTGTCGAGGGGTCCGCGGGCACGAATAGGATCAGATGATCGAGAGCTTGACGTGGCGCCGACATGACCAAAGGCTGATGCTGACCGTGGATGAGGCGTAGAGGCAATGAGTGTATGCTTTTAGTTGATTCTCTGTATGTCCTGTATGCGGGGTTGTCGCGTTTTCTCCACTGCGGAAGGAAGCTCCCTCATGATAGTGGGGGAAGGTGGGGTACTTACTTAGCTGCCTCGCTGCCTTTGCACTCGACATTGCCGTGCCGGTTCCAGCAACATTCACTATTCACCCACGCTTTCTGACCATTATCTAGTATTCGAGTAATACCTGGGAACTCACCTGTCGTGGATTGTCCATGATCGGCGTCCTTGCTAAGAAATTAACCCACAGCTGCCGATTCGATGTGTTGCGGGGAACCATCGTGCGCGTGCACATTCGTGACAAGTATAAACAGTGTTATGTATTAAACACCCATTGACCAGTTTTCAGGGCCATTTACTGTATTTCATTCCCGTCGAAAGATCAGGTAGGCTGCACCAATGGCGAGAGAGAAAACCATTCTGCAGTGCGTATCACTCATGAATGGATGTGTCAATATTTATGCAAGTTCCTCTGCTGTGAACAAAATAACAAATCCAACATAGGTCCACGGTATATCAACTTCAAGGTTCAACGGATATAACACTCTAATCTACTCCAGATTACCGGATTCAGGAGCCTCCTGCGCCACGCTCTCTTCGGCCTCACTCTCGTACTCGAAAGGAGACTCGGCGCGCTGCTTGCCCTTTCCCTTGTATGTAACCTTGATCTTCTTGCGAGTATCTTGAGGGGAAGGGGCAAATATGGCATCTCTGGAATAGTTTTGCGAGCCGCCAGCATCGTAACTGGTCGGATCATCCATGATCCCCTCGTTACTCTTCGATGCCTTCTCCCCACTCTTCTGCTCCTCATCGTCATCGTTCTTCTCCACACTCTTCCCAGCCTGCACCGCAAACGCAGACATGTCGATGAATTCATCAGGATACCGCTCAGCATCAGGAACACTCACACCAGCACCAACCAGATCAGCAACTCTCTTTTGCTCTGCCGCCAGACGCCCAAGCGGCGAATTGGGCCGAAAGTTCATTTGGCGTCTCGCCCACGCAGATACCGACTCCACCGAGCGCGTCCCAGGCACAGTGGAATTCACAGCGCTCAACATGTCCTTTCCTATCTGGAGCCTGCGAATCAGCAGCGCATCGATACCGTGTTCTCTGCAGTACGCATTTGCCCACGCGTATATAGCGATTTTCTCCTCATCGCGCCAGTGGTCCCGGACTTTTGTCGCTTCGCGGGTTGCGCGGCTGCGCCACTGTGCGACCTTCTTGCGGTATGCAGTTACCCACGCCTCGTTGTTCAGGTCGATGTTGTCAGCGAGCTCGGCGTCGACGGCGTGGTGGTTGATGTATGCGTTTGTCTGCTGGTCGAAGACGAAGAAGAGGATTTTAAGCGTGAAGATCTCATCGCCTCGCGTCCATGTTTTACCTCGTCCGTCGGCATTGGTCCACGTCTGGCCTTTTCTCCTTCCGGGAACAGTGACGTGTAGGGGATCGGGAATCAGGTATTTTGGTCGCGACTTGGCGAGCCACATCTCTCTGGCTTCTTGCTCTGTGTAAATGATGGATGTCTCCGGGATGATGGTGGTTTGTGAAAATACCTTCCCACTGGGCGTGACGAGGCGGTAGTATGTACGGATTAGAGACGGGTCGCTCATTACGCGCTGGAATTCTATGCCTTCTGGAAGACGCAGCTGATTGAAGCTGGGCTCTGGAGGTGAGTGGTTCCAGGATACAAAGTCGTATTGCAAATCGACAATGGAGTTGAGGATACGAATCAGCTTCTTATTTGTTGTGGGATCCACCCAGGGATCAAAGTCAGGGTTGAAACTGGTGTCTCTCTTCTTCGATTCTGCCACCCACTCGCCAAATGTTTCAACCACCTTTGGAGCCAGCACTATCCTCCAAAACATCTTGTTCTCAGGGTTGTTGCCGCCTTGAACCTGATTCTTTGGCTCGGCGACGAGGTTCGCGGAGGACTGCTGTCGGATAGCTGCCGTGAGGTTCGGGACGATTTGAGAACACAAGTCCACGTAGCGTTGTTGGCGCTCCATCGTGTCGCTCTCAGGAACCCAGTGCGTTGCCTCTCCGTCTTCGGTGATGTTACCGGAAAGGAAAGCGTCGAGCTGCAGAAGTTGTGTCTTCATGTTTAGCTCGATGACTGGGCGGGTGGGATGGCGTGAGAGCGCGAGAAGGCTTAGGTATGTAAGCAGAATATGTATTTTCTCCGAGTCGAGCTGTTCATGTATTGATAGTGTTGGTATTGGCCCGGTGTTGCTTTTGCTGCCAGTGGCGCCCATCTCTGCTGTACTCGCCATATCTAAAGGATCCATTTGGTTAACATGCATGTTGACAGACTGCTTCACATTGCCATTAGACTATTACTTACCACTCTGGGGGATGCCATCACTCTGCTTTTCAGCAGCGGGCTCACCAGTAGCACTCTGTTTGCCTTTGACACCCTCCTGTATCAAGTTAGCGAATCCCACATATTCTCAGTGGAATTGCCCTTACTGCTTCAGGATCGTCGAACTCCCGAATGCTGATTCCACGTCTGGTGTCACGAAGGCGGTATTGGTCACCTGACTCAGAAACGAGAGGAGTAGAGGACATGGTAGTAGCTGACGAAGTTGGATGTCGTAGTGGTTCCAGTGTCGCTTGGCTAATCGCTTTGATGCGTTGTATATACTGGAAGGTTGCAGTGCTCTCATGTATGATCAAGCAAATAGATAGAAATCAATCTTTATTGTCGCAAGGTGGGCGCTATTGGGCTTAGCAAGTGACTGTGTGACGCGGGCCGGGCGAGTTTGACAAACGGCGGTTCATGGTGAATGCTTGCCAGTGAGTGGAAACAGGCACACACAAGCGAACTATGGATGCCTGGAATATGGACAGTGTTGCAGAAAGTCGTCATGTCGTCTTCTATCTTGAAAGCAAAAGTAACTTCTGTTGGAGAAAACGCGTCAGAACAACTAGTTTTCTTGAGAATAGCTGTGTGATGTGAGATGGACGCTAGTTGAAAGGGTTTTGAAGTACCTGTTGGCTCTCGATGCTATCTCATTGTTGTATCACGATGTTGAAGCTTATGATAGTGCTTCAAATCAGCACTTGTGCGTTCTTTGTAGCCAAGGCGGAAAAGTTTATACAATCATGAGTCGAGGTCACATACGAGGTATCCCAGATTGTATATTGCAGCTCTGGACATGATTGAGAGTTTCATCTGCATTGATGCTAATCCACTTGTCAATTACTACACAAAGTCTTATATGACTAGACCAAACTGGCGAGGAAAGCCTAATAAGGCGTTTCCAGGACTTTTATGACAGCAGCATGCAGTCGGGGACTCCGTCGCGAGGAAAATATACAGCCTGTAATATCACATTTTCGTCATATGATTTCAGCACAATTCGCACGGTAAACAGCTTCCAGAGCCATATATGTACGTGGAGGTGATTGACACGACTGACCATGTGATCGGTTTCTTAATAGTTTTCCTACATCATCAGTTTGTTGATAGGTCATGATCCCCTTTCTGATGACACTGATCCTGCTGTATTGAATGTCCTTGGTCGTATATATGGCTATCTAGTAAGCCTGACCAGCGCTCACTTGCTAGAGCGGGACATTTATACTGTAACTAGGTATTCTACAATATTCTATTTAGATGTAATCTATATAGAGAGGAAAGGAAAGGACTAAGAGAAGCCTGCGAAGGCGATCTATCACTACCTATCCTCCTTCAAACAAAAGAGGGTATAGAAGCAACTATTACCTTTATTCAAGAAACAAAGGCTAGGACACAAGCCTAGTACAAGGGAAACACAGAAAACGAGGAGTAATACCTGTAACAGGTAGCCATACACCTCCCCCACCCTATCCCACCCCCTACCTACCAACCAATAGGCTACGAGCCTCACCTTCATCTAGTTAAAACCCCTCCTAAATATCGTAGCTAGAAACAACCTACTTAGATACTTGTAGGCCTAAAAACCCTACACGTCTTATATAGCCCTTCGGGCTGAAAAAGGACGTTAAACTAGAATAATAATAATAATAATAGGTATTCTACATGGTACAGATAAGCGTTCGGGGAGCTTGGTGTTCTTTCTAACACTTTGATGGCTCAGATGACTATGGCCACTTGCTACTTGCTGATTTGTAGTATACTTCACTGCTTATCTTATTTCTCCACATATATATTGGCGTATATACAAAATTTTAAAGCATGCGATAGCGGGTGATTGCAAATTCCATTCACTGTCTCCCCATTTTTCCCCTACGCGCTCGACGCCCCACGTCATGCAAACAAAAGCAGGCAGAAGCGACCAGAAAAGGCCTACAAATGTTTTAGTCCGCAAATCGACTGTCATTCCTTTCTGCAACTCTTTCAACCCACTGCGCAGTCTGGGCCAGGTTTTCTTGGGCCTTTCAGAGATACGCATATACTGCTTGTGCGTTGCTCATCTCGCAATTCCTGAACTTTCTTGAGGAAAAAACGCTTGTGCATGCGCAAACTGCATTGTTTGGCCGGAAAAAACGATCACTTACCTATTACAAACTCCACACTCACCATGACGGACTCAACTGCCCCTGAGGTCATGGGAGATCTTATGAGCATTCACAAAGTAGGGTACGCACCTAGCAAGGAGGGGGAGATGCCCGCACCGCAGCCCAAGGACGGCAATCGAACGGCGGTTTATGGTAGCCCAAAGAGCATAGAGGATGTCGCCGAAAACGAAGCTATTGCTGGACCTCAAAATGATGCAATATCCACCAGAGATTACTCACAACACGCCGCTGGTGACGACTTGCTGGCGGTGGATGATAGCGACAGCGAGCTGTCAGACGACCCAGCGCCATACTGGGATCGAAAACTGATAAACTGTCCACAGCGACCAGAAGAAAAGTTTGAACCGCACGATACCGATCCCACCAAAATTAAAGCCGTCTTCCACTTCAAATTGTCCAACGGCAGCGGTTGGTATACGCAAAGGGATGAGCTACCGGAACAGCGCGATTCGGCAGAAGAAGACAAATTCGGCGAAAACGACAGCCTTTTCTTTCCCGATCTTGGACCCAACAAGGTTCCTGAGAGGCCAAGGTTAAGGAAAGGTCTAGTGCATTCTCCTTGGGTACAAGTGTCGCCATGGCGCTGGGAACAACAATCCGTGACGGGCGACACGGAGGTTTGGAGTCCAAAATTTGTATACCGTCGGTTCAACGCACGAACGCACGAGTACGAGAAAATATACGTTGCTGAGAACAAAATGGAGAATGCAGATCCAAACGACAAGAGGTGGGTGTACGCGTACAACAAGTGGATTGACCAAATCAGGCGGCGTTCAGACAGCAGCTGGGTTGCGGAGAAGCGGCGAGACCACTGGAAAGTAACTGAAATCTGCGCCATGTACGCCGGCTTCAACGAATTCATACACACCAATGGTATCGATGCGTATCATGGGATTTCAGTGGCTAGTCTTGAGCGAATCCTCGATAGGGTAAACACAGCTGGACAGAATAATCGCGGAATTGATAGTCTGCGCGGCCAGGTGAATTCTGCGCATGCGGGCAAGAATCCCAGTCTAGCGTATCTTCGGGATAACGTGCGGGATTTGGTTGAGTACTTGCAGCATGGAGGAGTGCTTTCGGATGATGAGCGATTTCCTGAGAAGTTCATTCCTGAAGCGGAGTTTCCTACGGCTCCGAGAAAGAATGCGCGGAGAGTCGAAGTGGCTTCGAAAGGCAGGGACAAGAGTGGAGTTGTGGATATAGAGAGCGATGGTGATGACGAATTGTCGGATCCTCCTTCTGATATGGAGATGTGAAGAGAAAGGGGTGTGGCGTGGGAAATGCATGGCAGCGACTTGGTGATGAAGTTGGAGGTATAGGGAATGTTGGGAGTCAGTACCCCCGCTTCTTCGAAGCTGTTCCTTATATCGTCAGCATGCTCCGAGCCATTTTTGCGGTGAAAAAGTCTCATTTCGGCTGAATTGATGCAGTGAGTGTCCAAAGTATATCATGAGAAGAGTGAGGTGAAGAAGGGCGTGGTGGCAATGTAGTTTGCAGGAATACGGCAGGCGCGACAGGCCTACCCCGCCATCCCGCCCACAAATGCAGCCACTAACCGCAGAGCCTTCCCCCACCATACACAATTCCACGCGCTTTCACAGTTTTTTTTCTGCAGTTTTCCGCTTCTTTGATACCCCGGCGATTTTTGCACATAGCCACCACACAGACAGCCATGTCGGACACAGACTCAGACACGGCCAGCTCGATTGGCAGCATTGTTGAAGAGGCAAGCGAGCCGGACACGACTAGTTTCAAGGATCTATTTTCCGACCGACCATGGAGCCGTGTGTCGGACATGATAGCGCATGACAAGGCGGAGCACGGCTTTGACCTCACGGCCACGATCAAAGCACTTGGGCCAGGTGTGTTGACAAAGAGCGTCGTGGGCGCCTAACCCCTTTGGGACAACTACTCATGACAGGAACAGATGCCGACGAAATCACAATCATCAAGCTAATCAACTACTTGCGGTCCGAGGCACAGAAGGGAACAGACCCCAAGAAGATTAGTGTCACGCTCGACGACCTGGCGAGCGAAAAGTACCTGCAGCCAGTGCTGGAAGATGACGCCCTGCTGTTTGAACTGGGCGACCTCATGCCGGATGACGACGCTCAGGCTGTTGACTACGACGAGTACGAAGCCAAGCTGCACAAGGACATGCCCGAAGACTTTTCCAAGATCAAGCTCGTCAATGATCGCGACCAGGATTACTTTGAGTCGTACAAGGGTAACAGCATCCACCGGGAGATGATTGAAGACCGCGTGCGGACAGAGGGGTATCGCGACTTCATTGAGAAGAACCCCGATGTGTTCAGCAACAAGACTATCCTGGATGTCGGCTGCGGCACTGGCATTCTGTCTCTCTTCTGTGCGCGGGCGGGCGCGAAGAAGGTGTTTGCTGTCGACAACTCTGGCATTGCAGTCCGCGCCAAAGAAATCATCAAAGAGAATGGGTACCAAGACACTATCGAGGTGATCCAGGGAAGAGTCGAGGATTTCAGCACGCAGCAGCGGATCGGAAAGCAAAAGGTTGACATCATCATCTCGGAGTGGATGGGCTACGGGCTGCTCTTTGAGGGCATGCTCGACTCTGTGCTGCGCGCCCGGGACATGTACCTCAAGCCGGACGGCATCATGGTGCCTTCGCACTGCAACATCCGCCTTGCCCCCATCAGCGATGCTGACTGGATAGCCGAGAACACGGGCGAGAAGTTCTGGCAAGACGTTTACGGGTTCAACTTTGCGCCCATGATCCCAGGTGGTCTGCTCAACACGCACGAGATTGGTGTGTTTGACGTGCCCGCCAAGTCTCTTTGCGGAAGTGCCAACAGCCATCTGCTGGAGATGAAGACTGTCTCTGTGCAAGAGCTGAGTTTCAAGGTGCCGCTCCGCATGACGCTCGACCGCGACATCACGTCGCTCGACGCAATTGCAATCTGGTTCGACACCATCTTCATCCACGCCGGCAGTACGCAGGATATCCAGACGATTGACAGCGTCGACTGGGGCACGAACGGCATCCCTGGCTTGGGCTTCTCAACAGGCCCCAGCAACACACCGACGCACTGGCACCAGGCGGTATTGCTTCTGGACAGGGACATGCGGGGCAAGCAGGCCTTCACAAAGGGCACTGTTCTGGAGGGCTACCTGACGTATGCAAAGGAGAAGGGGGACGATCGCGGTATCACGGTGACGGTGGAATGGAGGGGCAAGGGGCAGCAGGGCGAGGTGGAGGGCAAGGTGGAGCGGACCATGGCTTAGCGAGGGGTGTGCAATGAATGGAACATGGGAGAGTGATCACGTGACTACGCGCTAGTGTTCCGATTCCGAGACATGCGGCGGAAGGCCTGCAGCGGCCCTGGGAGGCCGACGGTGCTTTTCCTGAGCAGTGAAGAATGGCGGGCTACGTTCCCACAGCGATGGAGGGCTATGCGACCGGCGTGCAGTGCCCAGGACTCATGTCGGGACGGGCGACACGGCGTGATGATGCTCGCTCGACGGATCTGGTGACGACATCCCACGTGGATCGTGCGCGGGAGCTTTCTCACACGATGCACGGCAGCCCCCCAGGCGCCCCCCCCCCAGGCACTGCAAACCACCGTGACCGTCTGGTGTCGCCGAGACCGGGGACCGCGTCAAACGCATCATAGACTTCTCCTCCCGCAATAAGACTGTGAGCCGAGAATGGTGGTGCAGCGACGGTAGCCACGCCCTCGACTCCCTGATGCGCGGCATTCTCCCTGGGCGCCCGCAGGCCAAACTGCAAGCCGTGGCCCATTGCTTGTGGGAGGGCCTCCAAATCATCGTACGCCCACCCACGGCCCATGTCACATGCTGCGCGACTGACGCCATCCTCTCCGACTAGGCCTACATCTCGGGCAACGCCCTCATCCTCCTCGACCGTCCCCACCATGTCGTCCAGACGCTCTACATCGACGACGAGTTCGAGCTCGAGGCCGTCGCCGTCGACGAGGCCACGGGCAAGCTCGCCGTATGCTCGACGCGCCACATCTACGTCTACCGCCCCTATGGCCACGACGAGGGCGCCGTCAAGTGGTCGCTCCAGGGCGCCATGTCGCTGCCCGACGCCGGCGACACCATCACGACGCTGTCGTGGGGCATGCCCGACGAGCTGCTCGCCGGGAGCGCCTCGCTGACCCTCTTCAACACCCACGGCGACATTGAGCAGACGTGGACAAAGCGGCTCGCCAACCCCGTCAAGTTTGCCGTCTTCTCCCCCGACGCCGAGCTGATTGCTTCCACCGGAAAGTACGACCGCCTGCTCAAGATATGGCGCCGCACCGCCTTTGGCTCGGCCGGCCAGCGATTCGACTACTTCTACCTCGCCCACCCCAAAGCCATCACCGGCATGCACTGGCGCCGGCCCTTCCACAAGGAGCAGCTGGCCGACCACGTGCTCTACACGATATGCGCCGACAACAAGGTGCGCGTTTGGGTGGCTGGCGAGCACCACGGCGTCGACGGCATGCACATGTGGGCAGAGGTCGACCTCATGGAATCCATCATGGAGCGACACGTCCCGCTCGACCGCCAGTCCAAGAAGCGGTTCGCCTTCTTCATTGATGGCAAGCACTTTACACATGCCGCCGAACGAGCCATGCAGCAGGCGTCGCCCGAAGAAAAGGACCACGGCATTGCGCTCCACCACCTGATCGAAGTCGGAAACCGAAACCCGGAAATCTGCGTGGTGCTCGACGATCGCGGCAACATGTCTGCATGGGGCTTTGAAAACGTGGGCGCAAATAGCAGGAAGCTAACCGACGTCTTCAACATTGCGCATGTCGATGGACTGCATTTCCATTTTGCAAAAGAACCGAAGCCCATCGAGGACAACGTGCAGTTCTACACCTTCATCGGTGACAAGCCCGACTCCGAATTGACTGTGCTGTCGCATCACTTCGACGGGCGCATAGAATGGCTGGAATCGCGCATCGACTACCTGTTTGATCCTTCGCAGCAGCCCCACCGCATACAACGCAAGGCCATGTGGACAGGACACTCGCACGCCATCAAAAAGGTCAACCGTACCGCGAGCGGTAAGGCCCTCGTCTCCCGCACGACTACAGACGAGTGCATCGTTTGGACACAGCGCCCGGGCGACCATGGCACGACGCTCCATCGCCACAGCAGTGTCAAGGTTACCGAGCACATCCACCGCACGGCACTTCTGCAAGAGGGCAATTTCCTTGTCTTTCTGCACCACAAAGAAATCTCTCTATGGGATACCCGAGGTCACGATGCTGTCGAGGTCGCGCGATGCCCATACGAGTTGCAAGGGAAACCTTTATGTCTTCTAGTCATTCCCGAGGTTGAACACGGCGGCAAGCGCATTCATGTCGCGACGGTCAGCTCCGAGATGAAAGGTATCTGCTGGGAGGTCACGTTACCGGTATTCGAAAAGAACCCCGCCACTGGAAGAGAGCTATCTGCTCTAGCCCGAACTAATGGCTATACAAACGGCAATTCTGTGATTTCGATCGAGCAATTCTCCCTCTTCGACCTTGGATCCGGAGATGATCTTGCGTTTGTGCTTCCTGTCGACCCTGCTGGATCAGCACCCGTCATCTCAGGTTTTCTCGATACTTTTGCGCGGGACATTGCCATTTCATACACCACCTCTGGGGTCATCAAATCATGGACCGCTCGCGTCGATTTGGAGAAGAGGGATCTCCAGTGGCTGTTGACTTCAGAGGTTGACACTGGGGTAAGTACGCCTTCGCTTGCAAGTGGTAGTTCAATACGAAAGGCCGCATTGGTCGATGCCGAACGGACTACGTTGACAATCTGGAACACGCGGAGTGCACAACTTGAACACCAAGAGACGTTTGAAGGTAATGGAATCATATCTGATTTGGATTGGTCGTCCACTCCAGACAACCAGTCTATTCTCGCTGTTGGCTTTCCGCACCGAGTTGTCGTCTACGCACAACTCCGCTATGACTACCTGAACGCAGGCCCATCTTGGGTGAAAATACATGACGTGCGCATCCGAGATATCACGCCTCATCCCATTGGAGATTCAGTGTGGCTGGGAAGTGGCAACCTTGTCATTGGTGCCGGAAACCAGCTCTTCATCCAAGACGAGCGTGTACAGATATCCGACAGTCTGTTTCCCAGTCTGCGAACAATGTCGCGCAAGACCGCCTCCATCAACATCTTTGATGCTGTCAGTCGTCTCAACGGCCCACTGCCGGTCTATCATCCTCAACTTCTGTCGCAATGTGTCTTAGCTGGTAAACTTTTGCTGGTTCAACGCATCCTGCTACGCCTCTATGCGACGCTCAAGTTTTGGATCGAAGGCGAGGAGCTGGACAGCTCACTGGGCTTCGTACCGGAGGATTTTTCAGAGGAAGAGGTACGTCTACCACATGATATGTAGAGCAAGCACTAACGATGTAGACTCAAATGACTGCCCCCAAGAAAGACTTGCGCTCATCATACGTCGACTACTCAGATGACAGCGAACCAGAAACCGTTACTGAAGAAGTTGCATCCAATCTAAAGGAGCTCCTCACAAAGAAGCAGATACCCTTGCTGTCCAGTCGAGAACAGTTTCGCTTAGCTGATATAATCGAATGCATTGGCATGGTGGAGAGACATCGCCGTTCGATTGATGACAATGCTGGCCGCTTCCTGCTCTTCTTCCGACAACATGTACTCAATGAAGTACACAAAGGGCCCATCTCATGGCGCGAGATTGTTTGGGCTTTCCACTCAGGAAGTCAGGATATTCTCGTTGATCTTGTTAGTAGGCACTTTAGTGGAAGGATGCTATGGCTGCACGCAAAGGAATGCGGTGTGTTTATGTGGATGTCGGATATCAACGCATTGGTACGTAACATGTGTCTTGATATAGCAAGTTGCTAACAGCGTCGCAGCGCGCTCAATTCGAAGTCATTGCTCGCAACGAGTACACCAAGACAGAGGAGAAGAGCCCCGTTGACTGCGCTTTGTACTACATGGCTCTACGGAAGAAGCCTGTTCTTGTAGGGCTCTGGCGCATGGCGACCTGGTCAAGAGAGCAAGCCGCTACACATCGACTACTATCCAACAACTTCAACGAAGAGCGCTGGAAGACTGCTGCACTAAAGAACGCGTATGCACTCATGGGCAGGAGGAGATTCGAGTATGCGGCATCTTTCTTCCTTCTCGCGGATCATCTCAAGGATGCTGTCAATGTGCTACACAATCAGTTAGGAGACACGCAGCTCGCCATTGCAGTTGCGCGGGTCTACGGCGGCGACGACTCTCCTATACTGATTGATTTTCTCGAGAACAAGGTCCTGCCCGAAGCTGCAAGAGAGGGCAATCGTTGGCTCGCGATCTGGGCTTACTGGCTACTCAATCGCAAGGACATGGCAGTGCGTGCGCTCGTCACGCCGCTTTCTCATCTTGTGAAAACACCGGAGGAACCCAATCCGATTGCAAAGTCTTACTTGACCGACGATCCTGCCCTGGTGGTTCTGTACAAGCAGCTTCGCGAGAAGAGCTTACAGACTCTCCGCGGTGCCACCATGATTGGTATGCGTGAAGAGTGGGAATTTGTCCTCCACACAGCCGGGCTATACGATCGAATGGGCTGCGATGTCCTCGCGCTCGATCTAGTCAAAACATGGGAATTCCTCCTCCCGCCTCCACCAAAGTCCACCGCTACCCGCCCATCACTCAGCCCAACTATGCCGCGAGAAAGCTCAGACATCCATGGTCGCAATACCAGTGCTACTGATTTTGACTTTGATCCGAGGAAGCTGCTGCGTAGACGCAGTTCGCTCGTCGTTGCTGACCTACCGTTACGAGATCGTAAGCTCGGTGAGCTTGCGGATGGGAAGGAGACGCTAGAAGAGGAAGGCGGTAGTGATGGACAAGAAGAGGACGATGAAGACGAAGAGCAGGAGGAAGAAAATCCAAAGCAGGAACAGAAGAAGAAACCGCCGCCTACGCAGTTTAATGAGCCGGACGCTAATAGTTTGTTGGATGCTTTTGGGTTCTAGCATGATTCCACTTGCTGAAGATGACGGAAGTGGAGGAAGCATGGGCGATTGTAGTATTATTTTGCTTTATCTGTGTTTCTAAACTGTTTCGCCTTGACGGGTTCTCATGTTGTGGGCATTGACTGATGCTGACTGTTGTACTACGTATATGTCGAGTAGCGGTAACACGTATTGGAAGAGTGGGTGCAGATTAGGTAGTGCAATAATTATGTATCTTGTTTACCATTGCTGGATTGTATTCACCTCGCTCAGGTAGCTAGCTAGCACCAATTCCCACTTCCAGGCGTTTCTGCTCTTGCTAGATCGCGTGATCATCTAGTTGAATTGCATCGCGACCTGTGCTTGGTGTCGTCTCTTACTCTACACCCCACACACCGAGTACATCCCTCCCGCTGCCTTGCTGCTCCTTGTTCTTCCTTTCTTGGAGCTTCTTCACCCGCCGGACAGATAGACCAACGCCCAGAGGTCCTATGATGGTACACAAGACGATTGCCCAAGTCACGACAAGAAAGATATCTGATGTCTCGGTTGAAGCATCCTGTGGCGAGGAGAAGATCCCCTTGGACTCAGCCACGCCAGATATAAGGAAACCGATTTCCCCTCTTGCACACATGGCAAGTGCCAGGATAAGCGGTGGATGAAGAGAAAACGGCTTTGGCGGGTTCGGCGAACTACGCATTTGATCGTTTGACGTATTCGACGATGTTTCCCTCGGAGTATCAGAGCTAGCCTGCGTCGTCCTTGGCGCGTGTCCGCCACCACCAGTCCAGAAATGAGGCACGGACGGGAATTTGAGTCTGGCGAGGAACCGGCTCATTTTCCGTTTTCCCGGCGCAGTGCCAGAGAATCTGACGAGCCAGAGGCCGCAAACGAATTTGCCAATCGCCATCAGAAGCGTGTAGACTATGCCGCGCCAGATGATGGCTGCGCGGAACATGCGTGTGATTGGGATGGAGAAGCCGATGGAGGCGAAGAAGAGCGGCTGTAGGATTCTGGAGACTGATGGGTGGTAGTATTGGTGGAAAATGGCCGGTCCAGATGTGTCGTGATGGTCGGTGGAAGTGCTTGACGCTGAGACAGGTTGTGTTGCTGTAGGGTTATTGGTTCCTTCTTTGGTTGGGGTGTTGAAGGTAGCCTGTGTAGAGCTCTCGATACTGCTGGAACCATGCCGGTCATTTGACAATTCCTTAGAGTAGCCAGTGGAAACTGCGCTGCTTTCAAGGACAACCGGAGTCTGATCCTGAGTTCTATTGACAAGCGAATGGGGTACATCTGAGTCCCACCAGCTAATCATAGCCCCTGCAATATACGCAGCGAACAAATTCGAAGTGCCTGCATACGTTGCACCGGCAACCAGTCCGATTAGCAGTAAAGTGTGCAAAACGAAGGCTGTCTGGGGCTTTCTCAGAAGCCTATCTAGACTCTTGTCCATGTGAGCTTCGCGGTAGCGGTTAACGTATAATGTAGCTGGCTTCAAAGCGACAAGGCAGGCTACAGGTACTACCAAAGCGAATGCAACAGAGACGAGAATCGGGCGCACGACGACAACCCAACTGAAACTATCGCCGCCTAGATTGGATATTACTTGGACCATGACTAGACCAACAACGTCGTCCATCATAGCTGCGCTTGTCAATACAACGCCCAGTCGGGACGTGGACAGACCGCTTGATCCCAGGACTGTAAACGTAGTACCGAGGCTTGTTGAGCATAGTGCTGCACCCGCGGCAAAGGCCTGCACCGGCGTCGCACCAAGTAGTCCTTGGAGGGTATATGAAAGGCCTACGGGGACTGCGATTCCTGTCAAGGCGACACCAGAGGAGAGGAGTAGATTGGCCTTTAAGGATTGAAACGAAGTCTGCAAGCCGCCTATGGACATAAGTCAGTACATCTAGCAATCAGGACATGCCGTTCCGCCCCGTGTTAATTCATCTTAATGTTCCGATCACCGTCGGGGCGAATCATGCAAAGCAACAAGTAAATGCGAACCTTCATAAACGAGCAATATCAAGCCGAGATAGCCAAACTGGACAATTACCTCTTGCGCATTCGTCGACAGCAATTTCGCAGCTGGAGTCCCCCACACAATCCCAACTAGAACTTGACCCAGCAGTCCGCAATACAGCACTTTGTCGAGCGCTGAGTTGACAATGTTCAGCAGGAGCAGGAAGGATGTATTAACAAGGATTGTGATGATGTCTGGCTCATGGTACGGCAGCGAAGGTGCATTTTCAGCGTGACTTGCAACCATGACGTGATGATGTGCGTATAAACCCAAATTGCAGATACGGGTATAGGTGTGTTTGATCAAACACCCAAGGTCACGTTGAAATGTAGCGTCAAGGCTTGAGCACGGAGTTTGGAAACTAGGTTAAATCTCTTTAGACCAAGAACTCGGCTTACTGTACCTACTTACACGTGACCTGATGGTCTGTGTCATGATGCGGCGCTAGCAAGCATGTTGGGCTCATGGCCAAGGGCATCCCGATGATCTTGGTGTCAGCGCGGAGAAATGGCCATGATGAATACCCCTCACTTCTTGTTAACCTGTGGAAGCTACGTTCTTCTACTTTGCTGTCTCCTTGTTTCTTTTCTAGCCCGCCGGCTGCCTGGAGGGACTTGTTGATATACATCTAGTAGTCTAGGGTCTACCGTCTAATCTAAAGAAGGCGGCGTATGCAATCTATCCCCTTCCACCCTCCCAGTATGCTCTCACTGAACACCTACGTGCGTTCCTCCCAGATCTTCAAAAACAACTTCCACAGAATCGAAAACATGATGCCCTGTAAGCCATTCGCGATAATCCTCGTCTTGAGACCCCTGCCAAACAGCCCCAGTCTCCCATCCTGCCTGATGACCTTTCTTGCCGCCTCAGAATACGAGATCCTCGTGTCGTTGACCTGGCGGTATGTCTTAACCACTCGCAGAGAGTTAGACACCGTGTCCGACACGACCGAAGCACAGAAGCCAATGATCGCCGCACGCAGCAACCACCATCCAATCTGCTCCTTGGATGGTTCGGTAATGGTTGCAGAGAGAAAGTTGTAGACTGCAAACCAGGGATAATGTCCTACAAAGGTGGCGGCCGCAGTGGCAAATGCACCCCACCAAAGACTGCCCACACCATCTGTTTTAATACGTTGACGCAGGATGCCCCAGCCAGGAGAGCCCTGGGCCTGCAGCGTAGTCTTCAGAGTATCGATCGGCGTAAGTAGCATTCTAAACGCCGCCGCGCACGCCGACGCAAATACCGTCTGAACGGGCGACGGCAGCTGCTTGAGAAACCCATTCGACTGCAGCAGCGCCAGGATGCCCGCGTTCGCAGCCGTGTCTCCAAATCGCGCAATAGGGCCTTGGAACAGCGCCGCGCCCAGCCCCTGGTAGTACCGGCCGAGTCCGCCGTCGCGGTACAGCGTCTTTGTCGCTGTGCTCGTCGACGTCCCATGGCGATACTGGTAGTTCATAATGGTCCGGATGGGCATCAGAAGCAGGACTTGCAGTATCATTGCTGCAGCGCCGCTGAGGCCACCGCCCAGCGCGCGCTTCAACGCGCCTTTGAGATCAAACTTGCGGTACGGTGAGCGAGGCGCCATGTACCTGCAAAACGGGATATACGTACTTGGACGTCGTCTGCATCGATCCAGCCTTTAATAAAAACGGCCATCACGAGAATCGCGAATACCGCCAAGAAACCCCGCCACACGTAGTGCCATGTTCGTGATACCTCTTTCTGTGGTTCCGGCTCGGACGGTACTTCGCTGCTGTCCCGTGGTACGCGCGTGTACTCGGGCACGGTAGCACCCGCAAGCAAGGGCGCCCGCTCGTCGGGTGTAGCGCCGCGCTCAGCGTCGCGTGGAGGAGGCATTCTGTATGTGTGTATAGAGAGGAGTGTAGAGAGGCGCTCAGGTAAAGGGTCATCATGTGCAAGTGGTTGTCGTCGGGCCGGCACGTGCGCGGGCCCGGATTACCAATCCAAATCCGATATGGCCATGACGCGGACGACTCGCTTGTTGGGCCGTCGAGGGGGTTAGCGGGCCCCGCTTATTGCGGTACCCCGTTGTAGTGGTAGTAGACCCTGGAGATCTTGCGTACTTTGAGTCATGAGGAATCCTCACGGTTGGTGGTGGGTTCGGGCTCCGAACTTCGGGGTATCGGATGCTTGGAGTTTGGCAGACGGTGTCTTGTACGTAGAAGTGTTTGAATTAACTCGCCGCGTATGTATGATGTATACTCGGATCTATTTAGTCCTCTTGACGGCCATGTGCAGGGACCGTGGATATATTGTGGGAATTCATTTGTCGACGACTTGTCTTGCTTAGGACACGGTATATCCAAGGAGTTAAACTCCGATTCAATTCACCGGGCTATAAACGAAGGGGATCGAAAAGCTTGGGACTCAAAGCGTCGCAATATTGACGAAGGCCTTTTTTTCTTAGGTTTGGTATAAATATACATATATTGAATAAGCAGATGAGCAGATGAGCAGAAGGTGTGCTAATCCATAACACATGATGCGTGTTATTTCGCTATTCTTTACATTTTCCCCTCCTCTCAATGACAATGTCTACTTATGGTTTGACACTTTGAGCTTCATAAAGGTATGCCCATCTTCATCTTGGACCCTACAGACACGACTACGGCTCACAATATTCGTCATCCCAGTCTACTCCGTCAAACTGCTCTTTCTTGGGCCCCACATCAAACTACTCGCGCCTAACTTTGCCCTTCTTCGAGTCTTTGCCACCATCGCCACACTCCTCGCCATCCACTTTCCTCTTCTTGTTCTCCCTCGTACTTTGGAAAGCCGCATTCTTCTCTTCCACAAGCGGGTCATCAACAACGACTGTGCCGTCCCTCCGGTACGCTGCAAGTTCCTTTGCATCAAACACAGGCACATACACCACGCCATCTCTACCATTACCAATCAGAGACCTCAGCAGCACCCTTTCTTCACCTAACCCGCTCCTCTTATTCTCTAGCTTACAGCGGATCGACACATAACTCCTCGCTTCTTTTACACCGTGTGTCTCTCCTTCTCCAATAATATCGTCGTCGGAAACACTGCCAGCGAAAAAGCTATTGAATGCTTCCAGGATAGGGATAGGACCGGGTATCTTGATGACTGCTCCTGCTTCGATAGCTGCCCTGATCTTGGCATGGAAAAGATCGAACCACGCGTTCTCTTCGTCAGTGTAAGGTTTGTGCACCTTTTTGAGCGAGATGCCGTGCTCAGTCAATATCGAAGCACGCCATTGCGTTATCAAATCAATGTGCGCGCGAGATTCCCAGTTGATTTCGTTGTAGTTGAGAGTATTCGATGGGAATTTGAAGGTTTGCCTGGTGTTTGTGGGTGTGTAGACGAGCGATATCGTTAGCTTCTCTGGAGAGACGTGCCCGACTTGGGGTGGCTCGATGGTACCGGAGAATAGGACCCAATGCCCCGCCTGGTTAGACTGAGTTGTTTCGTTAGTTACGGAGTCATCAGAGACCTGATCGATGAAGTTTGTCTCTGTTTCTACCTTTGTAGTGCCCTCTTTGGAAAAATTCCGGTTGTAACTCTGAGTCCGCTTCTTGCATTTTACTCGAGTGCGTGCGCTGTTCTGGCTCTTCAACCGTGATGCCTTGATTGCATTCTGAACTGCACCTGACTCTAGATTTTGACTATTGATGTAGTTCAAATATCCATAATGGTCAAAGTACTTCTCGTCCAGGTCAGAATCCGGTGTATACTCGATAGGGATATCTGTCCGAACATTCTCCTTATATTCGTCGTCTTCAAGCGATTCCACGTCTGACTCTTGGCACACATGCTCATCTTTGATCTGCTCTTGCCCAATCGTCATCTGAGCCAACTCTCCACACGCCGTATCTACCGAACGTGGAGCATTTATTGGATTCCAGCCAGGGGATTTGGAAATACTGGCTGTATATGTGAATTTATTGGTGGTGTTGATTAGTTGGGAATCATGGGATGAGTCGGAAATGAGTGACTGGGCTGGAGAATGTCGTTTGTCGCTCGAATAGCCTTCTGGTGAGACGATGGGAGATAACTTAACTAGAGTGGCGGGTTCCTCGTATTTGGTGGACTTATCGATAGGGTCAAGCGAAGGGGCGGCATTGCTATTGATGGTATCATTCGCAGACGTTCCGCAGTGCAGTCCGCGATTCACGTGACGTGGCATGGCAGTTGCAATACCAGAGTCGCTAGATGTACTCTCATCGGCAGCAGTTTGACCGCTGTTTGTACTGGAGCTAAGTTTGGCTTGATCGTTGAGAGCTTCCATGCTGCAATCGTCCACAGGCGTGCGAAGTGGTTGTGTGGAGAGGTTGCGATGGCGAGAAGGTAGGCTGCTCACAAGAAAAAGCTACTATTTGAGTGGGGCTGCTAGCTCCAGGCGTTTGGGTAGAAGTAGAAACTGCTGTCGAGTTATGTGTTGTGTGAAGACAGCGGCCCTCGTCTTGATACGAGATCGTCTAATTACGACGTTCAATTTACTGTACGAGTAAAAGGTTGATATAGGGTGATAATGAGACTCCATTCCATGTAAAATAATGAGAATTCAAACATCATTTCAATTCATAAGATAATCTCTGCGAAGGAGGATTCACTTTGTGGTTAAAAAGCACATAGTGTACACACATATTCTGGATGTTAGAGTAACGACCCTAGTCTACCTTTGTGTGATTGGCTAGTTCCAAACACTATTCACTTTTCTCGTGCTATATCTTACGCAGTATCCAAATAATATGTCTTTTAGATACGCTTAATGAATAATGATTAGAGTAGGGCAAGTCGACTGTCTAAGACAGTGTCTTGGCAAAACTCTTGCCATTCAACATCTTGATTCTCTAAGCACATATTGGTGTATTATCTTTTGCAATTCTTCTGCTTTTGTCTTTGGCTTATGTTTCAATAAACCTATAAGAAGGACTGATGTAAACTTCTATTGTGGTATGCATATACTGTAAGTCCTAGTAGCAGGATAATAGGTCTATTCCTAAGGGTAATTACATGTATTGAAAGACCTGTAGACTCCTCTCAAGTTGCATGAGCTAGTTCAACAACTAACAATATAATCAATCTATTGAAATTCTCAAACGTTCAAGGGGTAGCGGAAGACTCTCTACGTATCACACAAACACTTGCATTTTGAAGAAACTCGTTGGTCATATTGTATCTTAGTCTTGAGCTCAAAAACACCCCTCGTAGCTGCTTTCATAAGCCAACATATACTGGTAGATAAATGTTATCATTCGAAAATAATACTGATCGCATCGAATAAACCATGGGCTTTACTCATCAACTACAAAGCTGAACCAGAAGTGACTCCGTGCATAGGTGCAAACATACGTTCTTTCATTTCATTATCTTTTTCTTTGCCCAATTTTGGAGATAAAGCAAAAGAATTCATGCTGATCGAATTATATGTTAACATTGTGTATATATGAGTGACCTCATCGGTGTAGATATATCATGCTTGCATGCACCCTCTTTGAAATACATTCATTGTCTGTCCCACAATGTTTTTACCGGTCAATCTATCGAACCTTAGACACCTAGCATAGAGGGCACAATGGCCTTGATCGGCGAACTGAATAACACATCTCAATAAATGGAATGCACATTCTGGCGTGCAAGGTAGGTGCTTTGCCGTGGTATATCATACCCACTCCTACATCTAGTGTCTACCTATCGCCATATCTTATCAGTTTATAACACATGAACTGAGTTTATACCGAGCCTATATCCTTGAATTAATCTTCAAGAAGCACGAATACCGCAATTACAATAATCGAAATTCCCGGGGTCTACCCACGGACAACCATCATGACCGACTATAGCACACATACCGTTAAGAAACTGAGAGAATTATTTTGGAAAGCCAAATTCGTACATTTCAATCCTTTAAGCAAGGCTGAATTGGTTCAATTATGTGAGAAATTTGACACGTTATTTGCGCCTCTTACACTTGAAACCCTGCCAGAAGGCCACCCATTGGATGCGGACAAACTTGCAGAGATTCATGATGAAATACAAGAGATACGTTTGATAAAGGAAGGGAAATCTACGTCCAAAGCACCAGCTTCTAGTGCTCCAGAGACTAAGCGTAAAAGAAACGAGGATACGGCAACGGAAGCAAAAAAGCGAAAAGTTTCCGATGAAAAGAGCAAAGATGGAGCAGCCAATGACCCAGACATTGAGAAACCTCAAGAAGACACTACTGGATTGTCTCAGACAAAATCTACCATGCCGCACGCCAAAAGTACATCCACTCCGAATCCCGGGTCACCAGGATCATCAGATAGCGACAATTCCGATGACGACAACCGAACACCTGACGATAGACCTAAAGATGGTTCCGAGGCTTCCAAAGACGACAAAAAATCGCCCAAGGTCAAGAGACGGTCTCCCAAAATCGGAATGAGTGGGACTTCTCCCGTTCCGCAGAAGGGAGCGAGCGAAGGAGAGCTTGAACCCCACAACCTTCACCTTGGAACCCACAAGGTGGATGATTATACCATGAAATGGGATCCCATTGATGAGAGCATTCCAGATAGTCGTCTGACTTGGTTTGAACGGGAGCAGCGTGATAGTTGGAGGAAGAGGAAGGCTTGTGAACAGGCAGGGACACCGTACGAAGAGCGGAAACCAGAACCAACGAAGAAGTTCAACTGGAAGGAGAAGTTTTTGCGTGAAGGTATTTGATAGGCGGATACATCATAGTGTTACTGCGCATTTTGATTGGGTAGTCGTGTGTTCAATGCAGTTTCCGGTAGTGTCAGTTGTCTTTGTTTTTGTGCTCGGTTGCAGCTTGCACTCCAGATCCGGCGATAAAATCATGGCTTTGTTCTACAGGCATTCACGACTTGGATAATAATTCACAAAGTATTCTTTGTTATTTCTGCATATCGCATCTTTTATATATCCTCGTCTTCAAAATTGCGTCCACCGTGAAATCGCGAGTGAGGAATCGTCAATTTCAACCTTGAGACCAGGCGCACTTGTTCACATAAAGACATTAATTCGGTCGCCTGCATTGGTGGTTTTGCAGAGTCTTAAATATTGCAATCTATTTAAAAAAAAACTCCTTCAGACTTCAACATGGCACCAAAGAAAGCTTCAAAGAAAGCTCCAAAGAAAGCTCCGAAGCTTACTCCCGAAGCCGAAGCACAAAAAAGGATACGTGGAGAAGAATACCCAGTATTAGTCCAAGGAAGCAACCACATTACATTCGAAAAGTTGAAGAACCAACTGGCAGCACGACAACAGGAACAAAGGGATGCCGCCGCTAGTCTCCCGGCTTTGATACGAGAGCACACTCGACTGTTGAAAGCCGGCGACCAGGCCGCACTGAAAAGTTGGCTTCAAGGGGCTGGAAAAGAGGTGACGCGTAAGCATTGCGATACCCAAAGACTGAGATTCTGCGAAGCTCAACGTGACCTGGAGGATTTCCTCTACTATCAGAACCCAATACACAGGCGGAAAAGACCACGTGACCTGAAGAAAAAGCCGACTGCCACCGACATCCATGGCAGAGAACGAGGCCCGCCTATTTACAACCTGGCCTTTTCGCACAAGAACATTGAACAGCTACTGAACATGTACGACAAGACTGGAATAGGCAGCGTAAACCATCGTAATGGAAAGACAGACTGGGGAGGCCAGCCGATTCCGAGTAAAAAAGGAGATTCTCGCTTTCCGCCAGTTCGTCCAAACGAGTTGCATTTGTGGACTCCACCAGCCCGACGTAGGCCAGTTGGTTCGGTCATAAGCAGGAACGCGCCAACTGACGTTGATGATTTCGCATTGGATGCCGACGCCATAACTGAAGTTTGGAAGCGCATCGAAGAGACAAACATTCCTGAAGAAGGGTTTCCGTATCAAACGCATGCAGAGAGGAGGAGACAGGAGCGTGAGATCTATCGAACGGATCCTCATGCTAGACCCACGACTTCTTTTGTGCATACTGAGGAAACACCAAGTGGTACGGTCACGGTGGATCCATTTATAAGAATGCAGACAAGAGAAGGCATCTTCATTGCGGCATTAGAGTCATCTTACGACTGGCGCACCTCCTACGATTGTCTCGGGCCCGTAAAATCCGTCACTCACCAGAACTTTACAATCAGCGAAGAACGCGAGATGATCGAGGGGCCACCAGAAGACGACCCTGATGGCCAAGAGGACGCCCCAGATCTATCGGAGAAACCCGATGCTCCCGACGCCCCCGACAACACTGAAGAAGCTGCTAGTGCTGCATCACCCGTCCAGACAAGAAGTTCAGCCAAGAATAAGAAAAAGGGTGGCCATGCAGGGTCGAAAAAGAAAGGCGCCAGTAAAAGTGCCGCGAAACCGAATGCACCGCCCGCCAAACCACTGACTAGCATCGACTACCCATACCCGGCATGGGAGTTCGAAGGTGAAGATCCGCCTGGACGAAGAAAAATTATCGATGACAAGGATGATCTAAACCTTGCACCCATTGCAACAGACTGGTGTGAGGAAACCTGTGGCAGGCGAGAATGGCATGTCAACATGTTACTTTCACCTGCATCATCCGTCGACTCGCCTCCACACAGCCCGATCGAAAAACCCGAGGAGTGGGAGGGCCGCCACATACCAGACACCTTCCCGGATGAGAAGCTACCTGTTATCAGTGAAGCAGTGAAACGAAGATGTCCCCATAAGCCAGAGCGATGTCGAGCATGGTGGACACACGCGCCCGACGAATGCTGGCTTGTGCAATCTTGGCAAGTGCCACCAGAAAACAGTTCAGTTGTTCGTCCTCGCAATGAGATATCTGCACCCGAAATCTTCGAGCTTCCTGAAAGCGGCCGCAGCATCTACGAAGAAAGAACACACGATCACTACGGCTTGTCTGGCGTTGGCACCGCAACATGGCCCAGAGTCGGTGTGCGTGTTCCGTACGAGCCTACGACGTTTGATGATCTGAAATCTCCCTTGGAAAATAGCAATATTGCAACCCAAGAATCTGTGGGCGCAGAGGCGAGCAGCAAAGTAGCGTTTGAAGTTCATGCCTTGGCAGCGCCTTTGATCCCGATGAGCCCGAGAGATTATCATGGTGTGGGGGTGACAGAGTCTTCTGAGGGGGCTGAGGACGCTGAGGAGTATGAAGAGGATAGTGATTCGGATTACGAGAATGATGTGTTTTACCATGAGTATATGAAGCTTTCTGGTGAGGGAAACTAGTCAAGGGGGGCGTATGCAATGGTGATGGATTAGTAAGGATATAATTGCACATCACGAAGGTAAAGGCGTAATTAGTGGAAATTGGGAACATCAAGTCTTCGGCGCGAGTATCACAGTGCTCTCATCGACCTTTTTCTATTTATACAAAGTCTTTTGCGCTTTGGCTAGACTATGCAGTTCAACGCACATGTTTTTTTTTCAGTTGAGCAAACCATCACCGCCTTCTGCGGGAAATGAGAACGACGACAATAACCCCAAATGCTTCAATACTCTTCTTCTCCATGCTACGATAATTCATACTAAGCTGCATGCCACGTCTTCTGCAATAATCATTTCCGCTTAGTCCTTGTGCATTACACACTCCACCATCAAGCTCCTCACCAGAAAACATCACCACTTCCCATCCATCCTACACCCACAAACTCCTCACCCCTCTCTGTCCCCCTTCCCCGCTGGAAGGATACACGGGATCCTCACCCAGCAACAAGCCCCTCATCTCCCTAACCTTCTTCCCCCCACTCCCAGACTCCATCTCCCAGTACCGCTCAATCTCACCCATAACATCCCATGCCCTACGCCGTGTCCTCACCGCAATGGCCCTTGCCTCAGCAGCGCTAGGCCTCCCTTTCGGATCCGAGCACTGCCGCTCATCAAGCCAGTACAAGTATGCATGGCGCGCTGATACTAATTCTCCCACTACCCAAGCATTTGGATCTTTCGGGTTTTGATGCGGCAGAATCCGGATCTTGTACGTTTCGTCTACGCGGGGGGACGGCTGGAGCGTTATGGTGTCGAAGGCGGGCTCGCGGAGACCGAGGGAGGAAATGATATGCGGGATTTGGATGAGGAGGTGGTCGACGGGACCGTTTGCAAGGTCAGCGGTTACGCGGATGATTTGGTTGGCGGTGTTGACATGGGTCCACATGGAGAGGATGGCGGCGGATGGGTAGAAGGAGGCTTGGATTTCTTGGATACGGGACAAAGGGAAGGCTTCCGGGTTTTGGATTGGGATTATCGTGTGCGTTTCACGGTTGTCGTCAGGGGCGATGTCGATTTGTAGGGTGGGTAGCGCTGATAGAGACGATGTGGGTGAGTGTCGTGGTGAGCTTCCGTGCATGGCAATTAGAGATGATGCTGATTCAGGTGAAGTTGGGGCCAGTGCGGCCATGTTTTCCGAACCCGTAAGTGACTGCTTCGTTGTGAGGTGTTCATGATCCGTATCGCATGCTTCTGCAGGTGGGCCATTATCCTCCACTGCTTCAGACATTTCCATGTTATCATTGTTGTCTCCGCCAACTACGGCATTTCCGATGCCTTCCATCGAGCTACCTTCGAAAGTCCCAAGCGATTGGCGTTTCTCTGTGACTGACTGTGTAGCGCATCCACTTGATTTTAAAGAACCAGTGGGCTTCGAAAGGAGCATGTCGATATCTGGGATGGCGTGAGAGTTGGTGGATGTTCGTCCATGTCCACGACTGGTGTAAGTTGTGTGCTGCTCTAAATTTGCATGATCTCGAGAAGGCTGGAAATTTTTGTTTGCGAAATGTTTGACTTATCGTGAGAAAAGGTGAAGGCGGAGTTGGGGCGAGTGAGTGTTTGCCCACATACTGACCGCTTCAATCTCACCTTCACCTTCACTTTACTTCCGGTAGGCGCTCCTATATACTACAGGACACTTGATTCAACACTGCATGATTTCCATTGAAGATCTGCATCATAGTTCCTTATATTAGAGTACCGATTTCACAGCATAAAAACGTATGTCATACTTCTATTTGACCTGGCAAAAGTCCGTAGACAATTGCCAATACAAAAACATCCTCTACCTTCTGACCACATCTATACTAGGCCTGTTTATCCGTGGCAGATGACTAACTGAACTTGTCGTATGATCGACGACTCGACACATCTATAGGTTCTTCTCCACCTTTTGGTATCAAAAGCTCGACATTCATGATAGAAGAAAACATGAGATACTCTATATAAACTAATACTCAAATACTCATTTGCTCATTCATTCGTTCGTTCGTGCAGTCATTCAGTCATTCATCCATCACTCTGACAAGCAATCAAATAAACACATAGATAGCAAAACAAACAAATAAGCAAGCAAGCAAAATCGCAACAACTATATAATTATTCTATGAAAACACGCTTACCACCCATTTACTTTTCAACGAGGACCAAAAGGCCTAGGTCCAACAATTTGCCTCTTATTCGCGCCGATACCTCCCAGCTTATTCTGATTATCTCCACCCATGTATCCGTATTGATTGACATCCCAGCTCTGTCCCAAGCCAGTACCAGCATTGGGGTCCTTGGCAGCTTCTTGCAACGCACGTTGGGACTCTTCCCATTCTTTCTGGCGCTCGCGCTCGCGCTCCATTTCGCGCTCAAGAAGGGACTTGGAGGCCCAGCCGAGGGCCTTGGTTTTCGTTTGAGCAGCGGCTCGGCGGGCGTCCTCGCCCCGTTGCTCTGACGTGGAAGTAAGCTCCGGTGGAATATGGTTCTGAGGCTTGGGAGCGGTTGGTGGTGGGTTGGAAGCCAGGTAGCGTTCAGTTCGGCTTTGCTTGGCGTATGCCGATGGATCAGGAAGGGGCCGTGGCGACGTCGGTTCAGGCAGCGGGCGGGCTGGAAGAGATGGGGCTGTAGGTTCCGGCAGGGGTCGTGTGGGCTGTCTCTGTGTTTGATCCAATTGCTTGCGAAGGTACTCTCGATCATCCGCATGCGCCCACGAAGCATTACTTTCCTGAGGCGAGGGCGCCCGTGGTGGGGGCTGTGGCCGGGGACGGCTTCGAGAACGGTCGCGTACACGGCTCTTGGAACGAGCACGCGCCTTCTTGTCCAGCACACGACCCTCGCGCTCGGCCTGGTACTGTCGCTCGCGTTCTTTGGCCTCCTCAAGCTGACGCTCAAGCTCGCGTATACGTTCGCGCTCAGCACTCTGCTCCTCGTTGCTTCCGCGGCGACTGCGTGGCTTGCTGGCTTGTTCAGCCTGGTACTGGCTTAGGTACTGTCCCTTGAGCTTAGCCTCGCTGCCGGCACGCTTCCGTCGTGTTTCAGCCTCAATCTTTGCCATGGCCTCGCGCTCCTCACGCTGGCGCTGCTCCTCTTCCTCTTTCCATTGGCGCTCCTGCTCTTCCCACTCGCGCTTCTGCTGGTCGAGGCGGGCTTGCTTGGCTTCTTGCTGCTTGCGCGTTTCCTCTTCCCACTTCTGCTCCTCGTCAATGCGGATACGCTCTTCCTCTGCCTCGCGTTCGATGCGGCGCTTATTCTCGGCCTCTTCGGCTTGCAGGCGCAGTCGCTCTTCTTCGGCGGCCTTTTCCCGTCGCAAGCGCTCCTTCTCTGCAGTGTTGGGCACGTGCGGACCTGCGCTCGTGATCTGTCGACGGGCACCGAATGCGATGCCCTGATTACCTTGGCTGGCGCCACCCATGTAGCCATATTGATGGATGTTCCATGCTGGCGACGTGCTGCCCTCGTCGCCCTTCTTGCTCCAGCTGCTGACTCCGCCGGGCGGTGACCGGGGATGGCCGCTGGATGTGTGCGAGGTATCCGAGCCTCCCGTGCGCGTGGCGACTAGCGCCCTTTCGGCAGACGGACGGGCGAGCGGGTTGAAGGTGCTGGAGCCGCTGGTGCTGCTGGCGGTGCTTGGCCCTCTGCTTCGCGTGTATCCAGGCGATGCTAGCGAAGGGCTCTTGGGGACGCCGCCTCCCGTCGAGGAGGGGCTCAGGGCACCTGGTGCTGCGCGCTTGGGGCCTATGGCGGTGGGAAACTTGTCAGGGTTGTGGGCGTTGGCTACGCGGCTGAAGGCGCTGAGGCACTGGAGGACCTGGGCAGGGTCCTTGGCTTCGTACAGGTCGACGGTCAGGAAGCGGTCGTGGGCGGGCATGCTGAGCGGGGGCTGTTCGCAGGCGCGGAGGAAGTGCGAGATGTTCTCCATCTGGATAAAGGGCATGGACGACTTCTTGAACTTGACAGGGCTGGGGATGGCCATGTTGACGAGCCTGTTGATGTCAGCTACTCAGACCCGGCGAGGCGGTTGCTTTGGTGGCGCCCGCTCACCTGCATAATACGGTCCCATCCTTGAGGGCATCGAGCAGGTCGCCGGCAGGCAGCCGCTCGCCCAGCGTATCTTCTATCCAGATGCGCACTTCGTTGGCGGCCTTGGGCGTGTATCTGTCCATGCGCAGCTTGCGCATGTCCTGGTCCAGCGAGGTCACAGAGGCCATGGGGGGCAGTTGGGGCCGAGTCACGGCGGTGGTGTTGGTTGGGCACGCAGGGCTGGCGGCAGTAGAGTTGGCAGGGGGCGGGGTTGGCAGGCAGGATACGATACTGTACGCAGCTATCTAGACGACAATTCGCGCTGGCGCGCCTGGTGTTTGGGAGCGGATGGGGGGTTTTTGTGGGCGATGGGCGGACGGGGGCGCGGGCATGTGTATGTGTATGTGTGTTGTGAGTGGGTGCGCGAGGGCATGTGGAGAAGAGTGTGTGTTGTTGGTGGTGGGGGCGGGTCGGATGCCTGCGCCTGCACCTGCACTGACACTGACGCACCAGCCACCGCGTCTCAACGTCACCGCCGCCCCATTCTGCCCGCCAAAAAAATACCCCGTGACCTCCTCGCCGACGACGACGACGACGACGACAACCACAGCAACAACAACGCCCGCAACACCATCCCCTCCATCGCTCCCGCGGGCCGCACGCTCTCCACACCATGGCGGGCGCCCCCGGCCTCATCAAGCGCGCATGGTACCAGTGGAAGATGCAGCGCTTTCCATGGCGCAAGCAGTGGCTCGTCGGTGAGTGTGCACGTCTGCCATGACAGCCACCTCGGGCGTATCCTTGCTTCTTTGCCCTGACAGCTCATCACAGGCTTCGATCTCCACGGCAACACGTTTTGGGAGTTCAAGGACGCTCTGCATGCCCTGCGCAACCGCAGGATTGCAAAGTACAGCCGCCGCACCCACTATGGCGATGTCAAAGTATCGCGTTTGTGCCCTCGACCTCGATGACTCGCCCCCGGACTTGCGCTGACAGAGTCAGCTGCATGGCTGCAATGGCTGCGACACACTCGCTTCGACCCGCCCACGCTCGCCGAGCAGCAGCAGGATCTCGTGCGACAAGAGCGCATCAAGCTGCTGGCTGCCCAGGCCGATGCCAAATGGGCTGCGAAGCCGTCGGCCCTGGATGCGCCCGACAAGCAGCAGCCTGTGCAGCCGCTGCAGTCGGTAGGCGCTGAGAGCGCCATCATGCCCATGAACGTCAACCACGACATCCGCAACAGGGCCGCAGCGGAGCCAGCGGAGCCAGCGCGCCCAACCGCTCACAACCAGCCAAGTGGCGCGCCAGCACCCACGAGCGTGAAAAAGAAGCCCAAAAAGGAGCCCAAAAAGGAGCCCAAAGACTCGCCCTGGAACCAGCCGTCGCAGAGTCAAGACTGGCAGCCACAAGGGTGGACCCCAGCCCCCGCAAAACGCCGGACATGACACGCTTGAGCCGTTGTAAAAAGAAATACTGTGACATTATGAACCGCATCTTCGTCGTAAAAGTCTTTATCGCTCGGCTTGTGCATCGTCATCTGTTGTTTGCACTGGCTGATACTCTGTTCACCGTTGACCAATCAGAGCAAGAATGGCACGTGAGTAGTTCGCTATACAAACACATCAAATCTCTCTACTCCCACTCCAACTTGCATATCCATCCGGCCCAATCACCATGAACCACGCTAGTGATCCGACAACAACGCAGCAAAAATAAACAATCTCCATCCATCATACATGTGCAAAAATAGCAACCCCCAACAAATAATCTCACATCAGATGCCAAGGGCCATACATGACTGACTTCAATCTTCACCTTTTCTAGCAGAAGCTTGCTGTAACCAGTGGTGCCACGTTGGAGCCATGAAAAAACCATGGTGCAAACGGAATACCTTGTCAAGCTGCAAGGCTGCTGTGCCCAACATGGTATGGTTGGTACAAGTGTCGCTTCTCTTGGTGACGTAATAACCCTATTCTGCCAAGCATCATCATAGTGGTGCATGAGTAGGATGCGAATACAGGTACCACGCGTATCGACATAACAAGCTACATTGCATAGATATCGAGAATAGATGCGGGCAGCGCACCATTTATCTCATATTTGCTATATATATCATCTTCTTTACCAACCCTACTAATCGCCTCAAAGGAGAAAATGCAGTCTGTATATATAGGAAAGGCACATCGGGTGCTTAGGGGCTCTTACTAAAACAGTACTAGCTCCATAGAGTATATAGTTACTCCGAACTAGCTAGACACAACACACCTTCATCACACTTCTTCAATATTCAAGCCAAGTCAGCTTTGTTGGTACCATCATTTCGCTTCGCTACACAATACTCGTGGGCTCTCATAAAAGAACCCCGGTCGTTAATCAAGAACAGTTCGCCGTGCGACCATCTGAGAACGGATAACACCCTAGAAACCGATTAGCAAATTTGGCTTTGAGCTCAGCATAATTGCCGTGGTACCATTGAGGTTCGTGATGCAAGGATGGTCCTAGACGTGCAGCATCAGTATCCATCCACTTTGTTTCCAGCACTCCCCGTCTTACAGAAGTGCACATCTGCGCTGGCAATCCCACTCCAGCATCATTGACGCATGCTCCATTAGGATACCAGTCTTCAAACTGTGAGAACGCCTTTGCTTTATCACTATCCTTGTTGTAGCAGTTCTGTGTTTGTTAAGAAATTTTTACGAATAGTAAATCTGTATTTCAGCGTACCCAGTTGCCTACGGCAGTCACCAGGGACACCAAAGGGATCAAGGCGGCAATAACGCTAAGCTGCATTTTGATGGATGCGATTGTTGGAAATAGGTAGACAGTGAGCGTAAATCGAAAGCTAAAGTTAGAAAGGATCATGTAATTAACATGTTATGTAGGGGCACGGCTAAACCGCGGAGATAGTGCACGTATTTCTTACTATCAATGCACTGGCCTGTTGCTCTAGACGGTACAAAGGAGCTCGTATTTTCTGTGTCCTACCACCTAGTCGAGCTGCTTTAGTAAATAACGACACCGCAACACAATAAAAGTAAGCTTTCTATTTTTTTTAAAAAACTACTAGGCTACCGAATCCAAGATTACACTTTTGAACTATAAATTTGATGATTTGATACCCGGTTGCGATAGTTAGTGTTAATAACAATCTTCACACGTACAGAGTACGTACGGACACGGAAAATATCACCTCCTTCGTACTTGTCGCGCACTCGGCCTTCTCTTTTCGGTCTCTTGTTTAGGACATTAAGACATACCTAGGCATGATACTTTTATATACGACTAATCTTAACTGTAGGAAACAATAGTATGGAATAATATCATTGACGCAATTGTAGGTCCTAATTTCACAGCTTCATTACCTCATGCTGTGAACACCAACCACTTCTACATCTCACATTTTGACTAAACACGATGTTCTCAAAGACGCAAAGACGCTGCGGATTAGTGCATGGGCACAAGTGAAGCACCATAGCCCTGTGCTAGCAAGGTAATTGCTGACGAGAACATGCCCAAGAACTAGCGGTCAGAAGCCCATATCGGACCTGTATCGGCCCAAGAGAATCACTGCCTTGTCCCTATACGAAGGACTGCTTTGCTATCGAACACGATCGCGGTATGAACAAGACTATAATCCTACCCCTGTGCTTATTCTAATATGAGATTTTAGCCTGTGCGAGAACGATTCTTTCTAGAACTTATCCTATAACGACGCTATACAGTTGTTATTGCAGCTTCACCTAACCCCGTACCACACTTAAGAGGCAGATTACAGTCGACTTGGGTATAGTGCAGTATACACCGCATCGAAGGGAAACCAGACGGTAGTGCCCATTGGTTGAATTACGGTCTAATCTATGTAACGTTCTCTTAACACGAGATCATTACCTAATCCCCTCACGCTAGTCTACTTTGGTAGCCTATTACCGCCGCAGACTCCGCTTACTAGTACAAATACAGTGGCTGCTGAATCCTACCCCTATTTTTTTTTTACTGTAGTTATCGCTGCAAGTCCACTTACTATCGCTACAGCTGCTGCTTTGAAAGAAGCCAAAGCTGTATGTCGAGATAAGTCATGTGGTTCACCGACGAACTTTAATTGCGAGAGAAGATTTACTTGTTCTAGACTTACTTCGGTTTACCTTGATCTTAGTACTAGTTTCTCTCCGAATATATAAACTGCCTACCCTCTCTTCCACTAGTCTTTTTTTTTATTCATTATCAAATCATTCCATACACATCTACATTCGAAACATCCACGCTTTAGGTAAGCGTCTCTAATAACTGTAACTATTATCCTATACAAAATCTAACTCAACGAACAGACTCTCTGCCTCTTAAAACAGCACAATCAAACGTAGGACGATAATAATGTCCAATTTCCCAACGCTGCTATTAACGTATTCTTAGAAAATGGCTCCCATCTTCAAGTCACTCCTCGCCACCCTTCTCCTCTCAGCCACCTCTGTGTCTGCTGTTTTGAACGGAGGCTGCGGCGTGCAAATTCTCAACGAAGGCCAGTCTGTTGCTGGATCTGGCTGCATTCCCAAGGGAGGTTCGGCCAACGTTCACACCACCGGCCCTACCCTTAATATCGCTGCTAGCACCAGCTGTGGCTTGGGCGTTTCTTTTGGTCAGAATCTGCCTGATGGCTGGAGCCTTCGCTCTACAGGAGCATGCTAGGTGTAGTGTAGCATGGCCGCTTATGTTCATTGTTAGGTGATGGATTATATATGTAGACTCTACGAAACGCTATAAAAGCTTGATAGAAATTTGTTTTGCTTATTACTAGACTGTTTAGTATACCGTCACCCACATAGCATGATGGTACACCTGTTGCATTATTTCTATGGATTTAATTTTATCGTGTGATAGTGTAATAGCGCAGCTGATGTTGTTATAGTTGCTTGAGAAGTCTTGAGACATCAAGTCACTAGGGTGTTAAAGTATCAAGGTTTAAATATATTAGAATACAAGGAATTTTATCTGTAAGATTGAATGATTATGATTTGTTAGTAGAGTTGGTGAGAAAGCATGGAGATGTGTAAGATAGCTCAAGTCCTAAACTGAATTACATCCCTTGAATCTTCTCTTGACTTACATAAATGGCCTCATATATCTACCTTAGGAACTCCCTCTTTGAGATACTTTATAAACATTCCTACAGCCCGTAATGGAGCTGGAAAGGGGTGCAGCTTTAGCTGTTGTTCTGACCATTGTAACCGAGCAATCATAGCTCTTATTGCTTCGGTGGTATAGAAAACATCAACAAGCGGGGTATCAACATCATTGGGTTACCTTGGTGTAGCGTAGAAAACTCGCAGTGTGCCCTCGACAATAGCCTGGAACCAGACGATCACCCTGTCCGGCATATCTTGGTGGGCGCCCATGGTAAATTGAACACCGCCATCAAGAGTGAGGGCAACAGGAATGTGAGTGTTTCTCAGGCTTCTGATGTAGGGGATCTCGTTTTACGTCGTCGATGTTCATATCGAAAGTGAAGGATGTTTCTCTTTAGCATCGGCCCGATGGAGGCTCATAGAAGTAAACACGATCAGTGATGGGGTTGCAGGTCTCGCCAGGAAGACCATAGCTGGGCAATGTCCAGAGGAAAATAAGAGTCAGATTTAACTAATTCCAATCGAGAATATGCTTCCAGGATTACAGGCAGGGTTATGTGATGAGGTACAAAAATAGAGAACCAGTGGACTTTTACAGCGCATCCTATAATAAGTTGTAGGGGTATATAACTATACACGCTTGAGTTTTACAAAAGTAAGGCTGGTCATTATGTAAGTCTGATGAGATGTAAGATACGGAGATGTTTGCTCAATCTTCTTGCTGATCGAGGTGTCTGTCATAGCACAACGCACAACCCAAGAAAAAGGCAGGAACATGTGGTCGAGACTAACATAATACAGTCATGATCATGGCATTGACTAGCGTCTCTGGGCTAAGTACAGGCCTGCCGCCAAGGTGCTATATATACCTCAATAGGTAGAGCAATGACACTAACGCCACTGAGGCGTTGCTCATGGTTAAACCATCCAGTCTGAAATGTAGTGGATATCTACTTATTTTATACTTTCTTTTAACGCATTGTCTGATCCCTCATCTCGAGTTATCTGGAAGAGAAAGAGAGTTTTCCAGTTCATGATTGAGTAGGAGGTTGCTTGTCTTCATTCTAAACCCATCGGGCCGATGAGTAAGAACTTTTCGCAGCCACCTTTGTTGCCAAGAACACTTTTGGTTATGTACTGTATGCGCGAATTATCAGCATAGGAAAATGTAAGCATATTCACGACATTTACGCCATATATTCATCTGGAGTAGCGCTTAGTCAACCAGAACTTCGGTGTAATGTGTCCGGCTTGCCGATTAGTAGGCCCTTCCTTTTTTTTTCATTAACACCAAATGGCAGACTAGGTACCAAGTTTGATAATCTAGGTGGAAGAGGAAGGGGTGGGATCTTGGGGTTTATTCTGCGTGCTACACCCGCTATCCATCTTAGTTCAAAGATATACATCAGACCATCAGAGTCTATTCGGTTAATACGTTTCTGAGTTTGTTTTTTAATTGTTTTTTTAGCTAAGCGCTATTATGAAAAACTGTAAGACATACACTAACATGGAATAGCGTGTAACGTATGTGGCAAGCGAGCGCCGCAGGTAAGCGAGCGCCGCACCCCACCAAACCTGCGCACCTCTCCTATCTCAACGAACAATGGCTCAACGTAGCGCTACTCAATTAGCTTTAAATGAAGCAGATATTTAGCTTGCTATTTCTTCTATTAATCTCCATCAAACACAAAGTAATCGTCGCGCTGCTGCTGTCTACAACGTGTCTGAACGAACAATCCGCCGCCGACGCGCTGGTATACCTGCTCGACGCGATTGCTAGCCTAACTCAAAG